CGTAATGTTTCGCTTGTCCTATGACGACTGCATTGCAGACTCCTTTCAGAGTCTTGTCACAATATGAATAATTTAGAAACATATTTCTAAATTTAATGATTGTGACAAGATTCAAAAAAGGGGAATGCAATAAGGAGGCATTCCCATCTTATCCTTCGGCAGGTCCACAGACCTGCCACCTAGTCTCATTTCACTCATCTCAATTTGAGTTCCCGCCCGTCCCACCCCTAACATGCATAGACGCGTAGCTAGATTGCATCTTAGGGTAGCTTTGCATAACCTTGCTACATCTATATCATGTGCCATGTAAATTGATGATGACCTATGACGACTGCATACCTATGACGACTGCATTGCAGACTCCTTTCAGAGTCTTGTCACAATATCCCTGGGGCGACTAGGCGTGGTGAGCGAGTCCCGAATCTTGGACACCCGCTTCCAGTCAATTGTCCCCCCCCATCTGTTCGCCCACTTCTCTCTCCTCCGCTTCGAAGACCCCTGCTTCCTCCATGCTAACCGCAGGTGCCTTATCGGGGCGACTTGGCCGAGGTGGAAAATAGGCGTGCGGAACAGCTTAGCCCCGGGAGCTATGGCCGCTCTCCCCCCCGTGTCTGCGCCCTGATTCCCTTCCGACGAGGCGAGCAGCAGCTCCCTCCAGTTCTCAGGCGCGGCTGCCAGCCCCTTCAGAGCCAGCCGAGCAGGTGATGTTCCGAGTGATTCTGCTATGGTTTCCTCGCTCTTTACTGCCATCACACCGTTCGCCGTGGGCGCCACCAGATCCCCCAGCCTGATTCCCCAAAGTGCCTTAGCAGCTTTTTGTCCTCCAACCGGCGTCCTCCCATTAAGCAGAATGCCTTTGTTGAAAACCAGCCTCTCAGCGGCAACTTCCGCTATGGTGAGGGGTGTGCTGACGGTGGCAAACGGCGACGTCATGAAGCACTCGCATGTCTGCTTCCATCTCGCGCTCCCGTCCACCCAATACTTCAGCAACTTCTCGTGCGACAAGAAAGTATCCAGCCCCAGCGGCAGCCCCGCCGCTGCTAACATCATATCTCATTTAAAATCGTCCGTCTCAGTGAGCAGGATTCCGATCCTTCTGGCGGCCAGGCAGGCGACCAGAACACCCGGGTCCTTCACACCAATACCTCCCTCTTCTCGTGTTGCAAAGATTGTTTCCTTCCCCAACAGGATGAAACACCCCTCCTCCGACGCGTGGTTTCCTGAGAGGAAATTATTAATCAACTTCGCTATCCGCCCCCAGACCTCCTGCGGTGGCGGGTAGACCTGCACCTTGAAGGCGATGATCGGGGTAATGTATCCGTTGATGACAACCGCCCTCGCCGAAATCGTGAGATACTTCAGCTCCCATTTACCCATCTCCCCCAGCAGTCTCAACAGTGTTTTGTCCCATGTCGCCTTGCAGTCGCCTGAAGCGGTAATCCAGACCCCAAGCAGCCTTTCCGCTTCATCCGCGCCGGCCCATTTGAAACCATCCGGCCTCCAGGGACGACCCCCCAGATTTCGGCCCAGCGGCATCACCACCGACTTATCATTGTTTGTAACCAGGCCAGAAACACGTGCGAAATAATCCAGCATCTTTCCTGCCTCTGCAATCTGCTCCCTCCGTTGCAGCAGTAGCGTGGTATCGTCCGCATAACCCAGGTAACGCAACCTCCTCCCCGAATCACTGACAATGCCCAGCTGCCTCTTCGCCGCTTCCTGGGCCAGGGGCTCCACCGCGCATATGAAAAGGTAAGGAGCGAGAGGACACCCCTGCCGCACCTCGGAAACCACCTCCAAGGCCTCACTCTTCCAACCGTTAATTAACAACATCGTCTTCGTTTCCTTGTGCAGGCCCCTCACCCACCCCACAAATCTCGGAGGGAAGCCCATTTTCTCCAGCGTCTCAAACAGGAAGCCCCGGAAGACGGTGTCGAACGCCTTTTGAAAATCCACCAGCAGCAGAAACCAGTCCTTGTCCCCTTTGTTTGCAGCGTCAATGATATCAGCCACCAGGCTGACTGCATCGGATAACCTCCGTCCCGGTATGAAGCCGTACTGCTCCTTCGAGATCATCTGGTGCAGCACCTTCTTCATCCGGTCAGCCACCACTTTCGCCAGGACCTTGTAAGTGAAATTAAGAAGCGTGATAGGCCGGTAGTTGCTTAATTGGCCCTTATCCCCCTTCTTGTGTAACAGTATCGTAACCGCCTCCTTTGTGCTCGCAGGCAGTGATGCAGAGACAACAAAGGAGCGTGCCAGGTTCATGAAACCCTCGCCCAGGATGTCCCAATCTAACTCAAACAGCTCCTTCGGGATCCCGTCCAAGCCCGACGACTTCCGCACGCCAGCGTTTTGAAGGCGTTTTTAATTTCTTGCTCCGTCCAATCTTGAGCAAGCCCTTCCGCATCCTCCGTCGACAGCCTCCGGTCCAGTAACCAGCTCGTACGGTGTGTCCTTTTATCCATGCCGAAGAGCCCGTTAAAGAAACTTGCCGCCGCGTCCAAAATCCCCTGCTTGTCATCCACCACCGTGCCGTTGACATTCAGCTCTGCTATCCGCGTGCGTTGCTTCCGGGACTTTACCCTTGCCGACAGATGCTTCGAGACCACTTCCCCTTTTAGCTCTGCCCCATAACCAGCCATCAGGTGGAGTCTGTCCCGTCGGGAGGCTTCGTATTCCCTCAGCTGACCCTCTTTTGCTCTCAAGAGCTCCCTTGTACGCGTGCAGTTGGGTGCTCCTATGGCCGCTTGCTTCAAGCTCGCCACTGCAGCGGACAGGTGCCTCATTGTCGCCTTAACCCTCTTACTCTCTTCCTTAGCGTAGGCACGAAGCCCTGCATTCAGCCGAGCCAATAGCAAAACATAGTCACCCCCTGACTGTCTCGCCGCTGCTTCCACCACCCTCCTTACTCCCGGCCTGTTGAGCAGGTGGGATGGAAATCTCCAGACCCCCGGACCAAGCTTCGCCTTAGCGCTGCAACGAAAAGCCACCCTGATGGCGAAGCCGTGATCCGAGATCGGGTCGTCCGGTGACTTATGTGACGCTGACTCCAGACCAGGGAGCAGCGACCGCGAAATCAGGGCCCGGTCGATCCTCGTACTGGCCTGCTTCGCCATCGACATGAAGGTGTATTCCCTCTTGGTGGGGTGTAGGGTACGGAAGGCATCCGAGAGCTGGAACACCCCGCACCTGCGCATCAGCCTGATATTCCCGGCCGCTGAGCCAGCACGTGATGTCTTGTCTAAGAAAGGGTTGTCAATCATATTGAGGTCCCTGAGGATGAGGACATGACTACCTGGGTCTATCTGATCTACTACCGGCCCGACGACGTCCCTGATGAACCCCACACGAGCTGCCGGCGATGCTGGAAAGTAAGTCGCAAGAAGGGTGATGGTGAGACCTTTACCTATAACCTCTGTCCTAATGAGTCTACCCGAGGGATGAGTCATCGTGTTCCGAAACTGTATACCAGGGTCCCAGGCGATGACTGCTACACCCCCAGCTCTTTCCTGAGGTGTAATTGCTACCACCGAGGCTGCACTGAGTTTGTTCCAGTAAGTGTGGTTCCCTTCTAGTCTGGTATCTGTAAGAATGTTGATGTCTGCCGTTGCTTTCATCCATGATGTGACCCATGATTGCTTCGTTAAATCTCCGAGCCCGTTCACGTTCAGGCCGGCAAATGACAGTACATTGATGTTACTCATTTAATCACTCCCTGGCAACCTTTATTCATCCACAGGATGAAAGACGCAACAAGTCCGACTACCAGGAGACCTGCTGCTGCTGTAGCTGACCAAGCAGCTAGAGACCGTAATCTTTCTTGAGCAAGGCAAGGGTTGCCTTCTCCAAGGTGACACGCGTCGCAGTACCCATCTTTTCCAGTTGAAGGAGGTGGTTTGCTGATGCGATGTGATCTGATGCCGTCATGAAAGACTTCCCCTTTGCCTTCCCGCAGCCCGTCTGTGTACATATCCACTCCTCCCTGTTGCAGCCCGTGGAAATCAGAGCGATTGCTGGATCCTGGAGAATAGGCGTGATCAGCGCAGAGGTGCGCAAGGGTGCAGCTGCGACAGTGGACCCCAACGTTAGCACTCGGAATGAAGGAAAAAACCGAAGGTGCGAAACACGGATGCGAAAGATCACCGCAATTACCATTGATCCTATGCACCCTTCCCAAGGTAAGGTGCCACTTCCCTATGTTATTCTGCCGCTCTGTGACGAACATATCATGATTTGAGTCATAATGGTGTCCGCTGCAGAGAGAGCAGGATAGCGAAGGATAGTGGACCAGAATCTTCTTGCCGTTACACAATGAATCTTCTTGAGTGTAGGCATTCCCAACTTGAATCCGCCTGTTTGTACTCTTTACCGGATTTTCCGCACTTCCTATCTCTCCGTCCCCCATGTGTAGCTCTTCGTGCCTCCCGATTTCATCATCACATTCGTTTCCTCCCACTTCTTGAAATCTGGTCGCATGGCTATGCCTTCTGCTGATTTCCTCGTCTCTTATTGAAATATACCTCGCGCGGTTCCTCCTTACTTCGGCGTCGCTCGTATTTTCAGGATCGCTTACTGACATTGCGCGTATAGAATCAGGGTGTTACCAGCGGCTCCGTGCTTCCACCGCGTACCAGCCGAGCAGGGACGAAGCAATTTTTTTTAACGTTTTAACGAAGGACTGCTGTTGCATTCACGAATTCAAACAAATACGTGAACATTCTCGTAGATTTACATTTCACGATTCTTTTTTTCTTGGTCATAGAGTGTCGTCTGCACTCAGCGTGACGTTCCCGAGAACAAAGCTTTGGCGTTTGGTCGTCACGAATCAAGGATTCTTATTTTTTATTGAACGACAGGTTCAGGTCGATTGAACAATACGTTTCTCGAAGCGCCGGAGAGATTGGACTCAGAAACATATATTAATTTAGCAAGACTCTTGTCGGCCATCTCTCTAGATTACATGATTGCATGTGACCTTAGAAGCTGAGCTGAGGAAGATGGGTGCTGGCCGAAAGACCACGACGTATCAGTATGACACGGCAAACCAGAAGGGAGATTCGTCGCGCCAGCGCGTGCAGTTCCGCCTGTTGCCGCGGGAGCAGCTGGGGGGTTGCGTGTTCGGATGCACCAAGGAGACTTTCTCGGAATGTATCAGAAAAGAGCTATTTGGTGAGTGTTCTTATAGCGAGTATGTAACAGAGAAACTTGGCCATCAGCGCGTGCAGTTCCGCCTGTTGCCGCGGGAGCAGCTGGGGGGTTGCGTGTTCGGATGCACCAAGGAGACTTTCTCGGAATGTATCAGAAAAGAGCTATTTGGTGAGTGTTCTTATAGCGAGTATGTAACAGAGAAACTTGGCCATCAGCGCGTGCAGTTCCGCCTGTTGCCGCGGGAGCAGCTGGGGGGTTGCGTGTTCGGATGCACCAAAGAGACTTTCTCGGAATATATCAGAAAAGAGCTATTTGGTGAGTGTTCTTATAGCGAGTATGTACCAGAGAAACTTGGCCATCAGCGTGTGCAGTTCCGCCTGTTGCCGCGGGAGCATCTGGGGGGTTGCGTGTTCGGATGCACCAAAGAGACTTTCTCGGAATGTGTCACAAAAGAACTTTTCGGTGAGCGTTCTTATAACGATTTCTTGGCGCTCAACTGTCAAAAGAGGATGTAAAAAGCATTACCTTCCGGTCCGGTCATTAATCTCTTTTCCCTGTTCCCACCGTCCCACTCTCCCCTCACAGGCCTGCCATACAACCACATGGAGTACGTTCAGAACATCGCCTGGCATTCCTGTCTTCCTTTTGATTCGATCAAAAGAGCTTACGTATCCTCGCTTCTCCCTCTCTTGCCTCGCCTCCTTGCCAGGCCTGCCCTACAACCACATGGAGTACGTTCAGAACATCAAACCCGGCTTGCCTCTCTTCCTCTTTAACTACTCGGACCGCCGCTTACACGGGATCTTTGAGGCGGTCAGCCATGGCGATTTGGAAATCGACCCACATGGCTGGACGGGCAAGAATGGCGGCGAGACACGCTTCCCCGCCCAGGTACCTGTCTTGCTCTGTGCTGGTTTCTCTTCTTTGTTGTCTCCCTCTCCATGGGTCCGTCTCTCTTCCCTGCTGTCCTCCTTGCCGTCTCGCTCCCGGCTTGCCTCTCTTCCTCTTTAACTACTCGGACCGCCGTTTACACGGGATCTTTGAGGCGGTCAGCCATGGCGATTTGGAAATCGACCCTCATGGCTGGACGGGCAAGAATGGCGGCGAGACACGCTTCCCCGCCCAGGTTGGTACCCTCCCTGCTCTTTCCATCCACTCCCTGCCCAAGTTTCCTCCTCCTCTCTCTACCAGTCTCTCGTCCCTGCTGTTTCTCCAAAGGTCTGCCTGCCGTCCCCTCCCCGGTGTATCTCCCGGCATGCCTCTCTTCCTCTTCAACTACTCGGATCGCCGCTTACACGGGGTGTTTGAGGCAGTCGGCCACGGAGATCTGGAGATCGACCCTCATGGCTGGATGGGCAGGAATGGCGGCGAGACACGCTTCCCCGCCCAGGTAGGTACCCTCCCTGCTCTTTCCTTCTTTCTATTCTCTGGTCCCTTTGCAAATCGCAAGCCTCTCGTCGCTGCTGTCTCTCCAAGGGGCCGCCTCTCTTCCCTGGTCTCTCCTCCCTACGCTCCGTCTCCCAGCATGCCTCCCTTTCTCTCTAACTACTTGCACCGCCCAGGGGCTTGCAAGGAGTAGATTCAACCCGCGTTCCCTTCTTCGGCCTTGCCTCTGTTCGCCCTTCCCCTCCTCCCTTCTGCCTTGTCCTCTTTGGCCCTACTTCTTCCCCTCCCTCTCCCCATCCCCTTTTCCTCCCCTTCCGACCAGGTGCGGGTTCGTTTGCGTCACAACTGTTCCCCTCTCCCAGAGGCCACCTACGGCCCGGCCCTATCAGCCAACTACTACTCTGTCACGCACTTCATGTTCGAATTAGGCCACCAGCAGACCCACCTGGTTCACAGTTAGCCTGCCTTCCCACCCCTACTCCCCTCTCCAGGTGAAGTTCCGTCTGCGCCACAAGTGTTCCCCTCTCCCTGAGACCACGTACGGCCCGGCCCTATCAGCCAACTACTACTCCTCCACGCACTTCATGTTCAAATTAGACCACCAGCAGACCCATACAGACCTGCTTCATGCTTCAACCTACCTTCTCTTCCCTTTACCTTGCGTCTGTTTTCCCTTCCCCTCCTCCCTTCGGCCTTGGCCTCTTTTGCCCTCGTCCCCTCCTCCCCCTCCCCATCCCCCCTACCCCTCCCCCTCCCCCCAGGTGAAGGTTCGTCTGCGCCACAAGTTTTCCCCTCTCCCTGAGAGCACCTACGGCCCGACCCTATCAGCCAACTACTACTCCCCCACACACTTCTTCTTCGAATTGGACCACCAGCAAACCCAGAAGCTCCTCGCTCTCTACTGCAAGCACACCCCTGCCGCTGGCCCCTCCCGCCCTAGCACGTCTTTTACTTCGTCTCAGAAACCCACTCACTCAGCCGTCTTCCTTCCGCTCCCTTCCCCCTCTTTTTCCTCCCTTTCAGGTGAAGGTTCGTCTGCGCCACAGGTGCTCCCCTCTCCCCGAGACCGCCTACGGCCCAGCCCTCAACTACTACTCCCCCACGCACTTCTTTTTCGAATTGGAACACCAGCAGACCCAGAAGCTCCTCGCTCTCTACTGCAAGCACTCCCCTGCCGCTGGCCCATCCCGCCCCAGCCCATCTTTTGATTCGTCTCGGAAACCCGCTCTCACTCAGCCACCGACTGGATTTCCCTCTCATCCCTCTCATCCGCCTCTGAATCCCCTTCCTCCTGCCGCTGCTTCGCCGCACAAACCCCTCCCCCTACCCCGCCCCTCCTCCTCTTCATCCTCCAATTCATCCTCCTCTGCCGCTTCATCCTCCCAACCACCTTGGCATTCTTCCGCTCCTCCTCCTGGACCTCATCCCGGACCTCATGCCGGACCTTCCAAGCCATCCGGACCTAATTACACATCCAATTCCGGACCCCCATCCAAATCTGGAGCTTGGAACCGCCCCGAACCTCAACCCGGGCCTGGATCTTGGTCCAATTCCGAGCCTCCCTCCAAACCTGGACCACAAAATGGCCCAGGGTTTGGTGCCGGACCTCGCCCCGGACCTGGACACGGGCCTGGGCCATGGGTTGGGCCTAGAACAGGCGGGAACCCCCCAGCCCGTGACTCCTGGGTTTCATCTGTTCCGGGTCCTGCGCAGTCAACCCAAGTCAACGCATCTTCTGTGCCCTGGGTTTCATCTTCTCCTAGTTCTAGTGGGTCAACCAAAGTCAACGCCCCTGCTGTGCCTTGGGTTACATCTGCCCCGGTTACATCTTCCCCTGTCAAAGACCCACTGGGAAAGGAAGGTTCTAAGAAGGCTGTCGGTGAGAAACTCATAGGTAAACCCGATGACTTGATCGTTCCCAAGCCTCGTCCGAAAACAGGCTCGGCACCAGCTTCGGCGGCTATCCGAGCCTGGCTGCTGCCCTCCAGTGGCAGTGGTAATTCTGGTATGGACAAGGACCCGAAGCTTCCTGAGGTTTCAACCACGTCTGCAATACCAGCAGCAGTAGCAGCATCATCATCAGGCGCAGCAGTTTCAGCAGCAGTATCAGCAGCAGTAGCAGCAGCAGCAGCAGCAACCACAGCAGCAGCAGCAGCCACAGCAGCACCACCAGCACCAGTAACAGCAGCTGCAGATGATAGTGATGATGAAAGCAGTGACAGTGGGTATAGTGGTAGTGGTGGTGATAATACGAGTGGTGATGATAGTGGTGTTGGTGATAGTAACGGTGGTAGTGATGGTGGGAGTGCTGGTGCTGCTACCAGTAATGGGAAAGGGGATAAGAGAGCAGCTAAGTCAGCACATGTTTCTGGGGCGAAAAAGGAGGACCCAGGACTGAAATATGTGGCTACAGATGCAACAGCCACGTCAGAAGGAACAGCACTTGTGACTTCTGCAGCTACAGCAGCTGTATTGCCTGCAGCAGCAACAATGGTACCGCCAGCACCAGCAGCAGCACCACTCCCATCAACATCACCAGCAATGGCAGCAGCACCAGCATTGGCACCAGCAGCAACACCACCAACCCCAACAGCAGCAGCACCAGCAGCAACAGCAGCACCGGCAGCACCAGCACCAGCACCAGCACCAGCAGCAGCAGCAGCAACAGCAGCACCAGCAGCACCAGCACCAGCAGCAGCATCACTGGCCCCAACAGCAGCAGGACCAGCAGCACCAGCGTCACCATCCTTACCAGCGGCAACACCAGACACACAGAGCTCTGCAGCAACAGCCCCAATGGCATACTATGCCCTCGCGTATCCCCCCACCCAATACCCTGGTGCCCCTGGAAATTACCCCTTTCCGTATTCCATGCCCATGCCCTTGCCCATTCCCATGCACATGCACATGCCTATGCCAATGTCTATGCCTATTCCCATGCCTATGTCCATGGCTGGAGCAGGGGGTGCTGGTTATGCTCCTCCCCCTCAGCAGCCGCAGCAGCAGCAAGAGCAACAGCAGCAACAGCAAGAGCAGCAGCAGCAGCAGCAGCAGCAGCAGCAGCAGCAGCAGGAATGGTGGGCACAGGCATCAATGCAAGCACAGATGCACCCGCAAATGCAGCATCCATATCACCAACAAGAGCAGTACCTGCACCAGCAACAGCAGCAGGAGCAGCAGCAGCAGCAACAGCAGAAGCAGCAGCAGGAGCAGCAGCAGCAGCAACAAGCTCAGCAGAAGCAGCGGGAGCAAGAGCAGCAGAAGCAGCAACAACAGGAGGCAGTATCAGCAGCAGGAGCAGTGGATGCAATCGCCATGGCAGGCCTAGCAGCAACAGTGCAGCAGAGCCTTGCAATGGTAACCAGTGCCATGCAGCAGTGGGCCCAGGAGCGGGCTCAGCTGCGTGTGTCACTAGAGCAGACCCAGGCAGATCTGGTGCAGGTGAAAGCGGCTCGGGAGGAGGATCGGGCAGAGATTGGGAGGTTGCGGGGAGAGGTGGTGCGGATGCAGGGGGATGGTGTGGCGTTGAGACAGCTCCAGGCAGAGTTTGGTCGGTTGCAGGCAAAACAGGTGATTGCATGAGGGAGGTGGGATGGATGTGAATGCGGTGGAGGTTGGAAGGTTGAGATGAGAGGTGGTGAGCTTCCTGGCGGATGGTGTGGCATTGAGGCAGCTCAAAACAAAATCGGTCGGCTACAGGCGAAACGGGTGATCGTATGAGGGAGGTGGGAAGAAATTGCAACATTTCATCGCTTCACTGCTCTTCATGCAATTTTCTTTGTGGAATGTGTTGTGGTGGTTTCTGTTTGATGCTTGCGTATTTCTCCAGATGGCAGTGGAGCCAACTATCGTGCGAGAGCTTGCGTCGGACCATTCTTTAATTGGTCGAGAAGAAGTTGAAGAGCAAGGATTATCAGGAGACTCGAAACCAGTTGAGGATTCTCGTCAACAAGAACCAAGTGGAAGTACACCGGTTGCTGATTGGGCAGAAGAGACTGGGTAATTGTTTGTTGAGATTCCAAACTTCGCTGGTGAATGTTTACAACGCGTATACAGATTCCACTTTCTAGAGATTTGCAATGTGGTGCGTCTACCTCAACCCCGTCAGCAATGAATCCTCTAGCAAATGGTCTGAAGTCAAAGCCAGGTTCGGTTTGTCCATCTGCCAATCACATATGGCCAGGAGCTCCCTTCAGTGCTTCGGCTGAGGTGCGTGCCCCATGAAACAAGGGATAGCCACAAATGTCCCCTCTAACCAGGCGCTTTTGCTTACATGGACCCTCTTTTCCTGAGAACTGGGCCTGCTGTTCGCGAAGATGATTCTACCTCGCCGAAGTTTCGCGGGTCCATTCAACAAAAGGGCGGCAGATATTCGACACTCTCAAACTACGTAACAGTTCGCTATTGTTCGTGAGTGTATGAACCTCTGAATCAAATGCATACTTTTCGTGCTTCTTCCTGGATTCTCTGTTTAGTGCTTCACTTCTGTATCTGCTACTGATTTTGTTTCTTCGACTGAAATCCGCAAGCTTAGCTTGTTGTTTCACCATCCCAGGTACCTTAGGTTCTTGAATCTTGCAATCACCAAGTTATTACGTTTTTCAAAGATCGTGTAGTGAAATTTCTCCTCGCTTCTGTGGTTGTTAATATAGTCTACGCGTTCGTTGTTCCCAGTACTTCCGCTAGCGACGATATCCAACATGGCTGCTTGTTTGAGGGCAGGGGCTTTGGCAGGCGGTCAGGCCGGCAGACTATCGACCAGCTTGAACGGAAGTTTATTTGGGAAGTCATTTTCGTCTCTTTCCTCTGCTGGACCAACGCTGCGCCTCCGAAAGTCGCACGGCGTTCGAGCTGTAGCCGAGGTAAAGTCATTTTGCCTCTGACTACTTCTTGTGGTATTTTGATAGAATAAAAAAACTGCTTCTTCTTCCTTTCATTTCACCGTCGAGAGTGGGACTTTTCAACCTTCGTCTTTAAACAAATCTCCTCCATTCAGGATAACAAGGTCAAGGAGGAGCTCCAGAAGATCGCATCTGAAGCGTCCAAGAAATTCCAGAAGATTACTGAAGGCGCTTCGCACGTCTTAGAAGACGCTGCCCATGCCATTGAAGACAAGGTTAAGCTTCCAACCCCCGATGAGCTGCAAGAGCTTCAGGTGCAAACCCAGCAAGCAGCATCAGAGGTGAAGCATAAGGCCGAGATTCTGGCAGAGCAACTTAAAGTCCAAGCTGAGAAGGCAAAGGTGCAGATTAAGGAGCAGGCGGAGAAAGCGTCGCATCAGATAGAAGAAGCGCTGCATCACGTGGAGGAGAATAAGGATCAGATTGTTGCTGTTGCTAAAGACGCTCCGGAACCCATCAGGGAGATTGTGGAGACAGCCGTGTCATCACATTCTAAGGACGCTATCAGGAGAGGAGCTGTGATTCATGACTTCTGTCTGGGAATCCCATATGGTAGGTCTCAGTTTCAACCTCCACCACCCTGAGTCACTGAGCTGTGATTGTTTGCTGTTGATTGCGTATCATGTCCTTGTGCTATTTGTTACTGTTGTGTATAGGTCACTTGGGTCATGTCTCAATGAAACTGCCTTGCTGTTTGTCTTCAGGTGCCCTGCTGGTGGTCGGAGGGGTGACCTGGTTCACTCTGGCAGGGAGCGTCAACGCCCTTCGATTTGGCATGATCGTTGGGGGTATTATTCTCGCGTGTAGCATCTCCAGCCTCCATGCCTGGCAGAATCACCGTCCTTCCGCACTGTACATTGCTATTCAAGGAGGTGAGTAATTCGTATTTCTATCAAGATTATTTTGAGACATTCAGGCTTGTCTGGTCGTGTGGCATTTCTCTTGCAGCGCGAACAGGGCACTACGAGCATAAAAGCTCAATTTCGTTCATTTTTTACCCCTTGATGTGCTTTCCCCTGCAGTGCTGTCAAGCTTTGTGTTCATCAATGAAGCAACTCGCTTCGCTGTGGTACGCTCTTGATGCTGTTTTTTCTTGTGCCCTGCTCTTTCTCTTTGCGTTATTGATTTTGATTACGCATGCAACTGGAAGACAGCCTCCTGTGTCTGCGCAGTGGTACATGTTTACTGACAAATAGTTCTATTCAACACTTCCTGCTATTATTCGTCCAAAATGACTCACATGCTGGTTCGCATTCCTTTCTGTGTGTTGATGTTGTCAGACCAAGGCACTCTTCCCAACTGGCTTGGCTGCACTTGCAAGGTATGACATGCTGAGTCGCCTCCACTGTGCATGTTGGTGCTTTTGTTTAACTCAGCTGTTATTTTCAGCCGCTTTGCAGTTGCTTACTGTCGCTGTTACCGCTATCGATATTGTTGTCAACGTGTTCCACTCTCTTTGGCTGTGTGATTGCTCCCTCGTGCAGCTTGTTCATGGTGGCCTTCTATACGTACATTTTCATGTCTGGAGGAAACCGTCCGAAGGCACAAACACCTAGCCTTGCATAGCCTGGTAGTAGCAGAACATCAGCACCTTTGAGGGGACCGCCAGAAGGGTACAGTCTTCCATTGTACCACTAAACGTTTTCAGTTTTTGATGGTTGCAGTAGACTCTGCACACAAGATACCTCCATAGGAAAAATCCATGCGCATCACATGTTATCAATTGAAGAGCTACCATGCTAAGTACATTGCACATTGATACCATATGATTCTTGCAATACTAGGTTCAAGCTGAAAAATGGTAAGCATGTTTGATTAGCATTTTGCTCCTTACCTGAACATTTGTTGGTGCTAACCCTACATGCGCTCAGGCACGTGTTATTAGAATCAGTGCCTTACAAGAGATGAGAGGTGAGAGGGAAAAGAAACTACGGTAAGCCAAACTCCGCCTATATTATCAAAATAAATGACAACTCACGCAGTGAGCACAAACACACGCAAGCAAACAGGGTCAAGAGAGCAAAGCGTCAGCCAAGCTCGGAGGTTAGTACAGTCAGTGTCAGTGACCGTCAGATGAACTCGCCAGATGAAGCGGTGAACACTCAAGGAGACTCAGGCAACACCCTAGCCGTTACAGCTGGGCATCGGTACGACTCCACCTCCCGCGGCGGTGTCCGTACGCCCTTCTCGCACGCTGCTTGACACTCGTACGGATGCGTACGAGCCACATTGCCTTGGGGCCCCTTGAACATTGTGAGTGCTGACATGTCAATGAGGGAAGCTGCGTCGAAGGCGACCTCTGACTGCCACAGCTCCGCTTCAAGCTTCTTGCAGTACGCATAGAAGGCTTCAGTTGTAACGTTCATGCGGAAGTCCAGGCGGAACAGTATTTCCATCTCCAGACGGTTCATCTCGGCAGTTGTGACTCCGCCGACTTTGGCGTAGTACGCGTTGTTGAAATACCTGAACGGAAATGAAACGGAAACAAATAGGAGAACTTGGTGAGATGAGGTGTCATGGGTGCACGTTGTTAGGCTGAACGGCCAGAACATGAAGTTTGATCCACATTGACATTTCAATCATCGCTGAACATGATACTGGGCTCTTTTTTGCTTGCACCATTGTTGTTTTCTGTTATCCTACCAAAAATGGGAGAAGCTTAATTTGGCAAGTTTGCACAGTAGCACTTACGAGTCATCGAGAAATTTCGCGGCGACCATGACGGATGTGATGAGCAGGCGATGCACATTGAGTGACGTCACCACCATGTCATCATGCCGCTCCACCATCTTCTCCACATAGATATACGCCAGGACGAAGCACGCAGGGCTGCAATTGGCGTATTTAAATATCCTCTCCATGTACTTTTCGACTCCGATGGCCGGAGCGCGCAGCCCGTGAAAAACGGTCAGCTTCTCTTCGCTGCCCTTGGCTTGATTGGCCTCGTTCCGCTCCACGATTTGGTCGTAGATCGTCGCGAGGACAGAAAGAACGCGAGGCCTTTCGCAAAGCAAGTTCGGATCGAGCTCTAAGGTGGCGAGGCAGCTGGGAGCAGCCTTGGCCTGTGCGCTGAACGACAGAGAACCCCCCTTGCCCATTTTGACTTAAGACTGTTTGCCTTGCGGAAGAAATGCGCCTGATTTGGATTCACAACTAAAATTCAAAGAATGGCTGAGTTTGCAGGAAATGTAGCACCGAATGCCGATTGCTGGAATATGAGCTCGCACACGAATGCTAATAAAAGACACGCACAGCACGCGACGGAGGTCTCTGAGAAGGTAAGGAAGTGGCAAGCGAAGAGGCAGACGATTAGGTTACTAAGGAAACGGAAGCAGGAAGGCGACGAGAGAAAGGGCTCGGGGTGACCCGTGCAGAACGAGAGGCACACCTGAGCGAAATATGAGGATTAGGACGAATGAATGGTAAGCTTATATTTTGTTCGAGCGAGGATGAACGCGTAAATGGCCGACAGCGGGCAAAGCGACTCTGCCTCGCTTCCCTCTCTGGCTGGCCCCCTCCAGGTCTCTGGCTCTCTGGGGTTGGCTCGCTGCTTCTCGGGCTCTGATTCTCTGGCTCGCCTGGCGGACAGTCTGCCTCTCTCTCAACAACTCTCTGTCTGACATTGGCAATAGACGAGGGCTACCGCTATCCACGTGGAATGCATCGAATGGAACGATTCACGATCGACGGTCTGAAACCTAGCATGAAATTACGATCTTTTGGAGATTGGGAAAATCGAGGTGTCGAATGGGGAGAGACGAAACGACTTGGGAAGTTTGATTGGCTGGTTTGCGTCATAGCTGGAGGCTTTATGTACAGTGTGTGTCGTGGTGATAGGAGGAGGATGAGATGAAACGCAGGGGGTGCACGATGATGGAGGGCTGATTGGTCGGAAGGGGAGCGGGAGGGGTACTAAGAGTATCAAAACTCGCAGCGACAACATTGTGAAATGAAACGAGGCGCATGTGTGTGATGCGATGAGATCGAAGCGCTGCCGTCAATCGACCCGCCAGTGCCCACTTTCGAAAATCTCTGCCTCGACCACGGGTTGGTCCCTTGGACACAGCTACCGCTGATTGGCTGACCATGGCCTCCTGGTCCCACAGCGCGTACCCTTCCTTTCTTTCAGATGCTGGAAAGGAAAGAGAAGGAAGTGACAGGCTGGCAGACATTTCCATCCCTCCCTGTGGGCGAGTCGCATTTGGGGGGATGTTTTCGGGTTTCCCAGCAACAGCTGGTCTGCGACATGGCTGGAACGTGCCCAGCTGTTCCCTGCGCACCCTGACCAGGGTGCCGTTGGGTTCGCCAGCCATCCATTTCACGCCACAGCGTCTCGATGATGAGACGCAGTGACTTCTGTCGTATGCATTCGGGGAACATTTCATGCCTACGTGGCAGGAACCATGAGTTTCGCTGTCGCCCAACCCCGAATCGAGTCGCATTGCCCTCCTTTAGAGCACAGCCTGCGATAGAAGGAGCTGAGCAGCGACCACAGCTCAATTCTAACGATGACGGCGAAAGCAAGGGATGACCTTTGCGCCAGAAATCAGGGGAGCAATTTGTGCCAACGGACACGCAAATGTGAGGACGTGGTGTGAAAAGGCCCGCGAAGCATTTGCCCGCCGGTGGCGGAAAACGACAGGCAGGACCAAAAGTTTGCGCATCGACGCCGATGTGTCACTTTCCATACAGCGACAACCCAAGAACGAGCCAGTGCAGCTGCATTACTGTAGTGTACATAAACCAATACAAGGTTGAGAGATCACAAGTCACAGAAACCATGTTTGTTTACCTTCACAGGTGCATGAAATTTATTGAGAGGGAACTCAATTTAGTCTGGTTCAACGAATGGAAGCGGAAGGAAGCAAAGTAGTTTTTTTAGATGAAGCCAGCTGCGCTGCCCCATTTTTTATTCTTGTAACGACAACAATCCTTGTTAGTGGCTACCATGGACATTTGCCTGGACAGTGATGGCTAAGGTTGCAACTGGAGTGAAAGAAAGCATTCGTGAAGAATTCTTGAAATCATTATGGAATAAGCGTGGTAATACTATTTGGATTTCAATTGCTAGTCTACACAAACCAAGGGAAAATATAGCACAAGGAGAGAGTCTCTCCGAATTCAAGTGTGACATGGCTACGCCGCATGATGTCGCCTTATCTCCTCCAGCCCTTCCGTGCTTCACAGCACATAGCACGCATCCCAATCAGACAGCCACATATTGTGTTCCTGTGTCTGAATGGCGCCGAATATGATGCGACGTTACATCATATGCTTTCCCCCAGCTTCTAGATTTCTAACATCAACAGACTCCTCTCCCCTTACGAGGATTCCTACACATCTACAAGTCTTAAGGAATCTACTCATTAGTGCACTCGACTACAGTAAGTGAGCAAGTGTATCTTGTCAAGATCGTATATGTATGGACGAGCGCAATCACTTGACGCGCCCATCCCCTTGTGCCGCCACCTGCCATCATCCGTCAGCGATATCAGTTCTGTCAAAACGTTAACGCCGACCGTCAAGGAGACCCGTTCACGAGCGTTCTCGCCCGCATTGACGGATACCGGTACGATTCCACCTCTCGCGGGGGTGTCCGAACGCCTTTTTGCACCTCCACGTGGCAAGGCTGCACGCGTGCCAGGTGGCCGGGCGGCTTCAGCATGGATAACGAGTTGACGTCCAACGTGGCCTCGAAAGGTGGGCGCGAATTCCAAATCTCCGCTTCAAGCCGCTTGCAGTACGCGTAAAAGACGTCCGTTGTAATGTTCAAACGGAAGTCCATGCGAAATAGAAGCTCCATCTCCAAACGGTTCATCTCGGCTGTAGTAACGCCTCCGACCTTGGCGTAGTACGCGTTATTGAAGTACCTGTAAGAGAGAGTGTAAAGAATGTGGAGAAAGAAAATGCTTTAGCGAAGCAGAGCAAAATAGTATGAGGTATTATGAATGACGTTATCAGATAACACTGTGGTCACTAGATGCGGAGGCTGCGTATCCGAGAGGACAAGAACAAGAATGTGGTGACGGACGCGAATGACAACTTGCGCGAAATAATATCGTTCATGAGGGTGGTTACCACTTACGAGTCATCGAGAAACTTCGCGGCGACCATGATGCAGGTGATGAGCAGGCGATGCACATTCAGCGACGTGATCACCATGTCGTCATGCTCTTGCAAGATACGGTCGATGTACGCATACGCCACGACAAAGCACGCCGGACTGCAGTTGGCGTACTTAAATATCCGCTCCAGGTACTTTTCCACGGTGATTGCCGGCGCGCGAAGCCCGTGAAAAACCGTCAACTTGCGGTTACCGGATTTCGCCTGTTTCGCTTCGTTACGTGACACCACATGGTCGAGGATGCTGGAGAGGATACCGAGTATCCGGGGCCGCTCGGCAGTTGTGTCTGGCTCAATTTCGAGCGTCGAAAGGCCCGAGTAGCTCTTGGGCTGTGCGATCAGTGCAGGAGGGAGAGAACCACCTTTCCCCATTATTCCTAATTATTAATAGTTGCTAATACTTCCACTGGTGCGGAAAAGGCTACGAAAAGTCGAGCAAATCCTTGGAGGTGAGGAGCTAGCTCGTTAACACAAAGGACTGCGTCGATGAAGGTTGAACATGAGCGCGTGTTATGCGTGCTACGTGAATGGAATATTAGGAAGATGCGAATGGGGACGACGATGCTGCAAGGCGCGCGGCTCTTTTACGTCAATGGATAGCGATTGTTGTTGACAAGCACTGGTGGGCAAGTGCTCAAGTTCGAGAGAGGGATAGCAGGAGTGAATTGTGGGAGTCGAATGTGGGGAGGGGGGAGTAATATGATGCTGACGGACAGGCGGACATTTTGAAATTGAGATGCGGATTTTGATGTTTGACGGCGCCAGGTGTTCGCGTCGATCGCCCTCCCCGTGATCGCTTCGGCGTTCGCGAAATTGAGTCGCCTCGCCTCGCTTCGCACTTGCGCACATTGTGTTTTCCGCTTCAGCTGCCCCACCCCCGAGAAAGGGGTCTCCCTCGCCGCGAACCTCTCCGCACACGCGAATCGCCAGGCGAGGAAATTGTGCAGGGCAGTCACCCAAAGGGGACTCGTGGACTTTCGGCTGCCCGCACCAGGCCGTCATCGCGTGTGGTGGTCTGCCCGTGCGTGAGCGCAGTGCGCAAATGCAGAGGCTTTGCGCCACGGTTGAGTTTGGTGCGCTAGGGGTTGGGTGCTGGTTGGGAGTGGGGAGAAATGCGCGGCTCGATGTTTCCGATCAAGTAACTCCTCGTTTATTTGTTCTCACTTCTCCCACCCAATGTTGATGGTGCGACTCGTCTAAAAGGAATTTACGCGGGAAATGGGGGAGTCAAAAGACTTGGTCGTTCCCTCTCAATAGTGATCCAGCTGTCGTGCCAACGGAGCTGGTTAGAACGCTTATCTAAGTACATTTGCGCAGAGAAGCTTGAAACAGAAGGTGTTTACCTAAGCATCTGAATCACAAAGGAGCGGATGTGGAATGTTGATGAGGTGGGGGGAGGACTGTGCTTGTCTTGACATGCACTTTCTTTGCAGGAAATACGGAACCTTGGCGAAACCTCGAATAAAGCTGAGAAGCAGGGAGGAGCCCGATTGGCTTACCGTTTCGCGAACGTCAGCAGTTTCACAAGCCCGTGTAACCAGGGTCACGAGCACCAGTTCGTGCGACGGCGAGCAACAGCAGCCGTCAGCTAGACTGACGACAACGACAAAGGCGACCACCTGTGAGTGTGACGTGCAAGGATTGAGCGAAGCGACAGATCCGATACAGTTTGTCTTGCTAAAAAAAGCGATTGCATTTTTACCAGCCAGTGAAGTGTACGCTGTTAAAGTCATTGTAACAAGCAACATAGACTCGGTAAAAATGAACAATCGTTTTCTGGCCAAAGAGAAAAATTTAACAATACAGACATCCCAGCACTCGAGCACAGAAATACACTCATATATCTCCAATATACAACCCAACATTTCTGTACTCATCCTAGCCACTACATTCTTCTCAGCACCATGCTGAGTGCTGCTCGCATAATTTTCAAGAGCATCACATCAGATAAAAAATTTAGTCAGCCTTGGCAGTTATTTTTCTGTTTCCAACTCTTCTTCTCGCGCATCTCTCCTGCTTCGCTCCCCCGTGTTCCCCCTCCTAGCCATTCCATCTCCCTTCTTTCTTGTGTACCGTACCACTCGCCCTCCTTCATCCTCTCACCCACTAGCATCCTGGCATACTGCATATCCTTGTGCTTACCATTACTGTAACTGTTTTCCTCACCCATATAACTCAAAAAACTGCTCTTCACCTCTTTTTGACACACCTCAAGCTCCTTCGCTCCCTCCTGCTCCAGCCTCCCCTTCGCATTCAACCAGGGAAGGGAGCTTTGAGTCCACTAGAAAAACTCTTCCCTCCCCTTTACTTTCAGTCTTATATGAGCGAACTGTTCCGTGAACCTAATCCCATCCTCTACTGCGTCGTACAAGGCTGGCAGCACAGGCCTCATGCTGAATAGTGAGTCGACCTCTGAGTTGACTCAAAACTCCTCATCCCGCCTCCCCTTCACTTTCACTCTCATTTGAGCGAACTGTTCTGTGAACCCAATCCCATCATCTGCTGTGTCGTACAAGGCTGGCAGCACAGGCCTCATGCTAACAGCACCAGCAGCGTTGAAAGCAGTAGCAGCAGTAGAAGAAGTGGCAGCAGTGGCAGCAGAGGAAGCAGAGGAAGCAGTGGCAGCAGTGACAGCAGTGGCTGCAGTGGCAGCAGTGGCAGCAGTGACAGCAGTAGAAGAAGTGACAGCAGTGGCAATACTAGAGAACTCCTCTTCCCGTCGTCCCTTCGCTTTCAATTTCATTTGAGCGAACTGTTCTGTGAACCCAATTCCGTCCTCTGCTGCGTCGTATAAGGCTGGCAGCACAGGCCTCACGCTGACAGCGCTGGCAGCATTGGAAGCGCTGGCAGCAGTAGAAGAAGTGACAGCACTGGCAGCACCACTAGAAGAATGATTCTGTAATGGAACAGGCTGTTCTGTAGACCCAGCGCCATCCTCTGCTGCCGCGGGCAGCACAGGCCGCAATCTGGCAGCACTGGCAGCGCCGCTGCCAACGCGAGCAACGCTGGTTGTACGAGCAGCACTAGCGACACGGCCAGCACGAGCAGAGGTGGCAGCACTGGCAACACTGGCAGCACGGCCAACGCTGGCAGCGGCATGTACCCTCAGTTGAGCGAACTGCTCCGTATATCCACCCTCTCCATCCTCTGCCGCATCATAGAATGCTGGCCGTAGCGGCTCCTGAAAACCCACCTTCCCATATCCCCCACCCACAGAAGCTGTCTCTGAAACAGTGACCAGAAGCTCGTTGCCGTTGTCATAGTTGGTCCTGTTTTCGCTGCCTGCATGCTGCTGCTGCTGCTGTAGTAGGTAGTGTAGATCAGCCACAAGCTGAAGCTCCTGCAGTTCCTCCTCCAACGCCCCATCTGACCAATCGTCCGCAATTTCCTGCCCATCCTCATCGTTCACCTCCTGCTTCACCTCCCTGACCGCGTTCCCCCCCTTATCCTCCTCTTCCTTGTCCCGACTCTCGTCCCTACTTGCTGTGCCCACTAATGCATCTCTCTTCCCCTCCTTATTCTCCACTGCGTTCTCCTGCTCCAACACCCCACCACTCCCATCGTCCGAATCAACACCGACAACATCCCCTCTATCACTCTCAGCACCTAAAACACTCAGTTCTGGAGGCAAGGGCTCATTCTCCCATGGGCCAGGAGCTGCCGCAGCTTCATGGTACATCCGAAGCAAGTCCAACGCATCTTGCCTGCGCATCTTGCCCTGATTCAGTAACTCTTTAAGCGAGTCTCTTCCAGAGGAAGCATCATAGGATGATGCACAAGGAGTGGCAGAAGAAACGGCAGAGACAGCACCGGGAGTCGAGGCAGATGCAGAGAGGTTACCAACGGTAACACCAGGAGGAGGAGAGGAAGTATATATGGTAGGGGAGGATATCAACGGCCCTCCACGGGCATAAGGAAGCAGGGCACTGGGTGGGATGCGAAATGATCCGCTATAAGCAACTGGAGAGGGCAGCGCTCCGTTATAAGGAATGTATGCTATTCCTGCACTTGGTGTGCTGGACTGCGTAGGTGATGGGGATGTATAGGCACCATGGGAGAATTGCTCAAACGAAGGCATGAGAGCTGAAGCCTGAGGCTGTTTCGTTACAATCACAAGCTCTGACATGCCTTCAGGAGCAACAGGTGCATAAAGTGACAGTCCCGCTGCTGGTTGCTGGCATGAACTAGGATCTGAAGGCGATATGTGAGGCGCCTCAAGAGCTGACTGCTGCAGCTGCAATCGTGATTGAGGGTCTCTGGACGGTTGGCTGGATTGCTCTGTCAGCACAGAGGATTCGCCCAAGCTCTGTGATTGGCTGGAGAGCCAGTGGTGGAAGCGGAAGAGGCGGAGGAAGCGGGCTCTGGCTCGGGGGTCGACCTGGGGTGAGGAAATGACCGACCGTGCCACGTCAGCGCCTGAAAGCGAATCAGGAGCAGCACCCGGATTGGATTTATTTTGCAATGTAGCAACGTCCCCTTCGGCCTTTCCTTCTCGTCCACCACATTCCGACCCTCCTCCCGCTCCTCTTCCCCCTCCACCTCCGGCTCCTTCTGATCCTCCCGCTGCTGCATTTTCTGTGGACACTTCCCTTCCACCTTCTGCTCCTTCTGCTACAACTGCCACGTCAGCCATTCCTTTCTTCTTCCGCCGGCCGTCTCCGCTGTTTCGCTCATTCCCACGCTCCTTTATCATACTACCCATGCCTGTCACTTTGCTCCTCATCTTGGTGGAGAATCGCTGCAGCAAGCTGCTTGAGGGACCAGATTCCGACGTTGTATTACTAGAGGGTACTAAATCACAAGCTCCAGGTTCTGGAACATTAATTTTGCCCTCGTTAGCGGCGTCCGCAGCGTCACATTCTGTCGAGTTTTTTGGCGTGGTCGCTGCCATTTCCACGGAGTCGTCGTCAGCTTCTTGTGCGGAAAATTAGGTAGATGCTAACAATATATAATGATAATATTAATATGGGGAACGAGCAGGAAAACGACGCTTGCAGATGGCAAAACTAGGTAGTAGTTGAGAGTTGACGAGAGGAGAAGGGAAAATATCTGGATATCAAACGGTGTGAACTGGACGGTAAGGGATTATGTACGGACAAGGAGTTTGCCTCTAAGAACGTGTATGGGAGAGCAGAGTGGAACCATCTATTGCTTTGCGCAACGGGTTGAGAGGAGGAAACGGAGGCGAATATTGGGAGACGACGAAGCGACTTGGAAAGGTGCGGCCTTGTCTGCGTCGTTTGTTGATTCCTAGTGCTAACTTGCTGAGTGAATAAATATGTGATAAAATGCCGCTTCCGCCTTGTGGTGGGCTGGTGCGGGGGGAGCTGGCCTGCAATGTTCAGTGCGATTCTGAAAATTAACCGCTTAGGACCGCAACGTACCGGACGAACATGACCTTGAAGGGTAGCCTGGGAAAGAAAGAACACACAGCACAAGACGAACATGCGGTCAATTTCGGTTCAGGCCGGTAAAGGGAACAAAAAAGGTGGAGCCACTTTGGACATTTTCAGGCATAGACCTGCCAGTAGTTTCGCCAATATTCCGTAGCTTCCTATTTTCCTCCGAGAGAAAGTAGGCAGGCATCTATTACCGCGCGATCTTGCAGGTTGTCTACTGCCATGTCCACTCGCTTCCCTGTTCCCAGGTCTATCCGGGAAACCATTTTCAATCCAGTTAGGTCACCAGGTCGCGCGGGTATCAGTGCGGGTGGCACGACGTCTTCCGCAGCGTTCTTCTCCAGTGAAGCCGCAGGCCCTGCGGGTCCGAAGAATCCTCTCCCGGGCCCGCGATCCACTCGGCTCTTTCGATTGCTGAACCCCGAGCTCTTCATAAAGCCGAACGCGGCGGTTGCGCTGGTCGGCACGGTTGCGTTCGTGGGTGTGTTGGGATCGCTGTATCTTGAGAAGCAGGCAGTTGAGAAGCAGAGAGCGGAGGCGAAAGCAGCGGCTGAAGCGGCGTCGTTGGCGTTCGGCCGAACGCTATCTTCGGACGACAGGGTTTAGTCAGATTGGTACAGTAGGGTGCACGGAAATAGTGATTTCGTTTCCGTGGCTGTAGGTTTAGTAGCTGCTTTAGACTTCCCTCACTGCTCCATACGGACGATAGTTGTGTCCATGAGATGCTCTGCTCGAAGATGTTGGGTGATATCGTCAGCATGCTTCATAGAGGCGCCATTCTTTCTCTTCACTGTGCTATCTTCAGTGCTGCATATGCTCTAGTACTCGTGGTTGCGGCAAAGCCTGAGCTGGCAAACTGCAGTCATGCAGGTGAGGTGCGTGTGTAGTTCCGTATGTTGTCTGCTCAACATAATCCTGAGCATCCGTTTTGATTGGTAGTTACACACCATGCCGTCCCTGTCTGTTTTCCAGGTCTTCCTTTTGTGAGAAGCATCGATTCAATTCTGTTGTCAAACTTTGGCCGCCCTGGGTTGTCTCACGCTACAATTGCGGGCCATGTTCACCATGGTACACAAGAGGTATGCATATACTTGGATAGGCTCGCTTCCGATGGTTGTAGGCATCACTGGTATATTCATGAAAATTTCTGTGATTTGTTATCAGGTAGAAGTATGGATGCAGACCTTTGCTCCCGGAAGTGGAACTCCCATTCACAGACATGGATGTGAGGAGCTGTTTGTAGTCCTTAATGGTACAGGGAAGCTGCTGTTTGCTCCAAATGTCCCTGATCTTGATGCACAAGGCACAATGCAGGCTCCAGAAAGGGAAAAGGAGCAAAGCATACCAGGTCTCCCTGTTTCTAGTCCCATCAGTGCGAACATGACCTTCATAGTGCCTTCTAATCAAGTCCATCAGGTATTTGCCTCTTGTTTTGTTTATCCTTTCTAGATGCGTCCATCTGTGAATCACTCCAAGAGTTATTCTTGACTATATGTGCTGCAGATCCTGAACAGCGCTCCTGAATGTGGCTCAGAGTCCTGCAACTTGCTGCAGCTTCTAGTCATCATATCAGAACCTCCAATCCACATGTAAGTTGAGAATCCAATCATGTCTCTGCAGAGTGCAACTTCTGTGATACTACAAGCATTTCGTGGTTTTGCAGATATGCCTACAGCTCATGGGATCTCCCACATAGGCAGGCTGTTCTCAAGTTCCCGTACCCGTGGGATCAAGTGTGTCCTGACGCAATTCCTCAATAGACCGTGCAGTGCACCGATGAACAATTTTCCAGTAACGGGTTTCTATTTGCTCGCAGCAAATATGCATGGCCCGATGTCAAACTGATCTTCTGTAGGATACTGGTCCTTCAGTGCTTGCAGCATGTCTTGTGTCAGTAATGGTCGCACCACTTGTTCAGTGCCATCCAGGCTGGTCCATGTTCTTGTAATGCCTTGACAATGGTTGCTCTCATCTAGCGGAACCCAGCTGAAGGAATGAAGTTTCTCCCAAAATTCGCTGAGGGGCAGTCGGTTGATGTTCTTCTGGGTGTAAATGAACTCCAGGATACCATCTATTAGAGGAACCGGTCCCATGTTTTGTTCAATTAGGATCGTCCTCAGCTGTTGCTTGGACAATAAAAGATGCCCCCACGGAGGAATGAAGGATCCGTTATTCACATATCTGCAGGTTTTGTCACCTGTTAACTTGGCTCAAGAAGACGCAATGAAAAGAAAGCAGTGAGAAACATACCTGAAAGAAGCATCCATCCTTGTAGCTCGTCGTTGCACCATGTCTTCGTGTATGTGGTGGCCAAAGGGTCCCGTCCATACAGGGTCCCATAAAAACAGAACTAGCCCTCCAGGCTTTAGGACGCGGAACGTCTCACTGATAAACATCTTCAAGTCAGCAACGTGCTCCAGAACGTTGTCGCTGAAGACTACGTCAAATGTGTCGTTCAGGAACGGCAGAGTCTTGCAGTCGGCGCTCAGAAACATCGTGTTATTTCGCTTGACTTTCAGTGCCGAAGTGTCATCCCCTTCAAAAGGCCAGTTAACGCCAACGTACTTGCCAACCACTTTTCCCAGCTCATTTCCAACGCTCCCGGTCACATCACTGCCGTTCTCCAGCATCGTAACGTTGCTAAGATCTGATCCAAAATGCCGCCGCATGAAGTCCAGGAATGTCGTGACGCCTCTCAGTCGATATAGTGGAAGTGGGTCATCTCCTGACGTTTCATCGTTTCTCTCTGCCGGAACTGTCACAAGCAATCTGGAACTACGTTCGTAAACGACTGGAATTCCAAGTGTCTTAGTAGCATCTGCACATGCGCACGTATCAGCAGCCATCGGCTGAGAATTTATGAATTCAAATGCTCCATCTCCAACAAGCAGGAGAATGATTGTAAGGAGGCCGAGCGTCGCTCCACACAGAAGAGATGTTCTCTGCTGTGACTTCACATGATCTCTAACCAAAGTGTATGTCTTCGGCATCTTAGCCAAAAATGGAGCGATAGTTGCTGGCTGCTTTGTTGGGGAAAACGAGTGTGTGGAAAGGGAAGCAGAGAGAAGTGGAATGGATGGTTGTTGGAGGGGATCTGGTTGAAATGAAGAGCAGATTGAACTTGTGGATAGGGAAGAGCAGAATGTCTTGAGAGTTTCGGCCTCGAGAACATGTTACGGGTGCAATGAATCGAAGTTGCGAGAATTGCACTAAGGTGTCAAACGAGTACAAAATGTGAGCGAAGGCATGAGCAAACATTTATACGCGAAACATGCAAACGGTAACGCGGTGCGTGCGAGCTAGCTAGTGCTACGCTGGAGCGAGGCTTGGGCTAGTCCCGAAGCGTAGGCCGACACGGCCATGCCAGCAGTGCGAGGTTTGGTGAAAACAGTGTGCGCGAAGTCGGCGAAGCCCCGTTAGCAGTAACGGGCGAACAACGGCTGTTGCTGTACGCGATGTAGTCGGGCTCCGTAAGGAATGCCGAGAAAATTCCTTACACTACCCCCCCCCCTCAAGAAGCCCCCTCCGCTACGCGAGTGCGTGTATATCGCGGAATCCCCGGCTCCTCAGGTACACTTGCAGGGCAGGGTGTTTTTCGATATTGGCCAGGGGCACCCAGCTGTCCTCAGTTGGCGTGCGATCCTTCCAGCGGACGAGGAATTCAATCCTCTTGAGTCCCGTGGGGTGTCGAATCCGATGGCTCAGGATTTTTTCGGGCTCGATGATCGGCTCCGATGCAGGGCGAGTCATGGATGGTGGGCGGTGGCGAGGCAGTTGGCTTGTGGTTGGGATGTAGGGGCGAAGCAAGCTGACATGGAACGAAGGGCTGATGTACCAGTCGGTCGGTAACAGTAGGTGCGCGGTTACTGGCGTGATCATGTGGCTGATTTGGAATGGGCCACAGTAGCGCGGTCGAAGTTTTGGTACGTCGGGCAGTCGCAGATTTTGCGTGTCGAGCAGTACGTAATCCCCTGACTTGTATGTGACTGGGCGGCGGTGGCGGTCAGCGTTGCGCTTAGCGATGGCGTTTGCTTTTTTAATTGCTTCTGCGGCTCTGGTGCGGGCAGCTTGCAGAATTTCGGCGAATTGCTGTGCTCGTGGTGTTGGGTTGTCCGGACTCGGCGTCATGGGCACTGTAGGATTTTGCCCGTAGTTCAGGTAGAAGGGGGACTGCTGCGTCGTCGCTGACGTGGCATTATTGTACGCGAACTCGATCAGCGGCAGCTGCTGCTCCCAAGTCGTGGGGTCGTCGCACGTGGCACGAATCAACTGCTCCATCGTCTGATTCGTCCGCTCCGTTTGACCGTCGGTCTCGGGGTGGTACGGCGAACTGAACTGCAGCCTGGTTCCGAACTGCTCCCAGAGGTTCTTCCAGAAGTTGCTGGTGAACTTCGTGTCCCTGTCGCTGATAATCGCTGCTGGTATCCCGTGCAGGCGAACAACGGCTGCGATGAACAGACGAGCGGTCTCCTCGGCTGAGATCGACTTTTTGCACGCAGCGAAGTGTGCCATCTTCGTCAATCTGTCAACGACGACCATCACCGCGTCGTTACCCCCAGGGTTCGAAGGTAACCCTGTGACGAAGTCCATGGTAACCTGCTGCCAGGCGCGCTCGGGCGGTGGTATCGGCTGCAATTGACCCGCCTTCCGCTTCCTTGAGCTCTTCATCACCTGACACGTGGGGCACGAGCCCACGTGCTGCTGTACGTCGGTCAACAGCTCTGGCCAGTAGTAATACCGCTGCAGTTGCTGTCGCGTTTTTTCTACCCCAAAATGTCCCGAGGTAATTCCGTCGTGTGCCTCCTGCAGTAGTAGCTCCCTCAGTAGTGAGTACGCGGGTACCCAGATGCGGTTGGTGCCTGTTTTTACATAATAAACTCCTTTAGCTTCTGCCAGTTGCTGTGAATTTCCGGTCGTGAAGAATGGGTCAGTGCGGTATCCGTGGGTAAATAGGCCTGTTAAAAGTGGGTTGGTCTGGGCGAGTAGGATGGCGTGGAGTTGGGCGGTAGGGCGGGTGAGTGCGTCGGCGATGTTGGATGCGCCTTTCTTGTACGTAACCGTGTAGTGGAAGTTGGACTCGAGGTAGTCCAACCAGCGAATCTGTCGTGGATTGAGATTCGGTTGGGCGCGTAAGTACTGTAGTGATCGGTGGTCTGTCCGTACTGTCACGTCGGCGCCAGTCAGGTAACACCGCCAAGCCTTGAACGCGTGCACGATCGCCAACATTTCGCGGTCGTGTATCGGGTAATTGCGTTCGGGCGGGTGCAGCTTGCGGGACTCGTACGCGATTGGCTGGAGGCCGTTCCCGAAATCCTGCAACAGTACGGCTCCCACAGCGATGTCACTTGCGTCAGTGACGAGCTCGAACGGACGGTGTGGATCTGCGACGTGAAGCACGGGCGGTGAGCACAAAATGTTTTTGAGGGCCGAGAAGGCAGCTTGCTCTTTCTCCCCCCACGTGTACTCGACCCCCTTCCTCAGCAGGTCAGTCAACGGGGCAGTCAGCTTCGCCATGTCGGGGACGAACCGGCGCACGTAGTTGACGAACCCCAAAAAACTCTGCAACTCGGTCAAGTTGGTCGGCGCGTGCCATGCTTGAATCGTCGCAATTTTCTTCGGGTCTATTTCCACTCCTGCAGCTGAAATAACGTGTCCCAAAAATTCCAGGCGGTCCTGTAAAAACGCACACTTAGACGCTTTGGTCAGTAGGCGGTTCTCACTCAGGATTTTAAAAACTGCGTCGATGTCCTGTAAGTGCTGTGCTCTGTCAGGGCTGTAAATCAGTATGTCGTCCAGGTATACTATGACGCACTTATCTAAGAGCGGGCGGAAAGCTTCGTTCATGGTCATTTGAAAGGTGGCGGGGGCGTTAATCAGTCCGAAAGGCATGACGGTGTATTCGAAGGATCCGTAGCGTGTGCGGAATGCGGTCTTAGGGCAGTCGGGCGGGTTGACGCGAATCTGGTGGTAACCCCCTCGGAGGTCGATTTTCGAGAAAACCCGGGCTGTGCGCAGTTGGTCGATCAGTTCGTCGGCTCGCGGGATGGGGTAACGGGATTTGATGGTAACCCTGTTCAGTGCTCTGTAATCTGCATACATGCGAAATCCCCCGTCTTTTTTCGGTGTGAACAGTATCGGTGCTGCGAAGGGCGACGAACTAGGGCGGATGAATTCCTTCGCGAGCAGGTAATCGAGCTGCTTCCTTAGTTCGTCCAGTTCGGGCTGGGTCAGTCGGAACTGTCGCTGTACTGTTGGCTGTGCCCCCGGTTCTAACTCTATCCTGTGGTCGTGCGGTCGCTGAGGTGGCAGTCCCGTTGGTAAATCATCCGGGAAAATGTCGCTGTACTGCTTCAACAGTGCTGCCAGGTCACTCGGTACGTCGGCCAGCAGTTTCTGTAAATCCCCTCCTTTGTCTGCTGCCTCAGCTTCCCGAATGTCGACCGCGTACACGTCAGCTCCTGCCGCTACGGCGCGTTTCATCGTGATCGCGTTGACACGCACCGACGAAGACTCAGGTGAGCCCCAGCGAGGTAAGGCGATGTTGTTACCGTTCACTCGCACGGTGCAGTCACCCGTCGCCCAGTCGATTCGCGGATTGTGTCGTCGCAACCAATCACGCCCGAGTAAAATATCGGTTCCGTCGAGGGTCGTTGCGAGCATTTCCTGGCTAAACGTGAAGTTACCCCCACATCGAATCCGAACCCGGTCTACGCGTTCCCGTATCGCCAGCGGCGTGCCGTCTACCAGTCGTGCGTCGATCTCAGGTAAACATTTGTCCAGTGGCAGTCGCAGTTTTCATGCTGTAGCGGTGTTGATGAGGCTGTGGCTGGCTCCCCCATCTACGAAGATTTTAACTAAGTCCGTCCCGATTTTCCCACTAAGCAGTATGGGGCTGTCTACCGTAGTCCCCTCCTTATTCGGCCGAGTGTGGTCGATTGCGTGAACCGGCACAATCACTCGGTGAGGGTCGGTTGGGTCGGGCGAGCGGCGTGACCTGTCAGTAGAGGGCCCGTCTGCTACTGACTCCCAACGTTTCCCTGCTGCTTGGTCTGTTTCTGCTGCTTAGCTTCCCCCTTCCCCTTAGCGTTTTCCGGGCATTCGCTCTTGCGATGTCCCGGCCGATTGCACGCAAAGCAGCGCCCTTTGAACGGTGCGGCAGCGGCATTTGCGGCGACGGCACGTATCGTGGCGCCCTCGTTCGTCCCACGAGGCCGATGTCCCCAATGGCTGCTTCCGTAGGACCCCGGTCTCGGTCGGCGGAAGAAATCAAGTTTCTCCGCCATAGCGAGAATTTCTTGAAAGTCGGTGACGCCGCAAAGCTGGATTTCCTGAGCGATGTCCTGCTTCAGGCCGCCGATGTAGCGGTCGATGCGCTCGCTCTCGTGCATATATCCCACCTGCTCGCATAGCGCCAGAAATCCGCTCGTGTAGTCTTGGACGGAACCGAGTTGGCGCCAAGTGCGGAGCTTCTGTCGCGTCGCGATCGAAGCCGCGATTGGCTCGAAACGAGCGCGTAAACCTGCGCACCACGCGTCCCACGTGCGATACTGGGGCACCTCCACGAAATACGACGGCGCCCAGGGTCCAGTTTGTCCTTCCCGTGTCGGTAGAGTCGCGTAGTCCACCGGCTTCGTGACGATGACGCGCCACCAGTCCATGGCGGGTCCTCGCAGCAACGACACGGCGTAGCGAATCTTCGCCGTATCCTCCGAGACGTAGTTCGCGTCGAAGAAGACGTTCAACGTGAAGAGCCACGCCTGAACGGTAGGACCACCCCGCTGACTTGGGTCAAAGCATGGCGGACGCTGCGGCTTTAGCGGCATCGGCGACGGAAGAGTTGATTCGCCAGCCGGCACTGAAATCGTGCTTCGAGGTTGAGTCCTGGCCGCATTCGTCGCGTCGGGGTGTGTCGTGCCGTGGTCGTCGTCTCCGTCATGGCGGACGACGCCATCACTTGCGGCGCTCGCGGGTTGCCCCACACTTCCGTGCTGTGATGTCTGTGGTGCGGGCTGAATCAGAGTGCCCGGTGCTTGGGATTGTGCTCGTGTGAGGTCGTTTTGCAGGGACGAGCGTTCTGCCGTCAGCGTCGCAATTTCCTCAGCGCTCTCGCGGATTTGTCGCAGCAGATCGTTCAAGTGCTCCTGCGTGAGAGTCGTGACGTCGATATGTTCAGCCATTTCGAAGGGCGTCGGCTCGTCTTAGTCTAGGCGCAGTCGTGGCTGGACGCGTTTACGAGAGAACGCGAGGACAGCGGCTCCTAGGTGCTAAGGTACGTGAGTCCCTTCGAGTGAGAAATCAAAAGTTGATTTCCTGAGGTGCGGAGATGCGCGGTCCGAAAGAAAGGGGCTCTGAATACCAAGTGTTACGGGTGCAATGAATCGAAGTAGCGAGAATTGCACTAAGGTGTCAAACGAGTACAAAATGTGAGCGAAGGCATGAGCGAACATTTATACGCGAAACATGCAAACGGTAACGCGGTGCGTGCGAGCTAGCTAGTGCTACGCTGGAGCGAGGCTTGGGCTAGTCTCGAAGCGTAGGCCGACACGGCCATGCCAGCAGTGCGAGGTTTGGTGAAAACAGTGTGCGCGAAGTCGGCGAAGCCCCGTTAGCAGTAACGGGCGAACAACGGCTGTTGCTGTACGCGATGTAGTCGGGCTCCGTAAGGAATGCCGAGAAAATTCCTTACAGAACACCACATGGTTGTGCGAAAGCAATTCGTGAACCAATCAGGGAGGAGGACGCTATCAGGTGCGGCGAAGTGACGGCGATGTGTGGTTGGGTCGTGTATTTATTTTCCTGAATAGCTCATCCGACAGAGTTCCGGCGGCCCAGTTTGCCAGGGACGACGGACGAGGTCGACGGGCCCAGCACCGCCGAGGCGGGGAACTGCCGCGCGTGCCTGCCCGCCAGGCTGGCCCAGGGCTGGGCCGAGCGCACGCCCGCCGCCCCTCAACCCCCCTGCGTAATTGAACAGCACCCCACATTACCGGGTGGGGGCGGCGAACTCGCTTCACCTCGCGCGAGGGGAAGTAACCCTAGGGCGAAGGCAGCCCTCGCCGTGGCCCTGCCCTCGACGACCTAGTAACCCTCTCGCGCTGCCCCTACGGGCAGGCGAGGGCCCGGCGAAATACTGATGCTCCCCTCGGGACCCTCGGCCAATTCGCGACCCGCTGGCATGTGGACACGTGTCTGCCCAGGGACGACGCTGCATGCCAGGCCCTTGTGACGCTGCATGCCACCAGACCCCACGCCTACCCACGCGAGCGGACGTGATGGGGCCGATGTGGCCCGGCGTCCGACGAGCATGCGATTGGACGAGGTTGCTGCTCATCGTGCCGAGCCACTTCGGCCTCCGGGCCGGTTTTGGCCACCGCCTTGGTCTGCGTCCGTCGTGCCTTATCTTTGTGGACGGAGTGACCGACGCCTCATTTTGCTCTTCTCATTTCGCCTTTCACATTTCTCACCTCTGCGCCTTCCTCCGTCCTGCTGCTGCTAGATAGCCTGTAGTGTCGTGCCTTTGGTAGCCTGTAGTGTCGTGCCTTTGCAATCATGGAGTTGGATAGTGGCGCCGCTCACCCGACGCCGGGCGCCGCAACGCCGACGCCGTCCTCGGCGGACTTCCCCCTGTACTTCAACATGGGCCGTGGCCTCACCTTCTCTTTTGACGAGGACTTTGCCGTGCTGCGTGCCACGAAAAAAGACTTCAACGAGCCTTGCTTCGCACTCGCGCTCAAGTGAGTCTCTCCTTCAGTCAAGGCGGAACCCTTGTCCACTTTTGCTTTCCGTCGACTTAGTAGCTCTTTTTTAACCCGCCGACCTAGACGATGTTATTCGTTAGAACGAGTTACTAATCCGGCGTGCGAGTTAGCGACGGTGTCCATGTCCATTTCCCGCCGACCTAGTAACTTCACTGTTCCGCCGACTTAGTACAGCATGATATAGCTCAGCCGACGAATTCCCCCGGCCATTTTCGCCGCATAGAACCGGCGGTCATTTTTTATCCCGACGACCTATAGGATGTTATTATTTGGAGCGCGTTACTAATTCGGCATGCAAGTAAGCGACGGCGTCCGTGTCTCTTTTTCCCGCCGACCTAGTAACCTTATTGTTCCGCCGACTTAGTAACTACAGGCCGACTCGACGTTGCAGAATTAGTTACTACCGGTCGATAGGATTTCGGTCAACGAAAGGTTTTCACGCCTAGGTTTGTCGTGAGCGCGTCCATGTCGGCGTTCAAGGCCGCTATCCTATCTACTTTCGCCGGCAACGAGTTCGCAATCCTAAACCGATGCCACATGTCCCCCACGAGTTCGTTGACTGCAGGTACATGTGGATTCGCGAAGCTCCGATGGACTTGAAGCCGTGGATCATAGGGTGCAGCCGTCTTCGCGAGGCGATTAAGAAGAACGACCTCACCTGTTTTGAGTCGGTGTTCGACGCCGACATTGCCGTGCTACCTATAATCACGACGTGAGAAAGTGCGATGTTGCGTTGTCATTGACGTCATGTTGGACTTCGATGTTTTATATCGGCGTCACATGGTTCATGTGCAGGATCGGGCCGCTTCCCGGGGTCCACTGCAGCGTCGTCGTGGTTCTTCGGCCCGGCGACTTGCTGAAGGTCGTCGACGTCGACAGCGAGACCTCGTTCCGCCACCTGGACCCGAAGACTGCAAACCGGCTGCATTCGTCTGAGGCGCTCGCCGTGCTGAGGTAGGCATGCTTAAATTGGGAAGGCTCTTTACCAGGTTACTGGTTTCTCGACGGCGTCCCCACTGACTCTTTCGTGCACTGCTGTTGCAGCTTTTTCCGGCGCTGTGTTTTGGCCGAGCTTGGAAGAAGTGACAGGACATGGAAGTGGGCGCCTCCCGCTGAGGAGGTCGTGGTGGCTCGACTCGCCGGTTGCGACGGGCCCACGCGCGACGTGAGTTTCTGTCGACCTTGTAGCCGACTTTAATTGGTCGTCTAACTGTGCTTGCCTCGGCTCACCTAGCCTGCCCTTGCAACGGTTGTACGCAGAGATTGCCGGACATTGTGAAGAACGAGCAGGTCGGCACCGGATTGCATGCTGTGAGCGCGTTCGGATGGGTGGTCAGAGAGCGCGGAGCCCTGCTCAAGTCACGTGCACCGGCGAGCGCTGAGAACCCGATGGTTCAGGGGTTGAGGGCACTCAAATCGGCGCTAGTGGAATGCGTCAAGAGATGCGTTGCTGAGAGGCGGTCGGCGCTGGCCAATCACCCTACTGGGCCAAGTACCACCCCCCTCGACGACGACGGAATCGAAACTAAGACGGCGTCTCAAGCTGGCGTGGATCGCCCGGCGTATTCCGGCGCGCACGACACTAGAACTAGCGGTCATGTTGGCGGCGGTGGCGAGGCCGACTTGGTAGGAGGAGAGGAGCGGAGGGCAGGGTCCGTTGAGGAGTCATCTACTGACTCAGAGTCAGAGTCGGGATCCGAGGAGGAGGAGGATGAAGAGGAGGAGGAGGAGGAGCGTGCAGGGAAGAAGGCTGTTGGTGCTGAGGCGGACACAGACGCCGACCACGGTGCTGGTCGTGACCCAACGTCGACCGGCGGGACAGGCGCAGCTGCAGCGTCGGCTGGGGACAAGCCTCGTAGGAAGGCGCCGGTGCATGGTCAGCCTGCGTCGACCACATCTTCAAAGTCGGCGTTTGCAGCCGCACTTGCTCACGTGAAGCGACTGGAAGAGGAGAACAGGAAACTGAGGGACGAGAATACGGGGCTGCGGTCGGATCTGGTTACCGAGAGGGGTCGGGCGGAGGGGTTGTTGGCGACGGCGGCTGAGTGCCTCGCGGCTGTCAAGTCGCTTACCGAACGCGTCGCCGCCGCCGAGCAGACCGCGGGGACACACATCTCCACAGCCACAGCAGCCATGACCGGCGTCTTCACCAAGGTGCTGGACGATCGGGTTGCTCTGGTCAAGGCGTGCAGCAGCATGGCGACGCCGTTGTTGGGGGAAATCACAAAGGGCTTGGACAAGCTGGCCGTCGCCCGCCGTGATGCCGACGTGCGGTTGGGGAACCACGTGACCAGCGTGGGGGATAACGTTAAGGCGGTGTTGGCCGATTACATCCAGACCAAGTTAGCCTCAACTTCCACCAACATCGTCGGCGGCTTATCCCGCAGCATCGCGCCGCCCCCGCCCGGTCCATCCCCCGCGCTGCCTGAAGAAGTCATCAAAGCAATGAGGGATGACATTGTTCAGGCGGTAACCGCCGTCACGCAGCAGGCGCTGGGAACCGTCGGCTTCACGCTTCTGCCCAACGTGCTTGCTACAATGAGGCTGGGGCGGCGTGGTTCGTCCCCGTCGGCCGGCGACCTGGAGTCCGCGCAAAGGCAAAGGCCGGAAAAAAGGGCTGGCAGCGGAAGTGCAGCCGACGGCGACAACACGGGAAATTCGAAGCGGAGTAAAGGTGTTGGTGGGGAGCGAGCAGTCGGCGGCGACGTTCCAGATCGTGCCCAGTCCGGTTCTCCCGTCCTCGACATGCTGAGGAGAAAAGGGGCGACAACTCGGCTCCTTGTCCCGTAAAGTAGAGGCGGAGCCGGCGGCAGCTCAGAGGGCAGGACTGCCGCCGAGGAGGGTGTGCGAGCCGGCGGGTCTTCCACTCACGGCGGTGGAAGGAAAGGTCCGGAGATTCCACGTCCTGGAGCAAGCGAGGTAGCACCACCGCCGTCCGATCGTGGTAACGTCGCCGTTGAATCGGTTGAAGTGCAGGCCGACGCGGCGATACCTACCATCAACACGGCGACCGGTGCCAGTACCAACGCCGGGTTGTTCCCGACAGGCGTTGATCGCGGGCCGCCATTCGAAGTTGAGGCTCCGTCAATCGGCGATCAGACTCACCAGGCTCCTGTGGTCGGCGTGGGGGGGGACACGGGCGCCCTCGGCGTGGAGGACACGGGCGATCTCGGCGTGGAGGATGATCCCGTGGCGAGAGCGTTGATGGAGGAGCTTCTTGCTTTTCAGGCGCCATCGCAGCAGCAGCCCGTCGCCATCGACAACGCCGCTGTCCCAACAACTCGCGGGGGGGCGCAACATGTCGCCGGTACAGCACCAACAGCCCCGGTCTCGGCCGATGTCAACGCGCGTCACACGGCAGCACCATCTGCTGATCCGCCGACAACTGGGCCCATCGCAGCGCCAACCACGGGGCAAGACAACGCCGGTCAGACCCTCACGGACCCGGTCGCGGCCATGCTTCTGGCCGCGGTCAACTCGTTTCAAGCGGCGGCACCTTCATCGCATCCGCCAACTACTGTCACCAGCGCTGCGCCGACCATGCAGCTCCCTGCCGCTGTTGCCACGCCGTCGGACCCAGTCTCGGACATGCTGATGGCCGAGGTCAACGCGCTTTCAGCAGGTGCACAATCCGCTCAACCGCAGACTCACGGCACGCGCACTGCGCCGACCACGGTGAACTTGGCGGAGCCCGTACACCAAGAAGCGGCAAACGAGACGGTTCCAACGGCGGTGCCAACGCATCACCAGGTCGGCGCGGCGTCCGGACAAGGTGATTGGGGCGCGGTGGCAGGAGACGATGGTGCGGGGGAGATCCCTCTCATCATCGAGGACGAGGATGTGGAATTGATACAAGCGGCGATGGAAGTAGACGAAGTTGCCGCACTTCAGTCTGTGGGAGGTACGTCGGGCATCAGTGGCGTGGAGGGTCGGCCTGCCGGTGTTACAGCGTCCACCCAGACCGGGTAGACCGTGCAGCTGGCCCGTTTGGCGTCCACCGGCGTCAGTGTAGCCGGCCAGGCTATTCCGCCCATTCAGAGTCATCCTGCCGGCTTCATACAGGTGGATAGGGCCTTCCAGACCGACCCGACCGGCGTCAGTGGAGCTGACCAGGCTGGTCTGGCGGGACCGTCCACTCGGCCCACCGCCGTTACAGTGGCTACTCAGGCCGTCCAGGCTGTTCCGCCCATACAGAGTCATCCTGCCGGCTTCATACAGGTGGATAGGGCCTTCCAGACCGGCCCGAGCGGCGTCACTGGTTCTGACCAGGCTGGTCTGGCGGGACAGTCCACTCGGCCCACCGCCGTTACAGTGGCTACTCAGGCCGGCCAGGCCGGGCCTTCGGACAGGTCGGCGGGCGTCACTGTTGCGGACCTGGCGGGTCAGGCGGGGACGTCCACTGTTCTGGCCGGTGGACCAGTGGGTGAACACGCCGACAAGGATGGACAGACCGATCGTGCGGCTGGAGTCGGCGAAAAAAAGAAGAAACGGAAGGGTAAAGCCGCCGCGTCGCAGAAGGCCGTCGTTCCGAAAGATCGCAGGGGGCATGGTATTAGGCTGGACAGGACGAGCGGTGGCGGGTGGCAGGGCGAGGTAAACCTGGCTGGAAAGAGTCGCTACACGGGGAGATCGGACGACAGGATGGAAGTGGCGTACCTCAACGGCGTTGCGACGACCATCTTCGACGGACATGCCAGCCAAGTCCTGTTGGCCGAAATGACCGGCGTTAAAGCCGAAGAAATGACGCGGTGGAAGGCGGAGTGGGAGGAGGCGAAGGTGATGCCGAAGGGTATGTGGACGGTGATGTGGTCCCGCGGCGCCACCATGTTTCGTGCATGGTAAGAATCTTGGGACTCGATGTGTTTTGAGCGGCGTGATATAGGTTTGACTGTGGGGTTTTACGCCGACTGACCACGTTCACGTTCCAACGTCGTGTGTGACAGGTTCCAGAAAGTCCTCGCCGACTTCAAACAGAAGAAGTCATCAGGGCCTCCGCTGATGAAAGTGCTGAGGCCGGCGGTGTGGTTCGGCACTGGTTGGGAGCCGGCCAAGCGCAAGCAGCAGCTCAGCGACATCATCAACCGCGCTTGGGCCAGTCGCGGCAGATGCCGTCCCCAAAACTGGTGCAGACGCCAAGCGCATAGGCCAAGCTGTCGCTGCTTCATCTTGCGCCGTCTGGTGCTTTGCCGAGACCGTGGCCGAGGTCGGCAATGCGGCGGGTGAAGCGAAGGCGGCGGCACTGCTGTGTGAAGCGAGCACCGATTTTGCTGACACTTGTCACGACGTCGTGGTTGCGGTGCTAGAAACGGCGGTTGCGAGACAACCCGTCCTGGGAGAGGTCTCGTGCAACGTCACCGACGCACTGCAGAAGGATGCTCTTCAGAAGGCGTGCAAGGGCTGTAACCCCACACCCGACGCCGAGATTATCGCGAGGGCGACTATCGAGACCCTCGCTTTCTGGGGGTCGTGCAACGCCGGCGGCCCCCTTCTCCGAGCACGCGGCATTCAAGTGCCGCTGGACAAGCAGATGGAGAAGGATATGGATAACAGGGGAAAGAAGGGACAGAAGGGGAAGCACGCCGCGTAGATGGGTTTTGTTGTTGTGTCTGTCGTTGTGTTCTGGACCGACGTCGCAATGTGTAGCAAGATTGTTGATTGATTGTGGGGTTTTGGTGGGCGCCGACTTTTATTGTGCACTTTAGCTGTGTTTCTAGCACGTAGGTTAATTTGCTGTTCATGAAACGCCCTCATGTTTTCGGTTCTTTGGCAAATTCTCAACTGTTGGGAACATTGAATCCACAGTCAAAGTCGGAAACAAAAGTCACAATCGAGCTAAAAGAAAGTAGCTAAGCGGCGACGACCCCCCCCCCCCCCCCCCCCCACAAAACATCAGCCCGGCTTCCGACGATTGGACGTCTTCGTCGGCGGCGGCGGCGGTCTTCCAGCGGCCTGCTCCGCGGCCGCTTGGGCCGCCACAGCTTTCTGCTCTTCCCACGTGGTCGGGAACATGTCCTCGCCCCACTTGTGCGTCATGTATCCCGCCGCCACCAGTCCCCAAGCAACCGTCAGCTTGGGCTTTTCACCCTTAGAAAGCCCCTTGATGCCCAGGTTCCCCTCTGTGCGTATCGGTAGCGCGTCGGCGTCGATGATCTTCAGAGCATCGCAGAAGGTCACAATTCCCGACGCAGCGAGCTCGTCGAGTTTCTTGATGACGGCGGCGGTGTCGGCCTCTCCGTCTGACGCGCGGAAGCGGCGCACGGCCTCCATCGCCCTCCTCATTCGGCGCATCTCACCCTGTTTTGCGTTGGCCGACGACTTGCCCAGGAGGCTGTGCCGCCCGATGAAACCTGGCTCGTTGATCCTGTCGCACAGACGCCGGCGGTCCGTGGTGGTGGGGCAGTTCCAGAAGCGCCAGGCCTCTGCCACAGTCTCGGCCTTTCTCCATGGGTCGACAACCAGGGCCTCGTAGCGAGCGTCGGCGTCCAACTGAGCATGCTTAGCGGCCGCAGCTGCCTCCTCTTCCAGGGTCGTCGGCCTAGAAGGCGCCTGTGGCGCTGGCGCCCTACGTGCCTCGGAGATCTTGAGCTCCTCCATCAGCCGGGAGATCTCGGCGTCCCTCGCCGCGATAGCAGCACGCGCCTCCTCGAGCTCCTTCTCTACCTTCATCTGCTTGAGCATCGCTTTGTGCCTCTCGTGGGCCAGCGTCTCGTTCAGAAGGTCGACCTGAAATTCGGCGTCCAGGCGGGCTGAGATTTCCTGCGAACAGCAGCGGAGCGGGTTAGGAGTCAGGTGATGCAAGCATGCTTGCCGCCAAGTCACGCGGAGTTCATCTTGTGCTTACAGCTGGCTGGGTCGGGATCGGCGACCGGCGCTTGGCGATCGTCTCGGTGTCAATCTTCTCGATGTCCTTCGCCCACGCCTGAAAGTCGCGATCCCGACAAAGCCTCGAAGCCTCGACCTGAGGGTGCCACGGAGTGCGGACGAGTTTCACCGCGAGGTCCTCGGCCGCAATGCGGCGTGCATCCAGCATGGTCTGGATGAAGTGCACCGCGGCCGTGTTCGCCTCAGGCCCTTGTGCGAGCTCTTCCGCCTGCATGAAATAGAGGAATTTCGGTGTGAACCAGTGAAGAGAGACGACAAGATGCATGAGGACGGCGTCGCTACACTCACCGCCCCCAACTGTTCCTCGACGCCGGGAAATATGTGCGCGGCGATGGTTTTTTCGAGGTCTGCGCTGGGAGGTAGCCTGCTGCGGCCCAGGAAGTAGTCGCTTCGGGCTCCGGAGTAGCCGGCCTTCCTCATCACCACCCCGACTGGAATTGAAGTGATGTAACTCCTCGTCATCTCGTCAATAGCCCAGTGACCCAATTCGGCTATCTCGGCGCGCGGCGTGCCTTGGTCAGCCAGCTCTTGTGCCCCGCCGGCGCGAGCGGCGTGCACGTTGCGCTTGATGAAAACCTTGTTGGCCGTCCACAGCTGCCGAGTGATTCGTTGCTGGCTCGACAACGGCAGCAAACCCTGATCCTTGTCGTAGCGGGCGAAGAAGAGATGCTTGTCGTACCAGAGCTCCGGTCGGCGTACGTCCAGCGGCGGAATTATGCGGACGCCGAAGATCTGGGGGACCTGGTCGTAGATGAAGTGCAGCCAGAGGATTGTATCGCCCACAGCACACAGTTCCGCCTCTAAGTGCCTCGCCGCGTAGCTGTGATGAAGACGGGCGTCCTTGCACGTCTTCGAGTTGCGCTGCGCGATGACCATGACCATTGGCCGGTTGTCAGGGTTCACCGACGACCCGCTAGCAAGGCGGTACAGAAAGATGTCGGCGAGCGTGATCTCGCGTACGCTGGCACCGCGGAGCAGAGTGTGGTGCGATAGCAGGGTCATCGTTCTCATAAGCATGAACTTCCACAGAGTCTGGGAAGGACCTGTTCCCCCCGGATTCCACGCCGTCGCCGACCAGTGCGGCAACACCTTGAACATGATTTTGCGGAACTGCTCGGTGGTGTAAGTGTCGCCGATGGTTCCGCGATGTCGGTCGACATATTTTCTGAACAAGAGAGTGCGAGGGTGATGATTGAGTGTGAGCGGCGTCGGTGAGCATTGGCGGGAATACTAGAGAGGACTGGCAAAGTCGGCGATGTTAAAACATCTTACTTGGTGTCGGCTTTGTTCTTTCCGCGAACCATGACGCGCACTTCCGTGCGGACGACCGAGATGTCCTGCATGATGTGCAGCTCCTTCTCCTTGTACAGGGTCGCCTCTATCTTGGCCGCCATCTGAAGGGCCTTGATGCGGCCGAGTAGCATGTTGACCGTGCAAGGCTTGATCGGCTGCGTGCGCATGGCGGTGTTGCCCTCTTCGCTCCTCATTGCCTCGATGAGGGTCTCTCGCGCTCTGAACAAGACGTAAGCGCGAATTCGAGGCTCGTTGGTCCTCGGGCCGTGCAACCAGATGAACTGGCGCGGGGCGGTGTGCCAACGTTCGCCCAAATCATCGCCGATGTGCTTGCCGATTTCGTCCTTGTCAGTGAGTATGGACCCCGGCTCCAGGTCGTCACCTTCTGACGGAAGAGCATCCACCGCCCACCGCTTGTGGTCTAGTATCCACGATATGTACTCCCGCAGCGACGACCCTTCCTCGAGCGACTCCGTGTGGCGAAGGGCATTGGCTATCAGCACTTCGATGTCGCTGTTCTTCAGATCCTCGACCACAAACTCAGCCGCCGTAAACTCTCCTCGCGGGACGCTCGCGTTCAGCCTATCCTCGAGTTCGTCCTCGGCCAACGCCTCCTCTATCTCTCTTCGATCCCTCTCGGCTCGAGTGAGCGGCCGACATTGGCGTCTAGGTCCCGGGCCGGGCTGGGGTTCCTCCTCCTCATCGCTAGACGAAGAGTCCTCCTCCGGCTGGCTAGGACGTCGCTTTTGGGGGTCGCCTACAGGTGGCGGCGGAATGTCAGGGTCGACGGGAATTTTAGCCAACACATCTAGATCGTAAATCAGACGCAGCGTCACTGCCGGAATGGTGCTATCTTTGATCTTGACTATGATGCTATTCTTGCTGCCATGTATGCTGTGTCTAATAGTGATGAGGGTGACTGTTACCTGTGTGTTCCGCCTGACCCGGGCATTGAGGCTGCTGCTCTAGGTGCTGGTGAGGCTGCTGCTCTAGGTGCTAGTGCGTCTGCTGCCCCAGGTGCTGGTGAGTCTGCTCTCTCAGGTACCACGTCGGCTCAGGCCTTCCACACCTTCACCCTTGACTCGGGTGCTTCCCGCTCCTTCTTTCGAGACCGCACCACGCTTACGCCGCTTAGTCGGCCGGTTGCGGTCTCCCTGGCGGACCCCTCTGGGGGTCCTGTCCTTGCTCGCTTCTCCACTGTCTTACCGTGTCCGGCAGCCCCCTCTGGCACCCTGTCAGGTCTCTACCTCCCCTCGTTCTCTACGAACTTGGTGAGTGGTGCTGATCTACAGGATGGGGGGGTTGACCAGTTCACTCCTGCGAGTCAGCGGGTGACCCACTGTACGTGTGCTCGGACGGGCCGACACTTGGCCACGTTTACCCGTCGGCCGGGGTCGAGTCTGTACACACTGACTACTGAGTCTCCTCCGGTTGCTGAGTCAGGTCAGGTAGCTGCGTCGAGTCAGGTGTTTGCTGCAGCTTCCAGGTCTGGTCCTGAGTCTGCTCCCTGCTCGTGTCGTCTCCTGTCCCACCAGACTCTCCTTTGGCACCACCGCCTTGGCCACCCCTCCCTGCCTCGTCTCCGAGGCATGGCCTCCCGTGTCCTTGTCTCTGGTCTCCCCCGGTCCCTCCCTCCCCTCCCTCCGGGGCCTGCCCCTACCTGCGTTCCCTGCGTCGAGGGGCGGCAGCGCGCCGCCCCTCACTCCTCCGAGTTTCCTCCGACAGAGGCTCCCCTGCAGACTCTTCACATGGACGTGTGGGGCCCCGCCCGCGTCCGTGGCCAGGATCACGAGCGTTACTTCCTGTTGGTGGTTGACGACTACTCGCGTTACACCACGGTGTTCCCCTTGCGCAGCAACGGTGACGTCACTGAGGTGTTGATCGACTGGATCCGCGCGGCTCGTCTCCAGCTCAGAGAGAGTTTCGGCTCGGACTTTCCTGTTCTGCGTCTGCACTTTGACAGAGGCGGGGAGTTTTCCTCTGCCCGTCTGGGAGCCTTCTGTCGTGCACAGGGCATCCGCCAGACCTTCACGCTTCTGGCCTCTCCACAGCAAAATGGGATTGCTGAGCGCCGCATTGGCATGGTCATGGACGTCGCTCGTACGTCCATGATCCATGCGGCTGCTCCCCATTTTCTGTGGCCGTTTGCGGTTCAGTACGCAGCACATCAGCTCAACCTTCAGCCCCGGGTCTCCTTGCCAGAGACCTCCCCCACCTTGCGGTGGACGGGGAAGGTTGGCGATGCGTCTGCGTTTCGTGTCTGGGGATCTCGGGCGTTTGTCCGCGACTTGTCTGCGGACAAGCTGTCCCCCCGTGCTGTTCCCTGCGTCTTCCTTGGCTTCCCCCCTGACGCGCCTGGTTGGCAGTTTTACCACCCCACCTCGCGCCGTGTTCCGTCCTCCCAGGACGTCACCTTTGACGAGTCGGTGCCTTACTACCGTCTCTTCCCCTACTGCACAGCGCCCCTCCCCCCGCCGCCGCTCTTCCTTGCACCAGGTCCTCCCCCGGTAGACCCTCTCCCCCCTCAGGGTCCTGCCCCGTCAGGTGTGTCCCAGGTAGACGCAGTCGAGCCTGTCGAGGTAGCTGTTGACTCTGGTGCTACTAGGGGTGCTGAGCCTGCGGGTGCCGGGTCTGGGGGTGCTGAGCCTGGGGGTGCGGAGCCTGGGGGTGCTGAGTCTAGGGGTGCTGAGCCTGCGGGTGCCGGGTCTGGGGGTGCTGAGCCTGGGGGTGCGGAGCCTGGGGGTGCTGAGCCTGGGGGTGCGGAGCCTGGGGGTGCGGAGCCTGGGGGTGCGGAGCCTGGGGGTGCTGGGTCTGCTCGTGTGGCCTCTGGCGGTGCTTCGTCGAGGCGGGAGCCACCCTCTTCGCAGGAGCTGCGCGAGTGGTTTGCCCGGCGCTGGAGCCGTGCTGCTGGAGCTGGAGGTGCTACTGTTGCTACTGGTCCTGGAGGTGCTCGTACTGGCGGTACTGGAGCTGCTGGGACTTGGGGTGCTGCTGGGGCTACTGGAGTTGGTCCTGCTGGAGGTACTGCTGGAGCTGCTGGCGGTACTGGAGCTGACGGTCCTGCTGGAGCTGGAGCTGCTGGAGCTGGAGCAGCTGGGGGTGTTGGCGCTGGAGGTGCTACTGGCGCTGGTACTTCTGAGGGTGCTGGAGTTGGCGCTGTTGGAGCTGGAGGTGCTGCTGGCGCTGGTGCTGCCGCTGGGGGTACTGGTGCTGTCCCTACTGGTTCTGGAGGCGCTGCGCGGCCGCGGCCGTACTTCGTTCCGCTCCTTGAGCAGGTTCTTGGTCTCACGCCCTCTACTGGTCCTGCTCCTCCCTTAGAGTGTCCACGGCCTGTCCAGTCGCGGTCACAGTTACAGCCCGCCTCCCCCCTGCCTGCTCCTTCTCCCTACACTGGTCCTACTGGAGGTCTTGCTGAGCGTCGTGAGCCTGCGTCTCGTCCTGCGTCGCCTGTTCGTGCTGCTCGCACTAGTAGTCGTGCTCCGCGTCCGCGTCCTCCTGCGGTCCCAGGCACACACCAGATGGCATTGCATCCTTCCACTGCTCCTCTGCGTGTCCCGTTGCCGTCTCCTCCAGAGTCCTCTCTTCCTGTCCTTGCTGACCCGGAGTCTGACTCTCTTCGTGCTGCCAGTCCTACTGTCACGCGTCTCCTGGCTACTGTTGTCACTGACCCTTCCTTTGAGTCCACTGCTGCGTCTGCCTTGGTTGCTGAGCTTGTCGACTTAGCTGCTCGCTGTCGTCTAGACTACGCTGCTAGTCTTGTTGCTGAGTCTGAGTCTGTCTGTCCTCCGTCCGTCGGGGGTGAGTGTGCTCTTAGCACGGACGTCCTTGAGGACAGGCAGGAGGAGTTCCAGTGTTTTGCTGCTGCTTTGCCTCATCTCGTGTCCACGCTGATTGCCCCTGAGGGAGACCCGGATGCACCAGACATCCCGACTCCTCGATCGTACGCTGAGGCGATCGAGGGTCCCTACTCCTCACAGTGGCAGTCAACCATGGACGCAGAGATGGCTTCCTGGAAGTCCACAGGCACTTACGTCGACGAGGTTCCCCCACCTGGGGCGAACATCGTCAGTGGCATGTGGATTTTCAGGGTGAAGCGGCCGCCGGGTTCTCCGCCTGTCTTCAAGGCGCGTTACGTGGCTCGAGGCTTCAGTCAGCGGCAAGGAGTTGACTACTTTCAGACCTTCTCTCCCACCCCGAAGATGACCACTCTTCGGGTGCTGCTGCACATAGCCGCTCAGCGCGACTACGAGCTTCACTCTCTTGACTTCAGCACAGCTTTCCTGCAGGGCAGCCTGCACGAGGAGATCTGGCTGCGCCGCCCACCTGGCTTCACTGGGTCGCCTCTATCTTGGCCGCCATCTGAAGGGCCTTGATGCGGCCGAGTAGCATGTTGACCGTGCAAGGCTTGATCGGCTGCGTGCGCATGGCGGTGTTGCCCTCTTCGCTCCTCATTGCCTCGATGAGGGTCTCTCGCGCTCTGAACAAGACGTAAGCGCGAATTCGAGGCTCGTTGGTCCTCGGGCCGTGCAACCAGATGAACTGGCGCGGGGCGGTGTGCCAACGTTCGCCCAAATCATCGCCGATGTGCTTGCCGATTTCGTCCTTGTCAGTGAGTATGGACCCCGGCTCCAGGTCGTCACCTTCTGACGGAAGAGCATCCACCGCCCACCGCTTGTAGTCTAGTATCCACGATATGTACTCCCGCAGCGACGACCCTTCCTCGAGCGTCTCCGTGTGGCGAAGGGCATTGGCTATCAGCACTTCGATGTCGCTGTTCTTCAGATCCTCGACCACAAACTCAGCCGCCGTAAACTCTCCTCGCGGGACGCTCACGTTCAGCCTATCCTCGAGTTCGTACTCGGCCAACGCCTCCTCTATCTCTCTTCGATCCCTCTCGGCTCGAGTGAGCGGCCGACATTGGCGTCTAGGTCCCGGGCCGGGCTGGGGTTCCTCCTCCTCATCGTTAGACGAAGAGTCCTCCTCCGGCTGGCTAGGACGTCGCTTTTGGGGGTCGCCTACAGGTGGCGGCGGAATGTCAGGGTCGACGGGAATTTTAGCCAACACATCTAGATCGTAAATCAGACGCAGCGTCACTGCCGGAATGGTGGTGGGGCGGACGCCGGCCGGCGTTGTGGCGTCAACGGTCAGGTTCACCCGCGCCTGGGCTGCCAGCGGAACGTAGTCCGACATGTTGGCCTCGGCCGTATGTCCTAACAGCGCTTGTTGTCTACTGAGGGCCAGCCGGCGAGTTGGTCGGCGGGTCGGGCATAAAATGGCGGTATTGGGTAACGGCGGCGGCGTACTGTTGCTGCGTTGTGTTCGCTTCTAGTGACCTAGTGACCCTAGTGTCTGTCTCTAAGCGGGCGGCGAGAGAAGCTTGCGCCAACTGCGCGGCGATGTCCCCCTCAGGTGGGTTTGTTTCCGGCGGCGTTGCACCAGGCCGGTCGCCGACCACGCACAGCGCAACCCTAAACCAGTCTCGGCCTTTCTCCACAAATCTGGCCGATTGTGCCTCCCGTTTAAAACGGGCGATGAAACTGTGAAATCGGCTGCTACGACCAACGAAACACAATGCCCTGATAATCGGTCTCACCTGTTGGTCGGCGTCAGACGCCGGAGCCGCGGTGTTCTCCGCAGAGCGTGTCCTGGTGGAAAAAAACTAAGTGTGAGAGCGCAGGCGTAAGAAGTGACGAAAGGAAGTGGGAGTAGGAAAAATGGCTAGTGGCAGCTTGGCTCCGGAGAGGTCATGGACGTGCGCGGCTCGGCACATGCCACCGTGCAGGCAAGGTTCTGTACACTTGGCATTCATGCCGCTGTCCACGCGAGGCGGCGCATTCTCCGACGTGCCACGGCTCTCGCATGGCCACTACAACGTCGCCGTGACTGTCCATGAAGGTGTTTCGTAAGGCATGCCACGGCAGCAATACAAGGCGCGCCGAGGCTTGTGGCATTGGTCCAGAGTCCATTCATGGCGCACTCGTGCCACCGGTGATTGGCATCACGAGATACTTTGACGCCGACTTTGCGGACACCGCGGGTTCTGTTTTCCCGCGCAAGAAATAGTCCTCCGATGTTCGACACTTGGACCCGGCATCGCCGTTCGATGTACGCCACGTGTCCGGCGCCGACATTTATCCTGCCCCCACATCTGATTCCTGTGCACATGCCAGGCCGCCGATGCTCGACACCTGGACCCTGCCTCGCCGGTCGATGCTCGCCGACATTTCGGTGCCCACCTGTTCCTCTTCAGCGCTCAATTTGACCGCCAATTTCTTCCACGTAGACTTACCCCGTGACGCCGATTGACGCCGCGTGTCACGCACCGACATTCTCACGGCCCGCGCGTTCTTTCCCGCGCGACGCTTGAGGCGTGGTCGGGTGACGCGTGGACGCCAGTGTGGACGCCGACATTCGAGGGAGGTCGGACATAATCCAGGTCGTCCGTAACCCGCCGCGTGTCGTGCATCCGCGGTCGACGTGTCCTGCTGGCAACTCGCCACGCGTTGAGATATAATCTGTGGGTATTTCTCAGCCCACGGGAATGTCGACGGTCGTTCGGCGTTCCCTAGGGCTCCGTGCCCCAGTCTGCCATACAATTTCCGACGGTCGGACGGCGAGCTGAAATGGAACCCTGTCGGTTCTGTGCGGCGAAAACGGGCGGGGAATGCACGCGTTGAGGTATATCATGCTGAAGTCACCCCAAGAGTTTTCCCTGTTGAAGTGAAACCAAATTCATCAATACCCAACCTATTTGAGAACGCTGAATGGCGCTCCTCGTGGTATTTCTCCTACACGGCAAGTTAGCTAATTGAACATGTATATATATATTTGTGCTCCCCACAGAGAAGCCCGTTTTCCATCCATCGAGAATACCCCAAATTCCCCCTCCGATCAACTGCATCGGGATGGGACATGCTTCTTCAATTGTTCTTCCACTTCCACACAAATTTGGCATTCTCCCAATGCTGCTCGCTTCCCTTCTTTAGAGCTATGGCTTCCTAGAGCTGTAGCTCCAGTTTACAGGGGCTCCATTGAGCTGCCTAACAATACTGTAAGAGAGTCTTCTTCACTCTCTTCCGACCACCTTCGCCGTTCTGTTTTTTATTAAACAATAAAAAGGGCAAAACAAATCTCCGAAATGGCGAACAACCGCACTGGCATCAGCCGGTTCCGTGGCTCTTTCGAAGACCTAGTCGGTTCCTTACCCATAACCGAACCCCTTCTAAGCGGCCGAAGCCCGTTAGATTTCTTCTACGGGCTTCCCTATCGTCCTAGCCAGCCATCGCCGTCACCATCCCCGCAAACTGCCATCGGATCTTCTCTCACCGGCCTCCCACCATCGGACAGAGAGTCCGATTATATCGAGGATGGAGCCGTTCCTGTTCCTGGCCGAGCTCCTGGAGTCAACCCCTACATTGTCCTCCCGGGAAGGGGAACTAGACCTGGGTCTAGGCCTGGTGCTGCTCCGACCGTCAGTAATCAGCATGCTCGGCGTACAGGACCCCCTCAAGTCCCCTTTCCCGGAAATCGAGCGATTCCTCCCGGTCGCCGGCCCCATGTCCAGCGATCACCCTCACCTTTCGGCTCCCTCGCGTCGCTTCACGAAAAGGTTCCTTTTCTGCCCGACGAGGAAGAAGGAAAAGAGTCGTTTGAGTCAACTCATGGGTTGCCTGAGAGGGAAACGCCATCCCCGCCGCCCTCCCCGCCGTCCGAGCCGCCCCTTCCGTCCCAGCCTCCGCCTCCATCGCTAGCGCGCGTGGTTACTCGAGCTCGTGAGGACGGAACCACGTCCTTAAAGAGTTCTATATTTAATCTCTCGAACACGATGATTGGCGCGGGCATGATGGCATTGCCTGCAGCTATGAACGTCCTAGGAGTCGTGACCGGGAGTGCAGCGCTTATCTTCGTGGCGTTATTAACCTATGGATCCGTCATGGCCATGGTTCGCTGTACCGTCGCCGCTGCTGCTGCTTCTCCATCCTCTTCTGAGGACCCTTCGCGGTTTCGGAAATCTGACACGTCAAATGACGCCGCGGGAGCAGCAGGAAGAGGCAGAGACGGCAATCCCAGAGAGCTGGGAAGAAAAGCAAACGCTAGCAATGGAGGGAATTTCAGCGGTGTTGGCAGCCGCAGTTTCAGTATGCGGGATGAGGAGAAGCTGAGTTATAACCACACTGTGGCTACGGCTCTGGGAAGCACGGGACGGCTGGTGCTGCAGTTGTCCATTGTTGTCAACAACCTCGGCCTCATGATGGTGTTTCTTGATATTATTGGTGAGTGTATCACACTTTTAGCGGCCTAAAAGGTGTTTGGCAGCCGCAGTTTCGGCATGTGGGATGAGGAGAAGCTGAGTTATAACCACACGGTGGCTACGGCTCTGGGAAGCGCAGGACGGCTGGTGCTGCAGGTGGTGATTGTTGTCAACAACTTGGGCCTCATGACATGATGGTGTTCCTTGATATTATCGGTGAGTGTTAAGCATTTTCAGGAGCATCAGAAAAGGTGTCGTTCGTTGTCGTCAACAACCTTGGTCTCATGATGGTGTTCCTTGATATCATCGGTGAGTGAGGGTTTCACTCCTTGTTCCAATGCTAATTGTAAATTGGAGCACTGAAACAAAATTTCCAATAGTGTTGTTTGATATCTCATTCACAACTTCCATTCATTCCTATCGATTACACTACAATTCTCATCAAGGTTTTGTGACTCTTGTTTGTACCACACATTCTCATCTGCCCTTCCTGTGGACGTCACCAATGTTACTGCCGAAGCTGCATAGGCATCCATATGCTGTTGTGAATTATTATCCTTGATAAAATACACACTCTCGTATTCTACTTGCCGTTTTCCCTTCCTACTTCCCGTTTTCCCTCCCTACTTCCATGTTCATTTCCCATGTGTGACTGCAGGGGATGTGCTTGTAGGCAGCGCAACAGGACCTGGCGTTCTGCCACTGGATCAGCTGCACTTGTCCCCAGACGTGGCCAGAAAGTCTATCCTCTCTATAGTCATTCTCCTTATTCTGCCTCTCTGCCTACAAGACAGACTCGGTAAGTCTTGCATTCAGAATGTGCTTGACACTGATTGTTGATACATAGACGTCCAATGTCGCAATGTCATGTTCCGTGTTGTGTGACATGTCCCATATTCCGTGTTTCATGATTGCTTTACTACCATCTCTCTCCGTCTTGCTCCTTGAACCCAACCCCTTGTTAGCCCTCCCTCCCCTTCCCCATCGTTTGGGTCCTCTCTGCCACGCTCTCGATCCCTCTTTTGTTTTCTCTTCCTTTCCATTCAATAATATATGGTTGTTGAGACGTCTTAGAAACAACTCCTTGTTAGTCATCTCCCACCCCCCCCCCCTCCCCGTCCCCATTGTTTGGTTCCTCTCCCCCATTATCCTGATCCCTCTTTTCGTTCCAACTCCTTTTTAGCCCCCTCCCACCCCACCCCCCTCTCCCTTCCCATCGTTTGGTTCCTCTCCGCCTCCCTCTCGATCCCTCTTTTCGCTCCTCTTCATTTCCTTCCTATCAATCAGGGTCCATGAAGGTCGCGAGCAAGATATCAGTGGCCCTGGCAATTGCCTTCGTGCTGCTCGTGCTGCTGCTGTCTGGAGGGAAGATTGCAGCTGGTGCTGCCACCATGCCACCTCTCTTTGCCACGTCTGGCAATGCCCTTGCCGTTTTCAGCGTCATCAACGTCGTCACCAACGCCTTCATATGCCATTTCAATGGTGAGAACGATGGATTCTGTCGAGTTCTGCTTCAGAGAGTACAAGTAAATGGTTATGCCCTTGGTGTTTTCAGCATCATCAACGTCGTCACAAACTCATTCATTTGCCATTTCAATGGTACGATGGATTGTATCAAGTTCTTCTTTAAAGAGCATGAGTAAGTGGTCACGCCCTTGCTGTTTTCAGCGTCATCAACGTCGTCACAAACATCTTCACATGTCATTTCAACGGTGAGTGCGCCTCTCTAGTCTCAACGACAGCAAGCAAGATGGATCCCATTAAGTTCTTTTTAGCAAGTATACTGTATAAGTCACATCCATGCTTCATGATTTCCGCTCGCTCCCCCGCATGCGAACCGTCGTCCGCTGATTTGTCATCATCACCTCATCTTGCTCCTCCTTCCCACCCGCCACATCCCTTTTTCCATCCTCTCTGCCAGTGACCCCTATACACAGGGAGTTGAGGGATCGCTCTCTCCCCCGAATGCGCACCATCGTGCGCTGCTCTGTCATCATCACCACCCTCGTCTACCTCCCATAGCCGTCTAACTTTACCGTTCCTTTCCACCCCACCTTACCAGTGACCCCGCTTTACAGGGAACTCAGGGACCGCTCTCTCCCCTGCATGCGCATGCGCTGCTCGGTCATCATCACCACCCTCGTCTACCTCCCATGGCCAAATATCTATACTGTACCTTTCCATTCCATCCCACCAGTGACCCCTATTTACAGGTAGCTAAGGGACCGTTCCCTCCCCTGCATGCGCACGGTCGTGCGCTGCTCTGTCATCATCACCACCCTCGTCTACCTCCCATAGCCGTCTAACTTTACCGTTCCTTTCCACCCCACCTTACCAGTGACCCCGCTTTACAGGGAACTCAGGGACCGCTCTCTCCCCTGCATGCGCATGCGCTGCTCGGTCATCATCACCACCCTCGTCTACCTCCCATGGCCAAATATCTATACTGTACCTTTCCATTCCATCCCACCAGTGACCCCTATTTACAGGGAGCTAAGGGACCGCTCCCTCCCCCGCATGCGCACGGTCGTGCGCTGCTCGGTCATCATCACCACCCTCGTCTACCTCGCAGTCGGCATTTTCGGCCTCGTGCTCTTCGGCTCTGATGTACACACAGACGTGCTCTACGATTTCGACACAAGCTTGGATGTCGTTCCAGGAATGAGCCCCGTGATTGCGGCTCATGCGGTTGCGCTGGGGCAGGGGGTGAAGGTGGGGTATGCGATTTCCAGAGTGCTTTCGCTGCCGCTGGCGCTGTTTCAGCTGCGGCTGGTTGTGGCGTCGCTGCTGTCGGCTTGTCTGGGAAGGAAAGGGAGAGGAGAGAGGGACGAGGGAAGAACCACAAGCAATGGCAAATCTGAAGCTGTAAATGGGGAAGCTGGTTTCAGCAGCGGGCAGACAAAGGAGAGGACGAGGGTAAATTCCCTGGAATATATTCAAGTGGATGGGAATGAGGATGGAGCGGAGGAGGTAGGAGATGAGGAGGTGGGAGAAGAGAGGGACGGGGAGGAGACGGAGGAGGACGAGGAGGAAGGGGAGGAAGGGGAAGAGGAAGAGGAGGACGAGGAAGCAAGGCTTGAAGAGCTTCGACGGGCAGAAGAAAAGGCAACAAAAAGGCGGCGTTTTTGGCGTCAAGTCCGTTTCGTACTCCTTACAGTGTTCCTCCTCGTTTTAGCCTTCTGTGGCGCGGTGCTGGTGCCGGATATCTGGATAGTGTTCCAGTTTATGGGCTGTACCGCAGCGGTTATTATAGGGTTTGTTTTCCCCGGGCTTGTGGCTTTAAGGGCCAAGGGAGGGACTGTATCAGTGTCTGATACAGTGGTGGCATGGTTGCTGGTGTTGGTGGGTGTAGCTGTGGGTATTATTGGTATTGTTGTTAATGTTGTTGTGCTCTTGAACTCTGGCATGCCTTGATGCCATGTAGGCACATGCTGAATGTTACTGTACCTTGCATTGCTTTGCAACTGCATGCCTATTTATTACATTTACTGAATTTGGTGTCACATGATTTGCTTGCATGTGTCACATCACAGGGTTGCATGCATCTTTTACTACTATGTTGTTGTGCCCTTTTTTTCTCAGCTTTGTCCCTCTTCTGCAACATGCCGTATGGTACAATATTCTCTGCTGTTGCCAGCAGCACTCAGCAAGTGCGGAGCATGTGGTTTGTCAGATCCGCTTCTACAGCACCCAGGCAGCACCTTATACGGTATCTTCAAGCATTTGGTTCGTCAGCAGCATGCACTGTATAACAATTTGCACACAAAGCAGCACTTTTTGCACATCTTGGTTACACCATTATCTATAACTGTTATCATACGAGCGTTCTGTTACATCATAACAGCGTTACACATTCTGGTGCTGCTTCATCTTGGAGGGCGGCCATCTGCCCTTCTTCCTCAGCTTCCTCTTCTGCACCAATCGCTTGCGCCGCTGCTCCTCCTTCCGCGCCGCCTTGATGTCCTCTGCTGACTGTAGCGGCAGCTCCTCCACTGCTGACGTGGCCTCCGCCACGTCAGCTGCCAGCTCGACCACTGGTGCGGTGGTGGCGGCGGCCTGGGGGACGGCGAGGCGGAGTGAGCGCATGGAGAAAGTGAGGGGCTCGCCTGGGGGAAAAGAGGAGGGGGGGGGGGGGGGGGTGGGGGGGGTGCGGGGGGGGAGGAGGGGGAGAGATGAAGGAGAATGAGGAACGGGAAAGGAAAGTGGCAAGGTGAGGGGGAAGTAAAGGCACAGCAGCATGCGGCCTGGGGGACAACGAGGCGGAGAGAGCGCATGGAGAAAGTGAGGGGTTCGCCAGGGTGGGTGAAAAGAGGGGAGGGGGAATGGCGGGAGGAGAGAGCGGGGGGGGGGGGAGGGGGGAGTTGGGGGAAGAAGCGGGGAAGGGAAAAGGGCACGGGAAAGGTGACGGAATAGAGGCAAGAGGCTTGGGGCGAGGCGAATGGAGCGCAGAGACACTTGGGATTGCCGGAAGGGAGGGTGAGAATGCGGAATGCGGAAGGTAGGGAATGCGAGACTGGGAGACCAGGGTTAGGTGAAACGACTTGAAGTGTTTGGTTAAAAGGGGAGGGAGGGGGAAAGGGACGCATGAAGAATGCGTTATATCGAGGGGGGGGGGAAGAGAGAGAAAGGACTGAGGGATGCGAAGGGAGGGAAAGGAGGGACAGTGGAGGACAGCGGAAGGACAGAGGGACGGAATGAGTCAGAGTGATGGAGTCACTTCGACTCAAGAGTGCTTCGCGCATTCCGACTAGCAATACGGGTGGTTGACAAAGATCGACGAAGTCCGATGAAGGGACCGGGCGGGTTACATGGAGGTGTGAAATGAAGTACGCGGGATGAGCCAGACAGATGAGTGAACCAGGCGGATGAGGCACCGGTAAGTGGGTTCAGTACAGGCCCCGATTCCCTAGACGACTTTTGAGACGTCTCAAAACCAGGCGGACGAGCTAAGTAGGTCCAGCTCAATACACGATTCTTCTAGACGTCTCCGACGCAGTCGCGACGCGAGAGCTGAACACGCACAACTCGAACTAAGCACGCACAGGTCGAGCGCGATTTACCATTGCTACACCGCTTTATCTTCTCTACTCCCACACTTCAATGTCTGCCCCTTCACCTGCACCGCCATTCCGAAGAGCTGCAAAAGAGCTAGCAGTTCCGTCCAGGCTCATTTTTGCAACCTGTGCTGCCTAGGAGAAGCTCTACCAGGGTCAAGGCGCATGCTAGATAATGCCATTCGCACACTACTCTTTGGCGAAGTTTCTTGCACGCGTGAAAGTTATGCTAAAGGTCGGTAATCTTACAACACGCAGCGAACCCTCAGACCAGCCGTAGCTTCTCGTAGGTGATGAAGGAAACATACTCTACTCTCAGGTTCAAAAGCCCCTGAGACTAAGTTTGACCCTAACCCTAATCAGGGAGCCTAAGCCTGAAAATATTAGTGAACGGGCCTGAGACCTACGGTACTTACATGCGAGGCTCTTGCTCCGCGACGAGACGGTGGAGAAACTGGCGGAAACCGCGGCGGAGCTAAGTGCGGGAAGCAATGTCGCCATGGCAGCCATGGCGGAAGCCTGGACCCGACGGATGCGGCGGATCGTACGGAGAAAAAAATGTGCGTCAGGCAGAACGACGCTGAACAAGCAACAGAAACCTAGAAGAAATAACTAGGTAAGTAGAAATAATCGTAGGAGCCAAAACCCTTCAGGCGGGCCTGCGGGGAAATCGGCCTTGCGAGGGAGATGGGGGGAAAGCGCGGCCAGATGTGCACGGGCGGAAAATTACTGGCGGAAATCCAGATGGGAGGAAGGGGGCAGGGGCGGGAAGCGGAATGGGGGAGCGTGGAAGTGAGGGGGTATGGGCTGATCTGATTGGTGTTGACACGACGCTCGGGGAAGTCTCTAGGATGACATCAACGCATTGCGGATGTGATCCCCAGCACGGTTTAGTTCGTTGCAATACGGTCAAAGGCAGTACGGCATGAGACTAGTTTTCTACCGTGTTGAAACTTACTGAACCGCACTGGACGATGAACGAACTAACACTGGCTGTTCCATGGATGGGTCTGAGGAACACGTGGCAGAAGGCAAGGCGTCAAATGACACGTCAACGCGAAGTCACATTACGCGTCAGTAGACGACTTCATAAGAACAAACACCAAACAAAGTGGGCAAAGTTACATGCACAAAAGAAAGAAAACACATACGACTAGAGAAACAACTACTAGCCCTATACATGATACATAGCGAAGAATCCTTAGCACACCACATGCCCGTGAACTCCTCCGCCTCGAGCTTGTGCTGCTACAAGCGTCCGGTTGGCCGCTACAACCGCCGCTTTCGTTGCACTGCGCAACGCATCAGCCAATGGCCCAAGTCTCAGCGCTGAGCCCCATTGCTGCGTACTCACAATAGCCATCTCGTTGCTTCCCGCAGTCCCATCTTTATTTTCCACGCCTCCATTGTCACCCATTTCCTTCATCACACCCACTTCCACCAAGACCGCAACTTCCCGGAAATCCACCACCTCTCGTAACACCTGCACCATTACCCGACCACCATATGCAGCCTCCAGCTCAACGATTGCCGCCAGCGCAGCAGCGTCCACGTCAGCATCCTCCGCTGCCGCATGTGCCGAGCCCTCTTCCGAACCATGGCTTTCCAACCTCGAAAACACCCGACTGTCATTTCCTCCTCCAGGTCCTCCTGCTCCTCCGCCCACTTGTGCCGTGACCGCCCCGTTACCATTATAACTCGGAATAGCAGCAGCTGCCGCAGCAGCAGCAGCAGCAGGAGCACCAGCAGGAGCACCAGCAGAAGCAAATGAAGCAGAACCGGTGGTCCCAGAGACAGCAGCAGCAGCAGCTGTGAGAGAGTCATCGCCATAGGTAGTTGTGCTGGTGAAAGGACTGGCGGTATTTGCACCAGCAGCACCAGCAGTGGCACCAGCAGTGGCACCAGCAGCACCAGCAGCAGCCCCAGGGGCAAGACCACGAGAGGGTGCTCCAGTAAGGGTCATGCCTGCCATTCCAGCTGTCACATGTGCTCCTCCAGATAAGCCTGCTCCAGATAAGCCTGGTCCAGTCTGCACCCTCCCTGCAGCAGCAGCACCAGCAGCCATGCCAGTTGGGGCAGACAGAGAAGCAGGGAGGCTTCTGGAGAGAGAGGGAGGTACAACTGGTGCAGCTGCTATCTCCTCAGCACTACTCCACACCCCCACCGACGAATACACCACCCCTTTCACCCGGTTGCTCAAGTAACAGCTCATCATGCCACCTGGCGCCAGGCTGGCATGGCCCGCCGCCATGTCAGCGCCAGCGTCAGCAGGGTCGGCGTGATTGGAACGGCCGGCGAAGGGGAGCGAGAGGGAGAGGCGGAAGGAGGAGCCTTGCGAGAGGGTAGAGTCGCAGGAGAGAGTGCCGTGCATGAGTGAGGCGAGCTTCTGACTTACGATAAGCCCCAGGCCTGATCCTGCTGGGGCAGAGGAGCTGCTGGGAAGAGGGCGGAAAGGGGCGAGAGAAGAGAGGGGATCAGGGGCAGGGCATGTAAAGATGGAAGGAGGGGCGTTGGAAGGGGGCGGAGTGGCAGGAGAGAGTGCCGTGCATGAGAGAGGCGAGCTTCTGAATTACGATAAGCCCCAGGCCTGATCCTGCTGGGGCAGAGGAGCTGCTGGGAAAGAGGGGCAGATGGAAAAGGGGAGGGAAAGTCACACAACAGAAGGAAGGAGGAGCATTTGGAGGGGGGGGAATGGCAGAGTCGCAAGAGAGAGTGCCGTTCATCAGCGAGGCGAGCTTCTGGCTTACTATGAGGCTCAGGCCCCACCCTGCTGGCTTACTATGAGGCTCAGGCCCCACCCTGCTGGCTTACTATGAGGCTCAGGCCCCACCCTGCTGGCTTACTATGAGGCTCAGGCCCCACCCTGCTGGCTTACTATGAGGCTCAGGCCCCACCCTGCTGGCTTACTATGAGGCTCAGGCTCACAACCCAGCACCCACCTCCCACCAGCGTCGGGAGTAGTAGCAGCCCTACTCACCGCGATTCAGTGTCAGAAGCACCACTGGAGATGGCTGGTGCCAAGCTAGGATCCATGCCCGAAAACACATGTTGCCGCTGCTCCTCACTCAACCCCGGGCCTGAATCCGCCACACAAAAGACGAACGGAAAAATCTCCTCCCCGTCAGCCGAAACGTTTCGGCCCTGCCCGGTCCGCTGCCCAGTCTGCTGGCCGGGCACGAGCCTTCCGGCCAGCGCGTCTCTTCCGTACTCCTTAGAAGCCGCTTCGCCGGATGCTTTATAGAGCTGCACCTCGATCCAGCCTTGCTGGGTCTACTCCACTGCGTTACGGAAGAAGTTTGCGACGATCTGCTGCACGCGGTGCTTGTCGCCCTTTACAATCACGTCGGCGCATTGAGGTTCAACTGAGCAGAAGACTTGTAAGCCCTTGTCACCCGCATTCTCATGCTCCTGGCGTGGGTAAAACGGGCCGGAAAGGTGGGAGAAGAACAGGGGACGCGCGAACAGCGGGAGGGGAGAAGGGAGGGGAGTTGAGGAGGAGAAGGTGTAGGGTAGCGGGAAAGGGACAGGAAGTTTGCAACGATCTGCTGCACGCGCTGCTTGTCGCCCTTTACAATCACATCGGCACACTGCGGCTTCACCGAGCAAAACACCTGCAGGCCCTTGTCGTTGCCCGCATTCTCATGTTCCTGGGGAGAGAAGGGGGGAGGGGAGAGGGGAAGGCCAGGGGGAGGAGGGAGCACCGACCGTTACAGTTGGCACACTGTGGCTTCACCGAGAAGAACACCTGCAGACCCTTGTCGTCGCCCGCATTCTCATGCCTCCCTCCATCCCACCACCTGTGCAATCACAGCATCCACCACGTGTATGAGCTCAAACGGTTCGCTCTCCACCTCCAGCTTGCATGGGAGGGAGCTACATGGCCAAGGGGAGAGGTGGGATCCGAACTGACTCACCCACCTACCTGTCCTGTGAGACTGTCACGTGGAAGGGAAGGGATGGAACTCACCTGTGCAATCACAGCATCCACCACGTGTATGAGCTCAAACGGCTCGCTCTCCACCTCCAGCTTGCATGATGGGGGTTACACAGCTAGGGAAAGAGGTGAAATTCGACCCACCCACCAAAAAAATGTGGGGAGGGAGGGACTCACCTGTGCAATCACGGCGTCCACCACGTGAATGAGCTCAAACGGTTCGCTCTCCACCTCCAGCTTGCCCTCCTCTAGCTTGCTCAGATCCAATACATTGTCCACGACCCTCCGCAGATACTTCCTGGTGGGTAGAACAGTACACAATGGTGATATGGGATGCAGAGGGGTGACAAGGGGTGAATTACGGTGACAGCAGCTGAAACACGGTGCTAGCCGGCTCTCCACCTCCAGCTTCCCCTTCTCGAGCTTGCTCAGATCCAACACATTGTCCACCACCCTCCGCAGGTACTTGCTGTAAAGTGACAGGGGGGTGAGGAGGGATGTAGAGGGGTGACAAGGGGTGAATCACAGTGTCAGCAGGTGACTCCTCATGGTGCTAGCCGGCTCTCCACCTCCAGCTTCCCCTCCTCGAGTTTGCTCAGATCCAACACATTATCCACCACTCGCCGTAGATACTTGCTGTTGAGGGCGATATGGAGGGGTGACCAGGGGTGAACAAGGGTAAGGGCAGATGAAGAGCGGTGAAAGGGGGTGAATCACGGTGCTGGATTGGATGGCAGAGCAGAGTGACACATGTACATACCCGCATGCGCTGGTGGCGTGAAGCAGGTCCCACTGGTCGGATGACATCTCTGTGCCCTCCATGAAGCTGTTTACTGAGACGCCTCAAGAGAAGAGCGGACGGACAAAGAAGACACACATACGTACCCGCACGCCGAGGTGGCGTGCAGCAGGTCCCGCTGGTCGGATGACATCTCTGTGCCCTCCATGAAGCTGATGGATGAGAGGATGCCGTTCAGTGGGTTGCGGATCTGATGCGGGGTGATGATGCGGGGGGAGGGGATGCAGGCAGGGAAGGGTGGGGTGGGTGGGGAGAGAGACGCATTGGGGCACTGGGCACAGGGCCAATGGGGTGAAGCAGATGAATATCTCTGATCCGACGACATCTCTGTGCCCTCCATGAAGCTGATGGAGGAGAGGATGCCGTTCAGAGGGTTGAGGACCTGACGGTGGGGGATTACATGTGGGGGATGTGGGGTAACGTCACAGATTAGGCGTGGCATGCATGGGGTGTGCATGCGGGGATGCAGGAAGGGTAGAGGGGTGGAGGGCAAGGATGCATGGGGGACAGGCATGCCAGCTGCATGGCCTTTGCCTGGCCTGCGGCCTCTGCCAGCCACCATCTTCATTGCAGATGCATTCACTCAACACACCCAGCACCTCATTTCAACGCACAGCACACCTCCTCACCGCACTCAACCCCTCTGCATACCTCGTGGCACAAGCATGCCAGCTGCATGGTTTTGGCCTGACTCGCCGCCTCTGCCACCATCTTCATTGCCGATGCATTCTCTGCTGCCCACGTCATCCCCCAAGTTTTGACCTGCCTTCACCGCACTCAACCCATCAATGAACCACTATTACCACATGCCACACCTCCTCACCGCACTCAACCCCTCTGCATACCTCGTGGCACAAGCATGCCAGCTGCATGGTCTTGGCCTGGCTGGCCGCCTCTGCCACCATCTTCATAGCCGATGCATTCTCTGCTGCCCTCCTCTCTACCACGTCTTGCATGAAGCACGTCGCTCCCACCGGCTCGCCCGTGGGGGAGCGCCTGAAAGCACGTGGTTGGATGGGGATCAAGTGGGAGGGAGGGAGGAACAGCACAGGATCGGCTCTCTGCTGCCCTCCTCTCCACCACGTCTTGCATGAAGCACGTCGCTCCCACCGGCTCGCCCGTGGGGGAGCGCCTCAAAGCACGTGGTTGGATGGGGATCAAGTGGGAGGGAGGGAGGAACAGCACAGGATCGGCTCTCTGCTGCCCTCCTCTCCACCACGTCTTGCATGAAGCACGTCGCTCCCACCGGCTCGCCCGTGGGGGAGCGCCTCAAAGCACGTGGTTGGATGGGGATCAAGTGGGAGGGAGGGAGGAACAGCACAGGATCGGCTCTCTGCTGCCCTCCTCTCCACCACGTCTTGCATGAAGCACGTCGCTCCCACCGGCTCGCCCGTGGGGGAGCGCCTGAAAGCACGTGGTTGGATGGGGATCAAGTGGGAGGGAGGGAGGAACAGCACAGGATCGGCTCTCTGCTGCCCTCCTCTCCACCACGTCTTGCATGAAGCACGTCGCTCCCACCGGCTCGCCTGTGGGGGAGCGCCTGTTATGGGGATACGAATGCATTTACGGGCAGATGAAGGGAGGGAGGAAGAAGGAAGTTGGCTCGCGTGGTCACCTCTCCGCTGCCCTCCAACACCACAGCACAGACTCTGCTCCACCACACTGCACCACAATACACCGCAATCCACCGCAATCCACTGCAATGCATTGCGTTGATGACAGCATTGCACTCTAAACCACCACATTCACATCACAACGCAGAACCGCACTGGACCACTTTGCAGCCCACTGTACCCTGCCTCAACTCCATTGCACCGCACTGCACCTGCTGATGATGTGCAGGAGAGTGTCCATGGGGCGGCCATCCCACGTCTTGAGCTGCAGCTCGTGGTTCCTCGTGTCCCTCCCATTGAGAGCCTGACAGAGGGCGATCTCAAACATTACCAAGTTATCCTGCACGGGAGGGGAGGATGGGTGGGGGAGTGATGTGGGGGTGATGTGAGGGGAGTGAGCTGGGGTTGTAGCTCGTAGTTCCTCGTGTCCCGCCCATTTAGTGCTTGGCACAGAGCGATCTCAAACATTACCATATTGTCCTGCAGGAGTGAAGGTGGTGAAGGGGGTTGCGGGGAAGGGGGGATGGGGTGATGTTGAGGGGAGTGAGCTGGGGTTGTAGCTCGTAGTTCCTCGTGTCCCGCCCGTTCAGAGCCACAGGGAGATCTCAAACGTCACCAGATTGTCCTGTAGGAGTGAATGGAAACGGGGTGGGGTGATGTGGGGTGATGAGGGGTGATGTGCGTGGGGTGATGTGTGGTGATGTGGGGTGACCAGGGGTGATGTGGGGTGAGCAGGGGTGATGTGGGGTGATGTGGGGTGATGTGGGGTGATGTTGGATGATGTGGAAGGAAGTGAGCCGCAGCTCGTGGTTTCTCGTGTCCTGCCCATCCAGGTTCACTTATTACGTAGCAACACCAACTCCCCCACAAGCCACCTCCCCCACAAACCACAAGCACCGTTCTTCACCTGGTCGGGAAACAGCAGCATGGGATTTCTGCTAAGCACCTCCCCCACAAGTCGCCTGTCCACAAGCCACCTTCCCCCACAAGCCACCTCCCCCAGCGAGCGAGCCACAAGCACCAGTCTTTACCTGGTCCGGAATGAGCAGCATCGGATTGCTGCTTTTTGAGGCGCCTCAAAATGCACCTCACTACACACGGATTTTGAGGCGCCTCAAAATGAACTTTACATGGTCCGGAATGAGCAGCATCGGATTGCTGCTCAGCACCTACTAATCCCACAAGCCACCTTCCCCCACAAGCCACCTCCCCCACTAGCCACCTCCCCCAAAAGCCACCTTCCCCCACAAGCCACCTCCCCCAGCGAGCGAGCCACAAGCACCAGTCTTTACCTGGTCCGGAATGAGCAGCATCGGATTGCTGCTTTTTGAGGCGCCTCAAAATGCACCTCACTACACACGGATTTTGAGGCGCCTCAAAATGAACTTTACATGGTCCGGAATGAGCAGCATCGGATTGCTGCTCAGCACCTACTAATCCCACAAGCCACCTTCCCCCACAAGCCACCTCCCCCACTAGCCACCTCCCCCAAAAGCCACCTTCCCCCACAAGCCACCTCCCCCACAAGCTGCCTCCCCGTAAACGCCCCACAAGCCACATTCCTGGTCAGGAATGAGCAGCATGGGGTTGCTGCTAAGCACCTCCCCCACAAGCCACCTCCCCCACAAGCCACAGACATTGTTAATCACCTGGTCGGAACCAACAGCACCGCTTCTCACCTGGTCGGGAATGAACAACAACCACTATTGTTCGCCTGCTCGGAATCAGCAGCACCGTTTCTCACCTGGTCGGAATCAGCAGCACCGTTTCTCACCTGGTCCGGAATGAGCAGCATGGGATTGCTGCTAAGCACCTCCCCCACAAGTCGCCTCCCCACAACTTTTTCTCGGGGCAGCCCGCTGGTCTGCTCCATGGCAGCATTCCATTCGGTCACCCGCCCGCACTCGTCCACCGTGAAAACCAAGAGATCTGATTGGTCCACAGCTGCCCGAGCCTCCGCTTCGGGCATCTTGTACTGAAGAGAGGGGCAAGGAGGGGGAGGAGGAGGGGGAGGGGGAGGGGGAGGGGGAGGGGGAGGGGGAGGGGGAGGGGGAGGGGGAGGGGGAGGGGGAGGGGGAGGGGGAGGGGGAGGGGGAGGGGGAGGGATAGGGGAGAAAAGGGGAAGGAGAGGAATGATTCGATTGGTCCACAGCTGCCCGGGCCTAAGAGGTTGCCTTGGAAGTAACCTCAGTGTGTCTGCTGTCGGTGTGTGTATGCTCACCTGTGTGTCTCTTTATGTGTCCCTCCTCCCTTTCCCCTCCCCCTTCTCTCACCTCCCCTGCCAGCACATTGAGCGCGGTGGCGTGATGCCCCATCAGCCCCTCTGTGCCTTACTCACCTCCCCTGCCAGCACATTGAGCGAGGTGACGTGATGCCCCATGACTCGCACACCCTGCCGCCGGTTGCTGCCTCTGTGCGTGTGTGCCTCTGTCACTGTGCGTGTGTGCCTTTGTCACTGTGCGTGTGTGTCCCTTTGACTTTATCTCACCATCACATGCCCATCCCCCTCCCGCTCCCTGCTTCATCCCCTTGCCTCCCCCCCCTACTCACCTCCCCAGCCAGCACTTTGAGTGCAGTGATGTCTTGACCCATCAGCCGCACACTCATCAGGTTGCTGTGCCGGTCTCTCTCTGTGTCTGGTGTGTGTGTTACCTGTCTCTGTGTGTGTTATGCGGCCCCCTTACTCACCTCCCCAGCCAGCACTTTAAGCGCGGTGATGTCTTGCCCCATCAGCCGCACGCTCATCAGGTTGCCATGGCCCTGTCTGTGTGAGTGCTATCCACCCCTACTCACCTCCCCAGCCAGCACTTTAAGCGCGGTGATGTCTTGCCCCATCAGCCGCACGCTCATCAGGTTGCCATGGCCCTGTGTGTGTGAGTGCTATCCACCCCTACTCACCTCCCCAGCCAGCACTTTAAGCGCGGTGATGTCTTGCCCCATCAGCCGCACGCTCATCAGGTTGCCATGGCCCTTTGTGTGTGAGTGCTATCCACCCCTACTCACCTCCCCAGCCAGCACTTTAAGCGCGGTGATGTCTTGCCCCATCAGCCGCACGCTCATCAGGTTGCCGTGCCGGTCGTGCTGCCCATACGCGCTCACCAACACATGCACCAGCCGATCCAACTCCCCCACCACCCCTCCCCCCCTTCGTCCTCCTCCTGCTCCACCACCCCCAGCTCCAGCAGCAGCAGCGGCGGCAGCATCAACAGAATCAGCAGATCGCGCCAGCAGAGCCACATCAAACGGCTGAACGTCCTCCCCTTCCGCCAGCACCTCAATAGCAGCCACAAAGTGCGCGTGAGACTCGGGAGCCAGCACGCTCGCAAAGAAGTTGCTCCCGAGAACCTCGCTCTTGGCCCGCCGCGTGATGTGGGCGGCCTTGCTGTTGAACTCGGTGACGGTGCCGTCGCTGCTGATGCCGATGATGGGCGTGTGGGCGGATTCGAGCTGGTTTTCTAGAGTCTTGGCGACCTCTTTGAGCTGTGACTGGATGGTGAGCCGCTCTGCATTCAGCTGGGCCTGGTGGGTCAAGGAAAGGCAACGAAAGCAGGAGAGGAGGGGAGAGGAGGGGAGAGGAGGGGAGAGGAGGGGAGAGGAGGGGAGAGGAGGGGAGAGGAGGGGAGAGGAGGGGAGAGGAGGGGAGAGGAGGGGAGAGGAGGGGAGAGGAGGGGAGAGGAGGGGTAGGTAGGGAGACACAAGGCAGGGTGGAGGAGGCAAGCAAGAGGGTGATGTGGGCGGCCTTGCTGTTGAACTCGGTAACGGTGCCGTCGCTGCTGATGCCGATGATGGGCGTGTGGGCGGATTCTAGCTGGCTTTCTAGTGTACGTGCGACCTCGTTGAGCTGCGACTGGATGGTCAGACGCTCCGCGTTCAGCTGAGCCTGGTGGGACAAGGAGGAGACGGAGGGGAGGGGAGAGGAGGAGAGAGGAGGAGAGAGGAGGAAAAGGGTGGTTCAGTCCGATGGTGGGCGTGTGGGCCGACTTGAGCTGGGACTCCAGCGTGCGGACAACCTCTGTCAACTGGGACTGGCTGGTCAAGCGCTCTGCGTTCAGCTGGGTCTGGTCAGGTTCAGAGGGGTGAGGAGTTACACACAGCACAGCCTAACCACAAGCATCACAACCATCCAGTGAATGCATGTATGTGGTGTCAGCACAATGATTTTGAGACCTGGTTGGTGGCTAAAGCAACGACTTAAAAGACAGCCAGTCCCACGCTCACCTGGATCTTCAGCTTCAGGTCTTGAGGCTCAGGGTGGGGAAGCGAGTCCTTCACTATGAGGCGCAGCCCTTGCATGGCGTCCACCTTGGATAGGGATGAGTGGGAAGGGGTTTGAGGGGTAAAGAAAGAGGTTCCAAGGGGTGGAGAGCATCAGCGGTGGGTATCAGCAGGTTCCAAGAGATGGGGAAGAGGACCAGCAGGGGGGCGAGGTGAGCAGGGAGTCGCAGGGAGTTGCATCGTGGTGCTGTCTCCTTTCTGCAGATGTGTGCAGTTCTGTGCGGTTTTGTGCGGTTCTGAGCGGCTGTCTGTGGCTGTGTGCGATTCTGTGCCCTCTCTACTCAACCCTATCTCTCCTCACCTCAGCATCAGTCCAGGGCTGGCTCTGCAGCTTCACCACTTCAAGGTAAGCAGCAAACCATTTACGGGGATGCATGGTGGCGCCCTCCCTGTGTGCGACTGTGTGGTTGGCTGTGTGCGGCTGTGTGCAGTTCTGTGTGGTACTGAGCGGTTCTGTGTGGCTGTGTGCCCTATTATTCACTCACCTCAGCATCAGTCCAGGGCTGGCTCTGCAGCTTCACCACTTCGAGATACGCCGCAAACGAGTTGCGGGGATGCATGGTGGCGCCCTCCCTCACTGTATGCGAGTCCTTGTGCCCCGCCCAAGTAATGTTCCTCTCAATGCCTGCCAGGTCAGGGGAGGTGGGGAGAGGGGGAGAGGGGGAAGGAATCAACGAGATGCATGGTGGCGCCTTCTCTCACTGTGTGCGAGTCCTTGTGCCCCGCCCACGTGACGTTCCTCTCAATGCCTGTCAGGACAGGGGGGAGATGGAGCGATGGGGAGATGAGGAGTTGGGAGAGGAAGAGAGAGAAGGAATCATACGGATGCATGGTGGCGCCTTCTCTCACTGTGTGCGAGTCCTTGTGCCCCGCCTAGGTGATGTTCCTCTCAATGCCTGCCAAAGCACGGGGGAGGTGGGGAGGTGGGGAGATGGGGAGATGGGGAGAGGGGGAGAGGGGGAGAGGGCGAGAGGGGGAGAGGGGGAGAGGGGGAGAGGGAGAAGGCATCAACGGAATGCATGGTGGCGCCCCCCCTCACTGTGTGGCTGTCCTTGTGCCCCGCTCACATGATATTGAGACCGCATGAGAAAGTCTTCTCGGCTTGACACCGTGTGACTTTTGAGTAGACTCAAAAGTCATGATGTTGAGACCGCATGAGAAAGTCTTCTCGGCTTGACACCGTGTGATTTTTGAGTAGACTCAAAAGTCATGATGTTGAGACCGCATGAGAAAGTCTTCTCGGCTTGACACCATCGCAGCAGCCAACCCGCACAAAGTCGGGGCGAGGCGGGAGGCAAAGTGAGAATCGATAGGAAAGGACTGGATTCTAAACCTGAAACCGAAACCCTGAACCTCAATCCTCACCTGACCGAAACCACATGAGGAAGTCTTCTCGGCTTGACACGATAGCAGCAGCCAGCCCACACACAGCGGGGGCGAGGCGGGAGGCGAAGGAAGGAATGAGAGGAAAGACTGTACCGGAAACCCGAAACCCTGAACTGAACCCTCACCTGACCGAAACCACATGAGGAAGTCTTCTCGGCTTGACACGATAGCAGCAGCCAGCCCACACACAGCGGGGGCGAGGCGGGAGGCGAAGGAAGGAATGAGAGGAAAGACTGTACCGGAAACCCGAAACCCTGAACTGAACCCTCACCTGACCGAAACCACATGAGGAAATCTTCTCGGCTTGACACGATAGCAGCAGCCAGCCCACACACAGCTGGGGCGAGGCGGGAGGCGAAGGAAGGAATGAGAGGAAAGACTGTACCGGAAACCCGAAACCCTGAACTGAACCCTCACCTGACCGAAACCACATGAGGAAATCTCCTCGGCTTGACACGATAGCAGCAGCCAGCCCACACACAGCTGGGGCGAGGCGGGAGGCAAAGGGCAGCCCAGCTTGCTCCAGAGAATTTGTGACAAAGACGGTGTGTTGCAGCAGGGAGGTGTCTTTGAGTCGCAGCCAGCGCAGCAAATTCTTCTCAAACTTTCTAACAAAAACCACAGGAGAAAGTCTCACCTGAGCGGAACCACATGAGGAAATCTCCTCGGCTCGACACCATAGCAGCAGCCAGCCCGCACACAGCCGGGGCGAGGCGGGAAGCAAAGGGCAGCCCAGCTTGCTTCAGAGAATTTGTGACAAAGACGGTGTGGTGCAGCAGGTGGGTGTCTTTGAGGCGCCCTAAACCCGAAACCCTATATCCTGAACCTCAATGCTCACCAGATCGGAACCACATGAGGAAGTCTCCTCGGCTCGACACCATGGCAGCAGCGAGCCCGCAGACAGCCGGGGCGAGGCGAGACGCGAAGGGCAGCCCAGCTTGTTCCAGAGAGTTGGTGACAAAGACGGTGTGTTGCAGCAGGTGGGTGTCTTTGAGGCGCAGCCAGCGCGCTATCTCCTTCATGTCGTCCTCTGCTGGGCACGCCCCCACCCACCATGCCCTGCCCGCATGCAGCAGCACCGCCCCGTCCGATGGCACCTGGGAGGGGGGGGGGGGGGGAGGGAGTGAGGGCGTTGACTCGTGTTGACTGCTGTTGACTTGTGGTTACCACGCCCTGCCCGCATGCAGCAGCACCGCCCCGTCCGATGGCACCTGTGGGGGGGGGAGGGAGGGAGGGAAAAGGGAGGGAGGGAGGGAGGGAGGGAGGGAGGGAGGGAGGGAATGATAGAGTGAGGTAGTGAGTGAGTGAGGGAGGGAGAGACGGCGAGAGTGAGGGAGGGATTGCGGGATGGAGTGAGGGAGGGAGTGAAGGAGTGAGGGAGTGAGGGAGGAAGGGAGTGAGAGAGAGCAAGAGGGAGGGAGTGGCCCTGCATCTGCATTGTGCGCCGCTCTGCTGCATGCTAGGTCCAGCCGAACCCTTCCCACTTACGAGGTGGCTTTGGAGTCGACTCATTAGTCGCCTTGTTGCATGCTAGGTCAGGTGGCTTTGAAGGATGGACTCACCAGGTCTTTGATGTTGGGGCTATGTCGCACCAGCCCCAGAGGCACGTCCCTAGACAGCATGCCACACAGAATCGCCTGCATCTGCATCGTTCATTGCTCCATTTTTTCTAACATCAGTGCCTTTTGCCATGGAAGGAAGGAAGGATGGACTCACCAGGTCTTTGATGTTGGGGCTCTGTCGCACCAACCCCAGAGGTACGTCCCTGGACAGCATGCCGCACAGAATGGCCTGCATCTGCATCGTGCGGCGCTCCGCTGCATGCTCTGCCGCCTCTAACTCCATGGCTAGCTGCAGGGCGAAGGCCTGTTGAGATGGAGGGGATATATGGGGGGAGGTGAGGTGGATAGGGAGAGTTGAGTTGAAAGCGAAGCACTCTGCCGCCTCAAGCTCCATGGCTGGAGATGGTGGGGGAGGGGATGAGGAGGGGTGGAGATGGTGGGGGAGGGGATGAGGAGGGGTGGAGATGGTGAGACAAGTGAGTCGCTCCGCTGCATGCTCTGCTGGCTCCAGCTCCATGGCTAGCTGCAGGGCGAAGGCCTGACGATGGGGGCGATGGGGAGGAAGATGGAGAAGAGCAGAGAAGTGATGCGGGGGTTGATGAGGGTGCGCTACTTTTGAGGCTCCTCAAAAGGGGAGATGGGGAGGAAGATGGAGAATTGCAGAGAAATGATGCGGAGGTTGATGAGGAAGGAAGTGCTACTTTTGAGGCTCCTCAAAAGGGGAGATGGGGAGGAAGATGGAGAAGAGCAGAGAAGTGATGCGGGGGCTGATGAGAGGGAGTGCTTTTTGAGGCTCCTTTTGAGGCGATTTTCGAGGCGCCTAAAAAATGGAGAAGAGCAGAGAGGTGATGGGGGGGCTGAAGAGGGAGTGCTTTTCATGGCACTTCAATAATGACAAGCCACAGCATCTGTTGAGCGAACCCAACCCACCAACCCACCCACCCACCTGTAAGAGAAAGTCGCAGGCGAATCGCTGGGGATAGGGCAGGAAGCGAGGCGACATGTGGTGGCATACCACCACACCAGCCCCCACAGCTTGCTGCTCCCTGGTGCTGTGAGGGCCCCGTGTGGTTACCACCAGGGCCATTTCACCGGAACGAAGAGGAGAAAGGACCGTTTGGAAGGAAAGAGGCCCACCCACCCAACCACCACCCATTCACCCACCCACCTGAAGCAGGAAGTCGCAGGCGAACCGCTGCGGGTAGGGCAGGCCCCCACAGCCATTCACGTACCCACCCACCCATTCACCCATTCACCCATTCACCCACCCATTCACCCACCTGCAGCAGGAAGTCACAGGCGAACCGCTGTGGGTAGGGCAGGAAGCGCGGCGACATGTGGTGGCATACCACCAGCCCCCACAGCTTGCGCACACTGGTGCTCTGCGGGCCCCGTGTGGTTACCACTATCGCCATGACTAGTGACGCCCCGATGCCGATGTTTGCGCAGTACTCCTTGTGACAGCTGGACACGCCTGGTGGGGGGGAGAGAAGGGCGTTGACCTGGGTTGACTTGTGCATTGACTCGTGTTGCATTGACTCGTGTTCACTCGTCTTGACTCGTGTTGACTGGTGCTCTGAGGGCCCTGCGTGGTTACCACAATCACCATCACTAGAGACGCGCCGATGCCGATGTTGGCACAGTACTCCTTGTGACAGCTGGACACGCCTGGTGGGGAAGACGGAGGAAGGGGGCGTTGACTCGCGTTGACTTGCATTGACTCAAGTTTACCCATGCTTGAGCGTTGGCTTGCATTCACTCGCCCCTGAGAATTCTCTTGCATTGAAGTTTGTTGACTCGCATTGAAGTTCGTTGACTTGTGTTGACTCACTCACCTTTCAGTGTGGACTTGGAAAGGCTGATGTTCTTGCTGAGGGAGGGGTGCTGGATGATGTGCACGTCTGGCGCTGCGACAACTTCCAGATATCTCAACGCTTGCATTGACTTGTGCTGACTTTTGAGTCGACTCAAAAGTAACTTTGTTCTTGCTGAGGGTGGGATGCTGGGTGATGTGCACATCGGGCGCCGCAACAACTTCCAGACATCTCAGCACTTGCATTGACTTGCGTTGACTTGTGCTGACTCACACGCACCTTTGAGTGTGGATTTGGAAAGGCTGATGTTCTTGCTGAGGGAGGGATGCTGGATGATGTGCACGTCTGGCACTTGAACAACCTCTCAACACTTGTAATGACTCGCGTTGACTTGTGCTGACTTGCGTTGACTCACTCACCCTTGAGCGTCGACTTGGAAAGGCTGATGTTCTTGCCGAGGGAGGGGTGCTGGATGATGTGCACGTCACATCAGGAGCACCTTTCAGAGTTGACTTGCGTTGACTAGAGTTGACTCACCCTTGAGCGTTGACTTGGAGAGGCTGATGTTCTTGACGAGGGAGGGGTGCTGGATGATGTGCACGTCTGGTGCCGCGACGTCTGCGATCAATCTCAGCCGCATATCTACAAACATCGTTCGGTAGATCTGCGACGGATGTGGGGGTGCACTTGAGAGAAGATGGGATAATTATGTCACGTTATAAATCAAACAAGCAATTTGGGAAGGTAAGAAAGAAGCGAATAAATGTCTGTATATGTGATGGCTAGTTCACCGCACTTCACCGCACTTCACGTAACCGCATTTCACCTGAGAGTGTTCACAGTATGCACAACCGCACTTGACCACACTTCACCGCACTTCACCTGAGGGCAATCAGTCGCAGGGTAGTGCAGCCCCAACAGAGACGCCTGAGCCTCTGCTTTGGCCTCTGCCACGACCTGGGGTGGCGAGAAAGGGAAGGGGGAGAGAGGGGTGTGTGTGGGGGGGAGGCGGCAGAGAAAGGGATTGGGAGAGGGATGGGAGGGGACACTGGAGAAGGAGGAAGCAGGGACGCCTGAGCCTCTGCTTTGGCCTCTGCCACGACCTGGCGAGAAAGGGAAGGGGGAGAAGGGTTGGAGGGGAGGGGTCGGAGGGAGGAGAGAGAAGACAGGGAGGAATGAAAGGAAGAGCAACAGAAGAGAGATCAAGACGCCTGAGCCTCTGACTTGGCCTCTGCCACGACCTGGGGAGAGAGAGAGGTGGGATGAGAGGGGGAGAGAAAGGAGAAGACAGGATCAAGAGAAGAGGGGGAGGGGGGGGAGGGAGAGAAGGGAGGAGACAGGGAGAAGAGAAGGGGCAAAGGGAAGGGGCAAAGGGAAGGGGCAAAGGGAAGGGGCAAAGGGAAGGGGCAAAGGGAAGGGGCAAAGGGAAGGGGCAAAGGGAAGGGGCAAAGGGAAGGGGCAAAGGGAAGGGGCAAAGGGAAGGGGAAGGGAAGGGGCAAAGGGAAGGGGCAAAGGGAAGGGGAAGGGAAGGGGACAGAATTCAAGGTATCTGTGCCTCCGACTTGGCCTCTGCTCCCCTACCCTTCCCTACTCTTCCCTCCCCTTCCCCCTCCCCTCCCCACCCCCCTACACCCACGTACCTCCCCATGCAGGTCTTCGAGGAATCGATACAGCAGCACTCGGTCATACCCTGCCAACTCTCACTCCCTCCCTCCCTCCCTCCCTACCAACCAACCAACCAACCAACCAACCAACCAACCAACCAGCCAGCCAGCCAGCCGGACCTCCACTCTCCTTCCTCCTTCCCCCCACTCCCAACCACCCCCCCCACCCACGCACCTCCCCGTGCAGGTCCACATGGAATCGATACAGCAGCACGCGGTCATACCCTGCCTGCCAGCTCTCTCGCCCCATCCTCTTCCCACCCACCCAACCATCTCTCTCCAGAGCGACCCCCCTCCTTCCCCCCTCTTTCCCACGCACCTCCCCGCGCAGGTCCTCATGGAACCGGTACAGCAGCACGCGGTCATACCCTCCACATCCTCCCTTCTCATTTCCACCCCTGTGCAAGATGACACACAAGGCCCCCCCACCCACGCACCTCCCCGTGCAGGTCTTCATGGAACCGGTACAGCAGCACGCGGTCATACCCTGCCAGCTCATTTCAACCATTTCAATCCTCTTTTCCACCCCACCTGTCGTCAAATATGCCCCACGCACCTCCCCGTGCAGGTCCTCATGGAACTGGTACAGCAGAACGCGGTCGTACCCTGCCAGCTCCCGCAATTCCTGATTCAGGGCAGGCAGGAGCGTTGAAGAAGAGGGTGTGGAAGAGAAGGGGGAGAGAGGGGGAGGAGGAAGGGATTTAATGATCGGTACAGCAGCATGCGGTCATGCCCTGCCAGCTCTCGCAATTCCTGAGAGAGGGGTAAGAGTGGGGCGAGGCGGAGGCGTGGAGGAGGAAGGGGAGAGGGAAAGCGGGAAGGGAAAAGCAGGAGGTGGAGGTGTGGAGGGGGAGGTGTGGAGACAATGTCCTGCAGCTTGGCAATGCGCACTCTCTCTCAACCTACCATGTCTCTCCTCCCTTTTCTCCCTGTCCCACTCACCTGCACAAGCGTGTTGCACAGCTTAGGCATGTCGTCATCGATGTCTTGCAGCTTGGCAATACTCGCACTCGTCCTCTCGTGCTTGTCCAGAGCTGACCACTCCAGCATCGACATATCGACCTCCTCCTCTTCCTCCTCCTCCTCTTCCTCCTCCTCATCCTGTTCCTTCTCCTCCCCTTTCTTTCCCTCCTCCCCTTGCTTCTCTTCCTCTTCCTCTTCCCCTCCCTTCTCCTCCTTCTCCCCTTTCTTCTCTTCCTCCTCTCCTTTCTCCGGCTTCTCCCCTTCCTTCTGACAGCTCTCATCTCCACCACCACCCTGCGCATACCCATTCAAACACCTCCACGAAACTACTCCGTCCTTCCCCTCCCCACCCTTTCCAGACGCATCCTCTATACCGCTACCTGCCTTTCCTCCTGATTCCCCCACACTCCCCACCTCGACTTTCCCTCGTGCCTCACTCGCACGTGCCGCCGCCTTCCCTCCCTTCTTCTTCTTCCACCTCCCAGCCCACTCCTCCCCTCCCACGCACGGCTCTATGTCAACCACCAGGCCCTCGTCAGTGCGATGCACTATGGCGTACAGGGGGTGGGCTGATGGGGGGTGAGGAAGACAAGGGGGGGGACGGAACATAAAAGGGAAACGACACTCTAGTGCCGGGCAGGCCACAAGACCGTGACAGTCCACTCCTCCTCCCTCCGCTCCCCCCTCCCACGCACGGCTCTATGCCAACCACCAGGCCCTCGTCAGTGTGATGCACTATGGCGTACAGGGGGCGCGCTGATGGGGGGTGAGGAAGGTGGGGGAGGGGGGTGGAATGGCCGAGGTGAAGTGAAAGAAGAATTCTAGCTGCCTGCCTGTCACAAAAGCCCACTCCTCCCCTCCCCCTCCCACGCACGGCCCTATGTCAACCACCAGGCCCTCGTCTGTGCGATGCACTATGGCGTACAGGGGGCGCGCTGGGGGAGGGAGGGGTAGGAACGGGGAGATGCAAGGGAAATATCACTCTACCTGCCTGCCTGTTACAAGACCGAGTTGACTTTTGAGTCGACTCAAAAGTCAACAAGGGAAATATCACTCTACCTGCCTGCCTGTTACAAGACCGTCCACTCCTCCTCCCCTCCCCCTCCCATGCACGGCTCTAAGTCAACCACCAGGCCCTCGTCAGTGCGATAATGGGGTGGGGAGGCGGAGGGTGGGCCGCGGGGGGAGGGGGAGGGTGGGCCGCGGGGGGAGGGGGAGGGTGGACCGCGGGGGGAGGGGGAGGGTGGGCCGCGGGGGGAGGGGGAGGGTGGGCCGCGGGGGGAGGGGGAGGGTGGGCCGCGGGGGGAGGGGGAGGGTGGGCCGGGTGGAAGGGGAGGGCTGAGGCGGGGAGGTGGAAGTGAAGGGAGTGGGTGCACTCCTTTTCTCTTCCTCTCCTCCCGTCCCACGCACGGATAATTATTTTCATCAGAAAAGGGCTTGCCAGTTCCAAATCCTTCACTCAATCACCTCCTTCCCTCACTCACTCACTCGCTCACTCAGTCACTCACTCACCTCCCTCATTCATTCACTCACTCACTCACTCACCCCCCTTGCTCACTCACCTCCCTCCCTCGAACCGTCTTGATCGGAATGGGGTTCGACAGCTGCGGATCCGAGCTTACCTCCCTCTCAACCTCTCCTCGCCTCCTCACTCCCTCCCACCTCCCTCTATCTCACCTCCCTCCCTCTCCTCTCACCTCCCTCCCTCTCACCTCGTCGCACTGTCTTGAGCAGGATGGGGTTCGACAGCTGCGGATCCGAGCTCTCACACGCCGCCACCAGGCAGGCAAACGTCTGTTGAGAAGGTGAAGAAAGGGGTGGGGATGGGTGGAGTGGGGTGGGGTGGGGTGGGGTGGGGTGGGTGGGGATGGGGTGGGGTGGGTGGGGATGGGGTTCGACAGCTGCGGATCTGAACCCTACACGCAGCCACCAGGCAGGAAAACGCCGTTGAGAAGAGGTAGAAAGGGGTGGGGGAAAGGGTAAGGGGGACAGAATAGGCTCATAGCGGAAACACTACATCGTGAGCAGGGAGGAGAGCGTCTGCTGAATTGTTTCGAGTCGACTCAAGCTTTGAGCCTAGTTTTGAGTCGACTCAAAACCAAGGGAGACAGAATAGGCTCGTGACGGAGACTGCACATTGTGAGCAGGGATTAGAGCATGCTGAATTAAGATGTATTTTGAGGGGCCTCAAAATAAGGCTCGTAGCAGAAACTGTACATTATGAGCAGGGAGGAGAGTATTTTTTCAGGCGCCTCAAAAGCGGGCAGGGAAGAGAGCGTCTCCTGAATTGTTTTTTAGTTGACTCAAAAACAATCAATTTCTTTCCGAAGGGGTAGAGTAGAAGGGGGCGCTCGTAAACTTTACATTCTGACCAGGCAGGAGTTAATTTTCGAGGCGCCTCAAAAATACATTCTGACCAGGCAGGAGACCATCTAATGCGAAGAGGGAAGGGAGAAGCGGGTAAGGAAGCGGCAGGGTGAGGAGGCTGTTTAAGAAAATGTCGTTTTTTGAGCAGTCTTACCTGCTCTGTCATCAAGCAGCGACATGATTGGCCCAGCAGACTCCTCACGGCCCCGCCCTTCCCCCCTCCTCCTTCCGCTTTTTCCCTCCCTCCCTCCCCATTCCCCTCCTCCGTCTCCTCTTCCCTCTCCTCTCCCGCCTTCTTCTCCCCATTCCCCCGATCTGGCTGGTCAAAAAAGTCAAAGATATTTTCCGCTACAGCCAGGATTCTGTAGCTCCTTTCTTCCAGGAACAGCAGAGAGCCGTGCTGTTGGACGTATCCTGGCCGTTGAGCGTGCTGCGTGTACGACTGCACATCTCCACCGTTGGATTGATCCTCCGCTTCCGCCTCCCCCCCTGCAGGCGCAGCTGAAGGCGCGGCGGCGGCTGTTGATGCGGCTGCGGGAGACGATTCCGCCCCCGCAATCGCCTGGAGCTGCGGGGAGGTCGGGGGACGGATAGGGGGAAGGGGTAAATGGGAGCGGATAGGGGGAAGATTGAAAAGGGTTTGTGGGGGGAGATGGGGGGAAGGGGAGAGGGGGATGGGGGAGGAAGGGAGAGGGCGGCGCAAGAGGGGTGGAGGGTTGATAGCGTTGGTTTGCGCGTTCGTCGCACATTGCGCTCGTGGCCGACGCCGTACATTGCGCGCTCGTCACACGCTCCGCCGTCCCGCGCGCCTCAGTAAGCTTCCGCCGTTCTCATTCCGTCAGTCGTCCCCATTCCGTCAGCCGTCCCTATTCCGTCAGCCCGTTCCCATTCCGTCAGCCGTCACCATTCCGTCAGCCGTCCCCATTCCGTCAGCCGTCCCCGTTCCGTCAGCCGTTCCCATTCCCGTCAGCCGTTCCCATTCCGCCAACCGTTCTTATCCCGTCAGCCGGTTCTGATTTCGTCGGCCGTTCCCGTTCCGTCAATTGTCGTCCCAATAAGTCAGGGGTAACTATTTGAGGCGTCTAAAAAAACGGGTCAATGCGTCCGTTTCGTCCATTTGCCCCTTCTAATATCTCCCCCTTACTCGCAACGCACCTTCCGCTGCGCGACGCGGTTCTGCTGCACGACGGTCGTCAAATAGTCCCACTCGGACGGTCGTCCCCCCTTTCCGAGGGTCAATGCTTCCCTTTCGGCCTACATTTCCCCGTTATTCGCTGCACACGTTTGGTCCTTTCCTACCGCGACGCACCTTTCGCTGCGCGACGCGGTTCTGCTGCACGACGGTCGTCAAATAATCCCACTCCGACGGCCGGGGGCCTGGCTTCTCTCGCTCCTTCTCCTTCTCCTTCTCCCTCCGCTTCTCCCGCTCCTTCTCCTCGAACCGCTGCTGTAGTTCCGCATCCGCGCTCACCACTACCTTGGTCACAATCTTCCTCCCGCGGTTAAACATCGTTCCTGCGAGGCCGACGCGGCTTTCGGAGGCCGACGCGTTCGTTCGTCTTCGGAAACCGATGCGTTCTAAGCCAATGCACTGATTCGAAGCGCCGTTAAGCTAATAACATTGACGTAGTCTACTAGTACCCTTGTTAAGCGTGGCGGTTAGGCGGAGCTGACCAGCTTCTTCTTCTCGTGTCTGTGCACAATAGCGGGTAGTGTCTGCTGATTTTAGAGCTGGAAAGGAAGAAATCAAAGCATTTGGTCTTTTAGAAAAGTCGCTTCCAGACGAAATGGACCAGGGTGGAAGATTCGAGCTACGCTTGTACTAACGGTCGAGCCAGGTAAGAGGGCATTTCGAGATATTTACTAGATATGGTAGAAGCCATGCGGCTAAACGTGTGATCGACAGCCGTAAGAGATATCGACAGCGGTAAGAGATAAGGCATTCAGCTACACGTATTTGATTCGACGGATCAGCGATTACAGTACAGTAGGAGCGTCAAAGAGCAACCAATGCTCCTTGCCGTTCGCAGAGCCTAGCCTACCCAACACAGCGTTCGAAGCAATGAGCAGAGCTGCACGTTCTCGCAGTCTGGATTTCTTGGCTGCTAAAAATCAGCTGTCATTTGGCTACAGAGTGAGGGCACTTGAGTATGCAGGCGTACAGTGCCCTAAAAACAGTGATTTCCAAAACGGGTGCGAGAAATTCAAAACCGAAATGACGTACACCCCAACCGCCCATTCTGAACACGTCCCCTCCTACTCCATACGCCCAGTGGTCGACATTCCCAGCCAACGGCCCGAACGTTATAGGCCCACGACAAAAGCAAGATACTCTAAACCTCGAATAAGTTAGTCGAGTTTCCAAGAAAAGACACGCCAAGCTACCCAAATACAGTCCCATTCTCCCCATGGGGAGCGCATGCCCGAGAGAGGAGCACAGGGAAAGATGAAGGGGACTGAAATAGGCATCAGGTGTAGTACAGTACCAGGCTGGATGCTTGCGAAAAGAAGCAGCAGAAGCGGAACCAACGGCTATGAGGAAGGAAAGGGCAGTCGAGGATAAAACCGAGGCGCGTCACGCGTGTTTCTTCCATCCAGTCCAGGGCCCAGTTCGGCAGGCATAAAAAAATGGGCCTCGGGGGATAGGCTACAATAAATGGACCACCCTAGAACCTTCCTTGATAAGCGCGTGAAAGGTTATACAGGCTCGATATATGCGGATCATCGCCAAACCAGACAATCATGGAATGCAAGCCGAACACCCCTTTTAAAGATGGCATTTTCTACCAGAGGAATCTTCCTCGAACCCTATTTCTCAGGCAAACTGTCCATTTTCTGATCCGCCACACCATGCGGCCTCGAGGTCCCGCACCACACGGGGGATCAGTGATGCGGCCAATAAAAAATGACTGGTCAAATATGCCAGCCAATCGCATGATCACGCGATCCTTCAAGGCAACTGCATCCTAGCTTCTACGAAGCTAAATCCTCGATTGATGCCATTAATCTAGGCCCATAAAGGCCTCGTTCTGTTGCCGCATCTGCAGTTTGGGCCTTCCGCACAAGCACTACCGGATGGGCTAGACCTCGAAGGGGTCAACCCTCCCGCAACCTCGGCGAAGTTTGTTGCTAACGACAAAGCAATTTTGCAAACAGCCGATGTTTGTTTCGGTCATCATGCCCAGTCTGCCCAAGATGCTCTAAATGTTTGATTCCAACCACTCACAAACCTTCGGCCTTTGGGTTCACCCTTGCCTCTCGGCTGGTATGTTTTTGTGGTGAGTTTATTCACCGCTAAATGTCCCAATAGCGGGCGTTGAGACCTGCCCGTTATTGCTTGTGCGCCCCCTTATCCCCACTCCGATGGGCGGATAGGGTTCGCACGAGCGGTGCCTCCAGTTTGCCCGTGAGAGAAGCTTCGTAGTAAGGTCCGAGCACACCCGTTGTGATGCGTTCTCTAACCCATGGGCGCACAGCAAATGCTGCCAGGTTCGGTACACAATAACGAATAGGGAGGCTCGATGTGGGCTTTAAGTTTTTTATGCGCGTTCCTAGACTATTCGTCTTTAGTGCTGAGCACCCCTAATGCCCCCACAGAACTATACCAAAATGCCAACCGAACAATCGAGCCATTTTTTCAGAAGTTGCACTGCAGCTACAGTCTGATATCGCAGCTGCTTCGAGGGGGCATTTTTTGGGGGCCCGTTAAAAATGCCCATAATGGCCATAATGGCCATAATGCCTGCCGAACTGGGCCCAGGTGTCTGCTTTGCACTGCAGTTGGTCCACAGCCACACACACCAACCAGCGGCAAGGGAGATATCGAAAAAGACGGAGGGTGATCTGGAAGATCGGAAGGAGGGGAGAGGATCTCCCTCACGACTTTCTCGACTGGAGACTTCTGGTCCCAAGGTTGACTGGACGGTGCTCAAGCTGGAAGTTCTTATAACCAGAAAATTTGGCTAGGCTGGGCGAAAATACCATAAAAGCACTCTCTTTCCCGATTCCCACACTCCAAGTCAAACCTGCTTGCGACTACGTTTTGGGGTGAATGATCCCCGGAAAAAAAAAAAAAAGCAGATCGACAGACAGACGAGAAGCTTCAAACGAGATCAATTCAAGGGTGCATGTTCAGTTTGATGGGAATGCAGTATCTTATCGTACCATATTAACTTTACTGTACGGCGTCACATTCGGAAAGAATGATTGATTTGGGATATGGTTTGTGAGGCGATGGATCACCTCATCCATCCACCTCATCATGCTTGATTCCTCGCCACCTATTTCCACAACCCATATCCACAAATCGCTTGAGCCGAAATTCCTAAGAAGTGGGTAAGCCTGAAACTCCACGACACGTGGCTCAGATAAAGAATTTCACGAAACTGTTACGTTCGCCTATCAGGCAGCAAGTAAATAGAGGTAGTCACCAAAACTGCTTTATGATATCAGCTAGTTACAAGAATAGAGCACTAAAAAATGCTTCATGCAGCTACAACTATAGGCCTTTTTTCGCTTGAACCTCATGTTCTTAATATACGACATATGGTTGCTACTTGTAACCTATGTTATCTACTTGGTTACGTTAACTATAGCTACACCACCGTTAAAAGACCATTGCAGAACAAGCCTGCCTAAATCTATAGAAGCGGCCTAAAATGTTTATGAACGTCCCCTGCTCGGTAGTGTTTCTCCCTACTAAGCTCCAGCTTCAAGACGAAGCATCCGGGTGGCAAAGGAACCGCTACTCGGTCAGGATGAATAATTCTGGCTAGCAACTCAACACCATCGACCAATCGCGGGCCTGCGTTGAGGAACAGACATGACTCGATAATGTAAACCTGCCCAGATTCAGTTGCGGGCAGCGACCAAAAGCCGGGCAGGCGAGCAAGCGCCTCAACCTGTGAAAAAGAACACAGCATGGGGGAGAAGGCAGGGATGGCCATGCGAATGACGAATCTTACAAAAGCGAGATGGGACCTTTCCGTCACAACTCAGACATGTGGTCTTTCGAAACAACTACCAGAACCCTCCACCCTTCACCCCTAGCCCCTTACCCTTCACCCCACACTCGCCACACCCACCTCCCCCACACATCACCCCTCACTACATCCAACCTTACGTGAGCGAGTGAGTCTCCACAACAGCAGCACACGGCGTCAGAAACAGCACCTGGGGCCCAATCGCCATACTTATGCCTTACTCCACCCCTATCCCACCCCTTGCCCCGCAACATGCCTTCCTCCTTGCTCACCTGAGCGAGTGAGTCTCCACAACAGCAGCACACGGCGTCAGAAACAGCACCTGGGGCCCAATCGCCATACTTATGCCTTACTCCACCCCTATCCCACCCCTTGCCTTGCAACATGCCTTCCTCCTTGCTCACCTGAGCGAGAGCTGTCTTCACAACAGCAGCACACGGCGTCAGAAACAGCACCTGGGGCCCAATCGCCATACTTATGCCTTACTCCACCCCTATCCCACCCCTTGCCCCGCAACATGCATTCCTGCTTGCTCACCTGAGCGAGAGCTGTCTTCACAACAGCAGCACACGGCGTCAGAAACAGCACCTGAGGCCCAAACGCTGTAACTCTCACTTCCCCCACCCCCCCCCTTTCCCCCCTCCCTTACCTCACCCCTACCCCACCCCTTATCCGTAGCCCTTCAACCCTCCCACCCTCACCTGAGCAAGAGCAGTCTTCACATCAGCAGCACACGGCGTCAGAAACAGCACCTGAGGCCCAAACGCCGTAATGCTCTCCCACAATACTTTCCGCACCGGGCTGCCCGGCTCCTGCAGCCCACCATCATCTGCCCCGGCCAAAACTTTCATCTCGGGCAGCCAGTGCCCAGCCATAACGAGAGGAGAGATGGATTCTAGGGAGGTGACCCGGGGGCGGGGAGCGGTGGCGAGGGCAGCAGCGAGAGAGCGCAGGCGCAGGTGGAGGTGGGAGGAGAGGGCCTGGGCTGGCTGCTGCAGACCAAGTGCTGCCCCCACTGTCACCACTGATTCAAGCACCTGGGCGAGCTGGAGGGATGGGGAGAGGGTGAGAGGCATGTGAGAGAAGAAAGAGAGGGTTATAAAAGGTAGGTCTGGGCTGGCTGCTGCAGACCAAGTGCTGCCCCCACTGTCACCACTGATTCAAGCACCTGGGCGAGCTGGAGGGATGGGGAGAGGGTGAGAGGCATGTGAGAGAAGAAAGAGAGGGTTATAAAAGGTAGGTCTGGGCTGGCTGCTGCAGACCCAGAGCCGCCCCCACTGTGACCACCGACTCTAGCACCTGGGCGAGCTGGTGGGGCGGGGAGGAGGGAGGCGGATAGCGGAATTAGGAGAGGCTTAAAAGGGGATGGTGTTGGCTGGCTGGTGCAGAACTACCCTACAAGTTGGCAGGCAGGGTGTCTAATGAGTCTCCAAGACTGACTCACAAACAATTGACAATCATGATTCAGGCTTGAGAATTCTCAGCAGTGCCACCAAGTGGCCTAATAAGTTGGGAACTCACTGTGGCAGGACGGAGAGAAACGATTGATGCACCGCCGCCTTCTCCCGAGCCTGATTCACCGAGGCTCCTCCGAACCTCTGCAGCCAAGGTAAGGCTGTCACAATGCCTTCCCTTATCTGCCACTCCTGATACTCCAGCAGCAGCAGTAGCAGCAGCAGCAGCACCACCACCACCACCACCACCAGCAGCAGCCCTAGCAGCCGCAGCAGCACCAGAAACACCAGCAGCACTAGCAGAATCACTAACAGAATCAGGAGCTGCAGCCGCAGTAGCAGAAGCAGCAGCAGCAGCAGCAGCGGTGGACAGTGTATTTCCATCCTGCCAGTGCAGGTCGCAGCGCAGGCAGGCAGTGGATCCCCCTAAAAGCACCACATCTGGCTGCACCGCTCTCAACCACTCCGAATCCAGCACACAAGGAGGGGCTTGAACCTGAGAACAGAAAAGGAGCGACGGTGGGAGGGAGGGAGGGAGGGAGGGAGGGAGGGAGGGAGGGAGGGAGGGAGGGAGGGAGGGAGGGAGGGAGGGAGGGAGGGAGGGAGGGAGGGAGGGAGGGAGGGAGGGAGGGAGGGAGGGAGGGAGGGAGGGAGGGAGGGAGGGAGGGAGGAAGGGAGGAAGGGAGGAAGGGAGGGAGGGAGGGAGGGAGGGAGGGAGGGAGGGAGGGAGGGAGGGAGGGAGGGAGGGAGGGAGGGAGGGAGGGAGGAAGGGAGGGAGGAAGGGAGGGAGGAAGGGAGGGAGGAAGGGAGGGAGGGAGGGAGGGAGGGAGGGAGGGAGGGAGGGAGGGAGGGAGGGAGGGAGGGAGGGAGGGAGGGAGGGAGGGAGGGAGGGAGGGAGGGAGGGAGGGAGGGAGGGAGGGAGGGAGGGAGGGAGGAAGGGAGGGAGGAAGGGAGGGAGGAAGGGAGGGAGGAAGGGAGGGAGGAAGGGAGGGAGGGAGGGAGGGAGGGAGGAAGGGAGAGCGGGAGGGAGGGAGGGAGATAACACCTTATTGCCTTGTAGAAACAGAAGATCCCACAAGTTGAAACAGCCACACACAAGGAGCATGCAAAGGGTGGAAAACTCACTTGGGAAACACAGCTGGCTATGACTGCAGGGCAGTGAAGACCTGATAGGAACTATACGACTGGGATAAGGGAAAAAGAAGGTTTCTGAGTCAACTAAAAAATGCATGCGAAGGGAGCAGAACACACTTTGGAAGGCGGCTTGCTGGCAGCAGGGCAGCGAAGCACCTGATTGCAACACACAGTTGGGACGGGGGGGAGCGACAGGAGGAGCCGGGCAAAAAGGGGATGGACAGTTTTTTTTTTTTTTTTTTTTGGGCTTTAAGGAGATCCCCGGAGGACAGAAGGAAGCGGAATACAATATTATGTTCTGAGGTAACTTATTGTTGAGTCGGCTAAAAAACGGGCGACTCATACAGAGACGGAACACATCAGTATGTGCATCATGACATCACAAAACAAATGTCAACAGAAGCATGGCACAGCCTGTGTATACATGGCATAGCTGTACAGGATGATGATGACATATGGCATGACAGGATGGGAAGATGACACATGGCATGGCAGTATGGGATGATGACACATGACATGGCCATAAAACAGGCTCATGTCAGCATACCACGTGGCATGGGTGTGGCAAGGAGCTGGACGGGCGGCACTGATCCGACAAGCCAATCAGCTGGTCCGTCGCTCCTGAAAGGCAGCAACAGAATGGGGTGCTATTTTCAAGTTAAAAGACTTCCTCGACTCAGAAGCAGAGTAAGATTGGTGTGTGGGTGAAGGGAGCATATGAGGGAAGGGTTGTGGCAGTTGAGGGGCAGGGCAGCCTGTCAAGTTTTGAGACGTCTCAGAACTCGAAGGGACGAGGGAAGGGTTGTGGCGGTTGAGGGGCGGGGTGTGGGTGAGGGTAGAATGAGGGAAGGGTTGTGGGCAGTTGAAGGGCGGGGTGTGGTTGAGGGTAGAATGAGGGATGGGTTGTGGCAGTTGAGGGGCAGGGCAGCCTGCTAAAGCTGAGATCGTGGGGCACGACAATTGATGATAAACGTCAGTGAGCGCCACGCCACACCGCACTGCACCGCACCGCACCACTTGCTGAGGGCCATGATGATACACCTGGGCTCCACTAATTTCAAGCCCTGGAAAACGTTTTCAGAGACACCCTAGACCAGATTCGGCCGTATCTTTCAGACACCCAGAATCAAAACGATATTAAGGACGCTCTCCTCAACGGTTATTTCAAACAATAAATCCCTCAGTGGATCAGGCTTACCTCCCACTCTGACGGGAAATATTTCTAGTTGCGACCTTCGTTGCGTCATCGCCCTCACAAGGAGTCCGTAACCTTACCCACTTCAAAATATGTTTCACTCTGTACAACCCTTAGTCCCAGACATAATAAGGGTAGCTACCCGCGAGCGCCCAATTTCGGGCCTTGAAATTAGTGGAGCCCAGGTGTATCTGTTGCTGAAGGTGACAGTGACACAACACGAGGCTTTCATCTGGAACTCAATCAACACCACACCACACCCCACCCCACGACCCTGCACCACACTGCACCGCACCACACGCTTACTGAGTGCCACGATGATATCAGTTGCTGAAGGTGACAGTGATACCACACGAGGCCTCCTGCTCTTCCCTCCCAACTGCCGTCCCTCTGTTGCCATTCCACCTGACATTCCACCTGGAATTCCGCCTGGCATTCCACCTGCCACTCCTCCTGCCATTCTCAACCCTGCTGCAGTCACCCCGTAACTCCCTACTGTCACACCAGCACCCGTTTCCACCCCCTTACACCGCATCCAACCCTCCACCGTATCTGCCACAGCCAGACTGGCTTGTCCTGCAGTTATCAAGCTCCCTACTTTGTCCCCTTGCCCCGTTTCCTGCCTCTGCTCCTGCTGTTGCCGCAGTTGCTGTTGCTGCAGTTGCTGCTGCGGCTGCTGCTGCGGCTGCTGCTGCGGCTGCTGCTGCTGCCACTGCCCCTGATCCTGCTTCTGCCCCTGCACCTGCCCCTGCCCCTGCCCCTGCCCCTGCCCCTGCCCCTGCCCCTGCCCCTGCCCCTGCCCCTGCCCCTGCCCCTGCCCCTGCCCCTGCCCCTGCCCCTGCCCCTGCCCCTGCCCCTGCCCCTGCCCCTGCCCCTGCCCCTGCCCCTGCCCCTGCCCCTGCCCCTGCCCCTGCCCCTGCCCCTGCACCTGTCCTTCTCCCAGCCTCTGTCGCTGCTGCTCTCCCTGCTGCATCCCCCCCTGCGGCCCCTCATCCCCTATCCTTCCCCTGCTTTCCCCTCCCCCAAACCCTTCTTCCAATGTCCCCCCCTCGTTAGCTTGACCCAGATCCAACCTCCTTCTCGTACCAAACGAGAAGTCTTTAGAAGGGGAGAAGTGAGTGTGGGGATCTGAGAAAACGTGAAGGTGAGCGTGAGGGTAGGAGGTGTGAGGGTCAGAGTGAGTGTGGAAATGAGAGAAACTGTGAGATTCTGAGAAGGAATGAAGGCCAGAGTGAGTGTTGGGGGCAGGGGGGGTGTGGGAACGAGAGTGTGTGGGGGGAGTGGGAAGAGTGTGAGGGTCTGAGAGAGTGAGGGAGTCTGAATTGAGGAGAGGGGCATTTACGTCAGAAGGGGGAGTGTGAAATTTCAATTTCGGGGATTCGAAGTTTGGGCAGGAATCAAAGAAAGCGTCCGTTTCAGGCTCTGCTTCTGGTCCCAAACGGGCAGCCTGAAAAGCTTGAGCAGCCCGACCTGCAGCTTCGGCCGCAGCTTCGGCTGCTGCCTTGGAAGCAGGTTCGGGAGGAGTGTTGAACTGGGGTAGATCTGAAGAAGTAGGAAGAGGGGTGGGGCGAGCTCCAGTAACAGCTGTTGCTGAGAGGGGAGGGCCAGGTAAGGGGGTGCTGAGAGGGGGGATAGGTTGAGAGTATAGAGGATAATGCTGCTGCTGGTACTGCTGCTTCTGTTGCTGGTCATGGTGATTATGATGATACAGCTGCTGCTGCTGCTGAGGATGATGGGGAGGGGGGTGTTGGGGCGGATAGTGAGAGGGATGGGGATGCTGAGGAGGAGCAGGGTGCATGGAGGAGTGAGGATGAGATGGGGTGTGAGGGTTCAGGGAAGAATGCCCGGGGTGTGTGGCAGTGGCATGGGTGGTGTGAGTGGCATGGGTGGTGTGAGTGGCATGGGCAGACATTGCAGCCTGAGAGGCAAGCCCAGACATGTGCCCATAACTCCCATGTGCTGACAGCGCCGCCCTTCCACTGAATTCGCTCTCTCCCATTCCGCCCCTGCTACCAGCACCACCGCCAGCGGCAGCAGCAGCAGCAGCAGTGTTTGTAGACGGCAGGCCTGTGAGGAGCGGTGCACTAGCAGTCTTGGTTGGAGTCCCATCAGCAGATCTCATTCCACCTCTCGTCACTTCATCGTCCCCCATTCCCCCTGCTGCTCCTGCTCCTACCACTGCCTCTGCAGCTGCCGCTGCCCTGGCTCCTATCCCTGCTCCTTCTGCCCCTCCTGCTGCCCTATCCACCACTGCTCCTGCTGCCCCTCCTGCTATCCTGACTGCTCGTGATTGACTGGAAACCGCATCCTCGATATAAAGCTTCTGACACATCTTATAAGACGACTCATTCTCGGTATAGAGCCTCCCACTCGCGCTCCTGCTCACTGCTATACTCCCACCAGCAGCACCAGCAGCACCAGCAGCACCAGCAGCACCATCAACACCACCACCAGCACTAGCAGCACCACCAGCATTAGCAAAAGAACCACCAGCAGCAGCGGCAGCAGCACCGTCAGCACCACCAGTACCAGCACCAGCACCACCAGCAGCAGCAGCAGCAGCAGCAGCACGTTTAGACTCTGAAGCCCCAGTAAAACTCCTGTGCACCTGGGCGTCATGGAGATGAGAGTGGTGCAAATGGGTGTCGCGGAGCAGAGTGCGGTACAGCTGGGTGGGCAGGGAACGGAACCCGTCACCATTGCCACTGCTTCTGCTGCTGCTGCCACTCTTGGTGCCCCTACCATCCGCAGCAGTAGAAGCTTCATTCCCATCCGAGTGTTTCCGAGCATGCTGCTGCTGCTGCTGCTGCTGCTGCTCCTGCTGCTGTTGCTGCTGCTTCTGCTTCTGCATATGCTTCTGCTCCTGCCACTGCTGCATTTGATCTTCGTGGGTATACCTCCCTGTCTGCCCATCCTCTCCTAGCCGCTGCTGCTGCTCCTGCTGCTGCTGCCGATTCTGGCCTTTCTGCTCGTTCCCCACCACTTCCTCCCTCTGCCTCTCCCTCTGCCTCTCCATCTCTCTCTCCCTCACCTCCTCAACCAAGCGAGGGTCCAGACGCATTGTTCTAGGCGCTTCTTTCTCTTGCTCCTGCCCGGTCCCCACCTCATCCTCCTCCTCTTCTTCCTCCTCTTCTTCCTCCCAACTCACCTCCCTTCTCTCCTCCGTTCCTACCTCTTGAAACCCCTCAACTGTATCTCTTGCTTCAAAATACCTTGAATCACGCCCCACCACCTCCCTCCACCCCCCATTCTCCATCTGCCCTCCTTCCTCTCCCTTCTCTCCCTCCCCACTCTTCTCTCCCTCCCACCTCACACGGCCCGAACCGCTCCAGCTTCCACTCCCACTTTTCGCACCATTTCCATTTTTAGCAACACTTCCACTTGTGGCAACATTTCCACTTTTGGCATGCCCAGTCGCCTCTGCCTGGGCAGCAGCCCCAGCAGCAGCAGCAGCCAATTTCCTCATTGATCCAGCCGATAAATTCTTGAGAGACCCACCAGCTGACCCTCCTCCCCGTCCTCCTCCCCCTCCTCCTCCACCTCCACCCCCTCCTCCTCCTCCTTCTCCCAAAACCCCGACCCCTGCACTCACAAAATCCGCCATTTTCCCACTAGAAGGCGCCTTCACCCCTCCTCCTCCTCCACCACCCCCTCCTCCCGTTTCATAAATCTGCTCCACGCTCCTCCCGCTGTTACTCCCCACAAAATCCGACAGCCGGCCACTAGACGTCAGCCCCTCATCAAACTCAGAAGAGCTTCGTAAGTCACTCGCATTCATCTCATCATAATCCGAAGCAGAACCGGAATCCGCATAGCTGCGACCGTCTGTTGCAGAGGCACCTGCTGAAGAGGGGTTTGCAGCGGTGGAGAGGTATGCAGAGGGATCTGAGGTTGAGCTAGCACCACCACCACTTCCTCCTCCACTTCCTGATCTCCCAGCCACTGAACCACCCCCACCACCTCTGTTACTAGACCCTCCTGCTCCACCTCTCCCTCCTCCCACTCCTTCCCCTCCTCCCTCCCCCCCTGCTCCTCCTGCCCCTCCTCCCAAGACTTTCCCCCTTCCATCTCTCCTTCCTGTCCCCCCATACCCACCGCCTCCACCCTCTCCCCCTCCTCCTCCGCCTCCTCTCACTCCTCCTCCTCCTCTTACTCCCCCTCCTCCGCCTCCCCCTCCCCCTCCTCCTCTTCCCCCTTGCCCAGTCGCCCCTTGCCCTCCGCCCAGACTCAACTCATCCAGCCCACCACCCCCACCCCCAGACACCCACAATTCAGAAATAGACCTCCGCATGGGAGAAGGGATAAACCCCGGCCCTCCCACCCCTTGACTGCCATTCCCCTCCCTGCTGTAACCTGTGGATTGGTAAGGGAGGGGTGGTGAGAGCTCGTATCTAGCCCAGTCAACTCCTCCCCGCCCCCCCCGCTCCTCCTCCGCCGCCCGTTCTTCCCCCACTTCCGCCGCCCGTTCCCGCCCCATATCCATATCCTGCATGATTTGATTGCCCGCCGTATGCTCTCGCCACAGCGCTGCCAATGGCGCTGCCACCCGGAAACATGGCATATGGGACGACGCTGCCGCCCACGCGCTCTCCAATCACATACGATTCCGAACGTGAGGACCGATCCTCTGCCTCGCGAGCGCCCATCCGCCGAGCCTGGAGGTCAGCCTCGGTGGGGTCGTCGTGCTCAGGCGAAATACCTGACGGGCCACCTGAGAAACCACCTGAATAAGCACCTGAAGAACCAGGAACAGTACCTGAAAAAGCTCTGGGGATAATATCCTCATGCCACTGCCCCCTGGCATCATACACTCGTCCTCCAATACCCCCATATCCTGCCCCTGCCTCTCCCCCTCCCCCTCCTCCTCCCCCTCTTCCTCGCCCATATGATTCCATATAATGAGGAGGCGAAACCCCCCCTCCATAATACATTCCACCTGACCCACCAATCCCCCCTCTCCCGCCCCCTCCTCCTCCCCCTCCTCCTCCCCTCCCATCCGTCTCCAAATAATGAGGTGGCGACACCCCGCCACCAGCATCAAACCCCCTCGCATCCCACCTCCCTCCGCTCTCACTCCTCCTACGAAACGAGCTCCCAGACTGCACAGAAGACACGGAAGAGGGTGCACAACCTCCGGAAACCCCGTGCTGCTGCTGCTGCTGCTGCTGCTGTTGCTGCTGTTGCAAGCCCAGCTGACTCGGGTGCACCGGGGACGCGTACAAATTATACGAGACCGATCGTTGCGACAACCTGTCGTCTTCATTCAACGCATCTGCCACCGCCGCCGCAGCTGCCGCCCCTGCTGCTGCCGCCGCTGCCGCCCCAGCTCCAGCCACTGCTGAGGCAGAGGCAGCAGCGACAGCTGCGGATTTGGTAGGGTCGGTTCGGCACGCGTCTATGAAGGCGTGGGCGAGGGAGGGGTTGGAGGCGAAGTGCAGATGCACGTAGGACGCTAGCACTGCCCCCACCATGTAGCCCTCTGGACGGGAGGTGGCACCTGGAGTTTGCTGCTCGATAAGGTACCTGGGGAGGTCGAGGACAGGCAGGGGGGAGGGTGGGGAGGGAGGGATGGGAGGGAGGGGTTGGAGGCGAAGTGCAGATGCACGAATGACGCTAGCACTGCCCTCGCCATGTAGCCCTCTGGACGAGCAGTAGATCCGGGGGTCTGCTGCTCGATAAGGTACCTGGGGAGGGACGGGGAAGGAGGGAGAGGAGAGCAGGGGCGATAGGAGAGCAGGGGGGAAGGGAAGATAGAAGCACCCAAACCATATAATCTCTGACCATAAGGCACTTCTGAGTAGCCATTCTCTCCCTCAATCCAGCTGTTCGCCGTGGAATGGGTCGTCATCCAGCACTCACCACCTCTTGCCACGCTGCACCGAACCTAACCACATACATACCGTACAGCACCGGATCAGACCCCTTCTCACTCACCCAAACTCCAGCTGGTCGCCGTGGCACGAGCCGTCATCCAGCACGACCTCTCGCCATGCTGCAGCCAAACCAGCTCACCTCATACTATCATACATACCGTACAGCACCAAACCAAACCCATTCTCACCCAAACTCGAGCTGGCCGCCGTGGCACAAGCCGTTGTCCAGCACGACCTCTCACCATGCTGGACCGAACCAGTTCACCTCATAGTGCCATTATCCATACAGTACAGCAACAAATTAGACCCCTCCTTACCCAAACTCTAGCTGGTCCCCGTGCAACGAGCCGTCATCCACCACGACCTCGCTGGAATGGAAGAACTGCCTTCTCAGCTCGCCATGCCGAACCAGCTCACCTGATTCCACTCCACACGACATCCCGGTGTGTTTGCCTCAACCCCCTCCTCCTTACCCGAACTCCAGCTGGTCGCCATGGAATGAGCCGTCATCCAGAACCACCTCGCTGAAGTGGAAGAACTGCCCCCTCATCTCGCCCAACTCCGCTGGGAACAGCACACAGTTGGGCTGGGGACGCACCTGGTAACGAAGAGGGAAGACCAAGAGAGGGTGGGGCAAGGCAAGGGAGGAAAGAGAGGGGTTAGGATGGGTAAAGGAAACGACCTCGCTGAAGTGGAAGAACTGCCCCCTCATCTCGCCCAGCTCGGCCGGGAACAACACACAATTGGGCTGGGGGCGAACCTGGGAGAAGAGAGAAGAGAGGTGACAGAGGGGGGATGGGGGGCCACGAGACAAACAGGTGTTGGGGAAAGGAGGAAGAGGCATCCAGCACGATCTCGCTGAAAAGGAAGAACTGCCCCCTAATCCAGTGCAATGTGCACCGTCAAATTTTGAGGCGCCTCAAAAGTCGATCTCGCTGAGAAGGAAGAACTGCCCCCTAATCACGATCTCACAAATGTGCAAAGTGCAATGGTCAAATCTCACAAACAGACAACTCACCGTGCAGTAGGCTAGCTTGAGTGTAGACACCATGCGAGTGCGGAAGGGCAGCAACCCACACATCTCGTGCACCTCTCCCTCCTTCGTCTGCAGCAAGTGAGAAAAGGGAAACACGTCACACATGGTTGGAACTTGGTTGGAAGGGCAGCGGTGCAACACAACTCGCTCACTGAAACCAGGATCCAAACATGAAATCCTCTATAATCCAACCTCCCTCTCCCCTCTCCCACCTCGATGCTCCTGGAGACGTACATGAGCCTGCCACACTCGCCATACACCACCCACCGCCAACGGAAACTCATTCCCCACTTGGAAGGGCAACAGGGCACAACAAGTTCCCTTCCTCACGCTCACCTCGATGCTCCTTGACAAGTACATGAGCCCACCACACTCGCCGTACACAACCCCGCCAGCAGCAGCAAACGCCCTGAGCGCATACACCAGCTTCCAAACCCAGAACAACTACCCAACCTCCCTGCTCTCACCTCGATGCTCCGTGACAGGTACATGAGCCCACCACACTCGCCGTACACCACCCCGCCAGCAGCAGCAAACGCCCTGAGCGCATACACCAGCTTGGTGTTGGCCGCCAGAGCAGCAGAATGCAGCTCAGGATACCCCCCGCCAAAGTACACGGCGTCGAGACGGTGCGGCAGAGGGTCAGTGAGCGGGGAGAAAAACACAATCTCTGCTCCCGCCTCTGGTGGGGTGGGGCGAAACAGCATTGAAAACAGGGGGGCAGGAGATGGCACAAGGGTGAATCAGGAATATGCAAGCCAGGCCAGAGCGGCCAGAGCAGCAGCAAACGCCCTGAGCGCATACACCAGCTTGGTGTTGGCCGCCAGAGCAGCAGCATGCAGCTCAGGATACCCCCCGCCAAAGTACACGGCGTCGAGACGGTGCGGCAGAGGGTCAGTGAGCGGGGAGAAGAACACAATCTCTGCTCCCGCCTCTGATAGGGTGGGCAACAAAAGGCAATAATGTGAACAGAGGGGAAGGAGATGGCACAATGGTGATTGGAAATATGGACGCCAAGCAGCCAGAGAAGCCAGAGCAGCCACGGCAGCCACGTGCAGCTTGGGATACCCGCCTCTCTGGCTGCTAGAGCAGCTAGAGCGGCCAAAGTACATAGTGTCGAGGCGGTGTGGAAGGGGGTAGGTGAGCGGAGAGAAGAACACAATCTCTGCACGGGCCTATACAATCTCTGCTCCGGCCTCTGGTGGGGTGGGACGGGACAGCGTTGTGAACAGAGGGGCAGGAAATGGCTCAAGGGTGATTGGAAATATGCGAGCCAAGCCAGAGCAACCAGCGCAGTAGTGTGCAGCTCAGGGCGCTGGCTCCAAAGCAAACCGAGTCGAGGTGGTGTGCAGGGGCAGGTTATCGTGGTAGTAGAAACACAGGGCCGTACTTACCTCTCAGACGCGACAAATTATCGTGGTTGGTAGTAAAACAGAAGGCTGTTAAGGTGACTCACGTATAGCCAGTTAGTCAGGGAGTGGGTGGGGCATACTTAAACACAAGGCCCTAGTTACCTCTCAAAAGCGACAGGTTGTCGTGGTAGTAGAAACAAAAGGCTTCGTCTCCCGCCAACCCAATGCGAGCAAGCTTCATTCCGAGAGGCATTGGCTCATACTCAATACAAGGTCTCACCTCTCAGCAGCGACAGGTTGTCATGGTAGTAGAAGCCAAATGCTTCGTCTCTCGCCACCCCAATGCGCGCAAGCTTCATTCCAGGCGGCATCGACAACGGAGGCAGCTCATTGGCCAACGATCCACCACACTCCATCCCTCCTGCTCCTCCCATCCCACTCATCACACTCCCTCCTCCGCCCATCACACTCCCCTCTCCGACATCCTCCCCTCCACACACACTCCCCTCCCCTCCCCCAAGCCCCATCGTAGGCGCCCCTGCCACGTCAGCTGCCAGCTGCAACAGCCTGTCCAGGTCCACGTGGGCTTCAATCAGTGTCGCCAGCCGCTCGGCGTGCTGAGCTGGCACCCCGTCCGCGTCCACCCCAGGCCGGTGCAATCCCAGGTGGCGCTCTGGCATCTCCACGTCAGCAGATTTCGGGATGCCACCTAGGACGGGAACTCTGACGTGTGCTGATTCTAGCGCCTCAGTCAGCCACGTGGCATGCGCTGCGCTGGCGACCTTATTCAGAATAATCCCCGCGAATCGCAACGACGGGTCGAAGGACGCGTAACCATGTACCATGGCTGCCGCGCTTCTAGACATAGACCAACAGTCTAAAACGAGGACAACAGGGGCCCCTATGATCTTGGCCATCTCTGCTGTGCTGCCGACCTCTGTCTTGCCATCTCGACCGTCGAACAGCCCCATCACGCCCTCCACAACTGCCACGTCAGTTGAGGCTGCGAAACGTGTGAAACATGCCACGTTGGCCTCCCTGGTGAGATGTGCGGGGCCGGGTCAGGACACAAGAAAAGGGAGAGGGCGAGAGGGTAAGGAGGGAAGAGGGGAACGTGAGGGAAGGGACAGGGAGAACAAGGGGAGGGCCTGATTCTGATGCTGCTGCTGTCAATTAGCCCCATCACGCCCTCCACTACTGCCACGTCTGTTGAGGCTGCAAATCGGGTGAAACACGCCACGTTGGCCTCCCTGGTGAGGAGAGAAGTGGATATCGGGGATGGGGGGGCGGCGGGGGAAAGGGGGGAAACTGAGAAGAACCAAGGGAACGTTGCTGCACCCATCCATTCATTCACCCATCCACCCATCGATCCACCCACCCATTCACCCATGCACCCATCCAACCACCAGCCATCCATCCGTCCCCCACCCATCTGTCCCCCCAACAATACACCCATCCACTTTGTACGTCTGTCCACCCAACCATCACCCAGCCACCCACCCAACCACCCACCCTTCAACCATGGACTCGATCACACCCATCCACTCATTCCCTCGATAAGCCATACATGTTGAGCATCCACCCATCCAGGTTGTACGAGTCTCGTCTCTCCACCTATGTCCCCACCATCTACCCATCCATCCATGTATCCAACCCCACCCATTCACTCACCCACACACACACTCACCCACCCACTCACCCACCCACTCACCCACCCATCCATCCATCTCCTCAATATCATTTTACCTGTTGAGCATCCACCCATCCACCCATCTCCTCAATAAGACCATACCTGTTGAGCACCCACCCATCCAGGTTGCATGAGTCCCGTCTGTTCATCGACCTTACTCACTCACCCACCCATCCACCCATCCACCCATCCACCCACCCACCCATCTCCTCAACAGCACCATACCTGTTGAGCATCCACCCATCCAGGTTGTACGAGTCTCGTCTGTCCATCCACCCATCCACCCATCCACCCATGTCCTCAATAAAACCATACCTGTTGAGCATCCACCCATCCAGGTTGTACGAGTCTCGTCTGTCCATCCACCCATCCACCCATGTCCTCAATAAAACCATACCTGTTGAGCATCCACCCATCCAGGTTGTACGAGTCTCGGCCTGTAGCCGCCTGATGGTGCATGGGATCCAGAAAATCTGCCACACGCATCCCACATGACATGGCACATCCAAGATGCCCCGTGCAGCATGTCACATGGAGCATGCCACATACAACATGCCACGTATGACATTCCGCATACAGCATACAACACAGAACATCCACAAATGACATGCCATACACACCATGCCAGATAAAGCATGCTACCACATCCCACATCCAACTTGTCACATACCAACATGCCACATACAACATCCCACATACGACATGCCAAACACAGCATGTTAGCAAAACATGTTACAAGATCCCACACACAACATGTCACATACCATGCCACGTACAACATCCCACATACGACATGTCACATCAAACATGCCACATAGAACATGCGACATACCGATACGTTACAAGGATCGGGACTAGATACCATTGCTGACAAATCCGCGCCACGGCCACGCTTAGACCAGAACGAAATCGTCCCAACCCGGCATCACCATCCAGGAACCTTAGACGAACTCGAAAACAGGAAGAACAAAGAGTCTGGTATATCAACAACGTTTCGAGTCGTATCGTATCGTAGTGTATCGTTTCGCACCGGGTCCGACTTTGAATGGCTGCACGCGGAGACCTCGCCGGCGGAAGGCGGCCATGAGCCCCACGGCCACGCTCGTCTTGCCCACGCCGCTGTGCGTGCCGGCCACCACAATGGCCTTCATTATGATGAATTGGTCGCTACGCTATTTATGCTTTTGAGAGGAAAGGGTATAAGCTTCTAGATACGTGGTCTGTGGGTGTCGGCCACCACGACGGCTTTCATGATGAAACAATCTTGCATAATGGGACTATCGGACGGTTCTTAACGCTTCTGGTTGACAAACCGGCAAGCTCGTTAGATGCTGAGACAAGCGACATCTCTGATAGCAGCATCTTCGGGTGCTGGTCATCAGAATAGACTTCGTGACAAATGATCGGCTTGGCTCGCGGGATATGCTCAGAGATCAACTTTCAGCTGTGTCGTTCAGCATAAAATAACAAACGTCACGCCTGCTGCTCGGCCAGGCGTACGTCCAGTAAAACAATATGGCCAGCACCGTGTTCCTATTGGTCGGCGAAAATCCTGAGACTCTCTGCTGCTGTGTAGAGAAAAAGGGACTATAATCCTTAGCTGTTGTTTCCGACAAAACAACTACATCTAATCGCGTTGCAGTGGAGTAACGAAGTAAAATTGGATATTGAATTGACCGTACGTTTAATCTGGTTCCTTAACGTCGATAGGAGAGCCTACTCAGTAACGAGCACGTCAAATGGCGGTACGTGCCGTGGGGTTGAAACTCAATAGGAAGTCGTAAACTTTTCTGATCAGCCGTAACTCCTAGCCCGCTCAAGCATGAATAACCTAATTTGACTTCACTGACTAACTACGGTCTTCCATTATGGCTGAAAACAAACGTGCTGCTGAAGTCACCAGGAGGGATGTACAATAGGCCTAACCACTGTAAAGGTGCTTTAGGCGTCTGTGACAGGTATCTAGTGAAAAGCCACAAGTTTAGGAGAAAAAAGTGCCGGGTGTTGGGCCAAGTTGCCTCGGGATCTCTGTACTGCAAGACAACTTCTAGGCCTCGGAGGCTCTGACCGAGCCAAACCAGGGCTGGCTCGCTCGCAACCACCAAGACCAGCAAAATGGGCTGCTCGTACCTGAACCCTTGGCTCGGTAAGCACTGACGCCACGCTCACAGCTAGGTCACGTCTAGTTTGGTCATCTTAGCTTAGGATCACAGCCTTAGGAAATGCCTCGGCACAACTTTTATTGGTAGTAACCAGCATCTTTCGAAATAACACCGTGGCTCGCGAAGCGGGGGTGCGAATAGGAGGTTCTATGAGAACTTCGCGCGTGATGCTTGGAGAACTTCGCGCGTGATGTGGCGCGAACACCCAGGAACGTGTGAAGGCCAGTAGGGTGCTCTCGCGGCACGCGCGGATTACAGGCAAGGGCCGACATGCCTCGATAGTGAGTGTATGTTTTTGGTGGTAAAGTGTAAGGAAAATCTCTTTTTCCTTACTTCGCGTCCCTGCTCAACGCGTACATCACTGTAGCACCACAGTCAGCACCGTTACCACTCGCAATCCCCGCATCGACAATCCGCCCGCCACCTTCGCACGTCGCACCCCGACCTCACGGCTCGGCGGGTAACCCGCGCTCCGGGCCTCCGCTTCGACACTTTTCCCAACCTCAGTCCCAGGCCCGTCGCGCGACAACCACAGTGCATTACCGTTACCACTGTAGTCTCGCTATATATTCTTCGCTCATGCCTTCGCTCATTGTACTCTTGCTTCGATAGTGCAATTCTCGTTCGTTCACTCACTTGCACTCGTAACACTTGGTATTCAGAGCCTACGATCTCCTCTCGGACCGCACTCACACCTTCGCTTCCCCACTATCTCAAATTTTGGGGGGGGTGGACGTCTCTCAGCGACACAAGCACCGCCGCTCGTAGTGCTCTCTCGTAAGCACGCACGGCTACGACTGAGGCTCTCGCTGAGCTCGCCCGACACCCCCGCCATGGCCGAATTCACGCTCGCCACATTGACGCAGGAGCAGCTCGACCGTCTGGTGCGCCAACTCGAAGATTCGGCGCTCGAAATTGCGACGCTCACGGCGGAGAGTGACTCCGCGCGTCAGCAATCAACGATGAACACTCCAGCGCCACCACACGCACCGACAAATGCATCTGCACAATCAGACGAGCCGATCGTCATCTCGTCCGGCACACCAACGCAAAACAACAGCGTGGGACAGCGCTCAGGCGCAGCCAGCGATGGCGCCGCCCAGCCGATGCCTGGCATGGGAGGAAACAGGGTCGCACCAAGCCCGCGGGAGCCTCGCGAAGCCCGTCGGCACGTGGAGTTCGCGGCGACAAGTGGCGAACAGGCCATCATGGCACCAATGCCACTCAAGCCGCAACGCCCGCCCTGCTTCGACCCGAGCCAGCGTGGAGGTCCGACGGTTCAATCGTGGGTCTTCACGATGAACGTCTTCTTCGACGCAAATTACGTCGAGTCGGACGCAGCGAAGATTCGGTATGCAGTTTCGCTGCTAAGGGGGCCCGCCATGGACTGGTGGCGAGTCATCGTGACGTCGCCACGCGCCTACAAGCCACCGTCGCAAGAGGAAGGGCCCAGGGGTCCAGCTGTCACCTGGAGTTCATTCTGCGAGACCGCCCAATACAGCACGTGGGATGCGTGGTGCGCAGGGCTTCGGGCGCGCTTCGAGCCGATCGCGGCTTCTATTTCGGCGCGTCAGAGATTGCGCACTTGGCGGCAGCTCGGATCGGTTCAAGACTATACGAGTGGTTTTCTCGCATTATGCGAGCAAGTCGGCTACATGCACGAAGCGGAGCGGGTGGACCGTTACGTCGGAGGGCTGAAGCCGGACATCTCGCACGAAATCATGCTACGCGGACTCTCGAACTTCAACGAGATTCTCGCGCTCGCCGAGAAAATCGACATTTTACGCCGTCCGAGACCGGAGTCCTACTACGGACATCGTCCTCGGGGACCGATCGAGCACGCCACTGTACACGCTGTTGCGACGAATGCAGCTGCCGCGCCGTTTAAGGGGCGCTGCTTTGCTTGCAACAGGCCGGGCCATCGCAAGAGCGAATGCCCAGAGGAGCTAAGGCGCCGCGGAGCAGAGCAGGGGAGGGAGTCTCCAAGGCAGGGAAACGCCAGCAGTCAGTAGGAACCGGGCCAACTACTGACGAGACTGCCTGCTCGCCCAACCCCACCGACCCTCACCGAGTCACAGTACCGATTCATGCTATCGATCGGACTCGGACGAATAAGGAGGGTACAGCGACGGATTGCCCAGTACTGATCCACGGGAAAATACAAGGAGCAGCAGTGAAGATTTTTATCGACGGAGGAGCAAGCCACAGTTTAGTTAATACCGCAACCGCACGAAAACTGCAGCTGACACTTAGCCGTTGCTTACCGGAGATAGACGCACGCTTAGTCGACGGCACGCCACTGGCCATACGGGAAATGGTAGAGAGAGTCAAAGTCCGTTGCGGTGGAAATTTTGGGTTTACACAGGAAATGCTCGCAACGACACTGGATGGGCACGATATTTTACTGGGACGTGATTGGCTGCGACGATATAACCCGCGAATTGACTGGACGACGGGTAGCTGCACCGTGCGAAGTAGTGGTAACTGGGTCGAGCTACCTCGCTGGCAGTCGCCCGAGTCTTCAACGGTACACGTCAACGCCATCACAATGAAACGGGCTGTCGCTGCTGGAGCTGACGTGTACGCAGTAGACATCGCAGTAGTAAAGGAAGCAGAGCAGCCGAGTGATTTCAAGAAACTCCTGGCAGCCGTACCGCCCGAATTACAGAAACTGTTGAAACGATACCCCGGGATTTTCCCCGACGACTTACCGGAAGGACTGCCACCTCAGCGAGCACATGACCACCGAATCGAATTAGAACCGGGGGCACAGCCAACCGTACAGCGCCAGTTCAGACTGACACAGCCCGAGCTCGACGAACTAAGGAAGCAGTTAGATTACCTGTTAGAGAAAAAATTCATCAGACCGAGCTCGTCACCGTTCGCCGCACCGATACTATTCACTCCGAAAAAAGACGGGGGTTTTCGCATGTGTATCGACTACAGAGCACTGAACAGGGAAACAGTCAAGTCGCGGTACCCAATTCCCCGCGCCGACGAACTGATCGACCAACTGCGAACAGCACGGGTTTTTTCGAAAATAGATTTACGGGGAGGTTACCATCAGATTAGGGTCGAACCATCGGACTGCGCCAAAACAGCTTTCAGGACTAGGTACGGGTCGTTCGAGTACACCGTGATGCCATTCGGGCTAACCAACGCACCGGCGACTTTTCAGATGACCATGAACGAGGCATTTAGGCCACTCTTAGATAAATGCGTGATAGTTTACCTCGACGACATCCTCGTCTACAGTCGCGACAAGCAGCAGCATTTAGCGGATCTCGAAGCAGTCTTTAAAGTTTTAGAGGACCATCGGTTACTCACCAAGGGCTCTAAGTGCGAGTTTTTTCGGGACAAACTATAATTTTTGGGGCACGTTATTTCGGAGGCTGGAGTTGAAATCGACCCAAAGAAGCTGGATACGGTAAAAGCGTGGCGTCCCCCAACGAACATCACGGAACTGCAGAGTTTTTTAGGGTTCGTTAATTATGTTCGTCGGTTCGTCCCCGACATGGCACAGTTGACTGCCCCGCTGACGGATTTACTACGAAAGGGGGTCGTTTTTACGTGGGGGGAGAAAGAGCATGCTGCCTTCTCTGCCCTGAAAAATGTTCTCTGTTCACCGCCCGTCCTGCGCATCGCCGACCCACACCGCCCCTTCGAGGTTGTTACAGACGCAAGCGACATCGCCACTGGAGCCGTACTGCTACAGGACTTCGGCAACGGCCTACAGCCCATCGCATACGAGTCACGAAAACTGCATCCGCCCGAGCGAAATTACCCGATACACGACCGCGAAATGCTCGCGATCGTGCATGCGTTCAAAGTGTGGCGCTGCTACTTGACCGGCGCAGACGTGACAGTACGGACAGACCACCGATCACTACAGTACCTCCGCACACAGCCCCACCTCAACCCACGACAGATTCGGTGGCTCGATTTCCTCGAGTCAAACTTCCACTACACAGTCACCTATAAAAAAGGAGCCTCGAACATAGCCGACGCACTGACCCGCCCCACTGCCCAGATCCACGCGATACTACTCGCCCAGACCAGCCCGCTTCTGACAGGACTATTTACCCACGGATATCAAACGGACCCATTCTTCACAGGAGGAAATTCGCAGCAGTTTGCAGCAGCCAAGGGAGTCTATTACGTAAAAGCCGGGACCGACCGCATCTGGGTACCAGGGTACACACTGCTACGGGAATTACTATTACAGGAGGCACACGACGGGGTTACCTCGGGACATTTCGGGGTAGAGAAAACACGGCAGAAGCTGCAGCGGTATTATTACTGGCCCGAAATGTTGACCGACGTGCAGCGACACGTGGCATCGTGTCCCACTTGCCAGATCATGAAGTCAACACGGAAGCGGCTGGCGGGACAGTTGCAGCCAATCCCACCTCCAGAGCGTGCTTGGCAGCAGGTGACGATGGACTTCGTCACGGGGTTACCGGCCGGGGCGAGTGGAAATGACGCGATCCTGGTCGTCGTCGATCGACTGACGAAAATGGCACACTTCGCAGCCTGCAAAAAATCAATCACAGCCGAAGAAACAGCCCGCCTCTTCATCTCTACCGTCGTTCGACTGCACGGGATACCAGCATCAATCATCAGCGACAGAGACACGAAATTCACCAGCAACTTCTGGCGGAACCTGTGGCAGCAGTTCGGCACGCGACTACAGTTTAGTTCATCGTACCACCCCGAAACAGACGGACAGACAGAACGAACAAATCAGACCATGGAACAGCTCATCCGGGCCACGTGCGACGACCCAAACACGTGGGAACAGCAACTGCCACTCATCGAATTCGCATACAACAACGCCCCATCCGCCACGACCCAACAGTCACCGTTTTACCTGAATTACGGACAAGACCCAACAGTACCCATGACCCCGAATCCCGACAACCCGGTTCCACGCGCGCAACAATTCGCCGAAATCCTGCAAGCAGCACGGACCAGGGCAGCAGACGCAATTAAAAAAGCTAACATCATCGCTAAACGCAACGCCGACCGCCACCGCAGACCTGTCACTTACCAGCCCGACGACTTAGTTTTGCTCGACACCCAAAATCTCCGACTGCCCATCACCCCGAAACTACGCCCCCGATACTGCGGGCCATTTCGCATAAGCCACATGCTTACACCTGTCACCGCCCACCTCCTCCTCCCTGCTGACTGGTACGTCAGCCCCTCGTTCCACGTCAGCCTGCTTTGCCCTTACGTCCCGTCCACGAGCCAACTGCCACGCAATCGCCCAGCCAGCATGACAAGACCACCGACTGAACCGATCATCACCCCCGAGAAAATCCTGAGTCACAGAGTTCGCGACCCTCGAGGAGCCCGAAGGATCGAGTTCTTACTCCGCTGGAAGGACCGTACGCCCACCGAAGACAATTGGGTTCCCCTGGACAGAATCGAAAACCACCCCGTCCTCACCGAGTATCTGCGCAGCCGGAATTTCAAGGATGTACACGCACTTTCGTAAGGAGGACATCCTTAAGGGGGGGGGTAGTGTAAGGAAAATCTCTTTTTCCTTACTTCGCGTCCCTGCTCAACGCGTACATCACTATAGCACCACAGTCAGCACCGTTACCACTCGCAATCCCCGCATCGACAATCCGCCCGCCACCTTCGCACGTCGCACCCCGACCTCACGGCTCGGCGGGTAACCCGCGCTCCGGGCCTCCGCTTCGACACTTTTCCCAACCTCAGTCCCAGGCCCGTCGCGCGACAACCACAGTGCATTACCGTTACCACTGTAGTCTCGCTATATATTCTTCGCTCATGCCTTCGCTCATTGTACTCTTGCTTCGATAGTGCAATTCTCGTTCGTTCACTCACTTGCACTCGTAACATAAAGCAGCAATAATAAAGCTTATACATATACAAAGCGCAAACCCACAAGTGAACTTTCCAGGGGCTTGGTTGGAACACGGTAATTATGATATAAAAGCCAATTTTCATACATAATTAGTTGCACTGGGAATGTGTTCATGTTCGTGGCATGTATGTCACGACCAGATGATGTCATGAAAAGTGATTGGATGTTTTATACACAGCTGGAACTGTTTTGGTGTTCTTCATAGCGTCATAGCAGTTTACGAATCAAGATGTATGTATGACATGGCACCAGCAGGGCAGGCGGCCTTTACAGCCTCGTCACTCCCCGCACGTTTCGCCACAGCACGGGGAGCTGGCAAGACATGCCGTATGAATGCACTTGCTTTGAAAATCGGCCACCCAGCCACATCAGCGAATTACACCTGGGCTCCGATAAGTTCAGAGACGGGGCACCGGGTCGCACCTCTGTCGTTTAGCCCAGCGGTTGAAATTATGGGGAACAAAAAAGTTCCCCCTAATTTCAACCCCCCCAAGCGCAGATATTTTGGCGCTGAGTCAGTCCCCGCTGGAACATGCCAGCGAGGACCCATGTTAAACAGTCTGAGGTGGTCCGTTCATTTAGAAGCCCGACTTCCTATCGAGCCACAAAAACATACATTACGAAAAGTGTCAAACAGTGGGTGAGTAAGTAAACTGTCTTCTGCCCAAGGCCCAAACACAAAATCATCAAATACTGAATTGTTTATACGACTACTTATTATTACCTAAAACCCCATTATCAGACTAACCGTGCTCTCCTCTGGTGTTGTGTGTGTTGTACCTCAGTGGTTGTTATCGTTTTTGAGTCGGTTACGCTTGTTTCTACCCATATTCATCTCCTTCACTTGGGCCGTCCATTCTATGCCACGTAGGAATCTAGTGCGGCTGGTTTGCTTTGTGGGCCACGAAAAACCTGCCTGGGAGCCTTCTCGAATCTCTTTCACCAGCTCATTCCAGCGTGGAAATGTGCAGACGCGTCAGGTCACAGGCTGTAAAGCTCTCGACTTCACTGTTGACAGCCTCCGAAGCGCTCGAGCTCCTGACCCCATGTGACGACAGGGGCCTTGCAATTATAGGGAATGAAATTATCGGAGCCCAGGTGTACAGGCACCAATCTAGGGCTGCTGTGGCTCGCAAGATTGAAATTGACTGAGCCAATCACTGACCTCCACCGCGCGACGCCATTCGGCAAGAGGCTGTTTGCGCCCTCCTCTCCGCGGCACGCTTGACGGCCACCCTGAGCCAGTGATTGCGCACTCGCTCAACCGCAGAATTGGAGATCTGGTTTCCCCTCCTGGAATCGGCGCGCTATCTCCAAAGAAATCAACACTCCCCCTTCCCCTCCTCATTTCCCCCTTTTCCACCACAAGATTCCGCGACATCCCTTTGTCCGCCTATGAATCACTCAGAGTGCCTGCAGAGCAGGCCTGTCGAAGTTCCTGGGGCTCGTACTTGCGCTCCCCAGCTCCTCCCAATCTGACCCTTGGTTGGGGGTAGGTGAGCGTTTTGGCGCCCTTAAGGGTCACGGGCGCACCCCAAAGTCAGAACTTGAAATCAGGGCATGTTTGAAGTTTGCACTTACACTTCATTTTACTATGATAAGTGCTGTTATGTACTTAAATTAGAAGTCAAAGACACCTAACACTACACATGTCTTAAATAGTCATAAAACCTACCTAGCCTGCAAAGTTCTTATTCTCTACACTAACTACAGATATGGCATGCAGAGCTCAGCTACTCCACTCTAACCCGACATCCAATGCGAGCCTAGTTGGCAGGCTTCCTCCCCTTCCTCCCCTTATCCTCAAACAAGGCATAGGCCGCTGCCCAGTCCACCGGGTAGTCTAGCATCTTCACCGTCATCAGCTCCCCCAGCCTAACATCAGTAAGAGCAACACGATCCCACGACTTAATAATGTTTTGGCGGGAGAAGCCCCTCTCACACTCAACAGTGCTGAGGGGCAACACAGAGACCGCACGCCAGAGAGAGACTATGGTGGGATAGTCATCCTTCCAGTCTGCAGTGCGCAGCATGTTGGTGAGAGCCTGATGGAAGCTCTGCTTCTTGAACTTCTTCTCCATGGTGGCTGTGAAGAGGCGCATCTGCGGCTCTATGTCAGCAAGAGCGACTCCTGCCAAGGACATATACAAAGTTAGATTACGTCATTGTGTGAGCATAATACGTACAAAGTTAGAACATACGTGGGTTCCTTTCATACTAATCTAGGCTTACCAGGTAGCTGGTTCTTGAACATGTCCAGGAGCTCGGTGAGATGGTGCTGCAGCCATGTGTCCTGCTCTCCTGCACGGAAGGGATACTTATCAGGGGTGAAAAACCCAACACCATCGAAATGGCGCAGGTCCGCCATCCTCTTCCCCAGCGCCAGGTCCACGCAGGCCTCCAAGTCGCATCCCCCCCCCCCGGGTTTTTAGGGTCGATGATGTCCTCGTGGAGCTCGATCTCGGCTTTTGCAGGTTTGCCGTCGCCACCCACTCCCTTGAGCTCCATCTTGCGCTTGTCCTTGCTGCCGTGTGCAGCAAGGAACTTGTTCAGGCGAGAGGTGTTCGGCCCGTAGGATGCGCTGGGCTCGACGTAGTACTGCGACAGCTTGGTCTTCACCTTGTCGACGTGATTCTTCACCTCTGTGATGTCGACCTGAAATCAAACGGAGCGGGAAAACATTAGAACCAAGCACTTAAGAGAAGAAGCGCCTAGTACATGTTCATGTCAATCTTACCGTCTGCTTCTGGAAGGCAAGATTGAGTCCGTTGAGCAGCTGCAGCACGTCAGCCAGGAGGTAAAGCATGTAGTGGAACTTGAAGCTGGTAGCGAGTTTCTCCATCCCGTCCTTCTCCTTCGTCCACATCCACATCAGCACCGGCAGCACGTCGCAGAAGCGATTCACAGCATCTCCGCGAGACAGCCAACGGACGGTGCAGAAGCCTTGCACCTCCAGGTGCGTCTTCAGAATGACGTCCTGGAGATGCATGTAGGTCTTGTGATCGGTCGATGAACGCCCGAGACGCTCGGCAGTCTGGCGTATCATCTGATCGACGACGTTGAACTCCTTGAAGCTCTTCGCGGCATCCTTTGCAGCCAATGCCTCGCTGCACAAGCACGACAGGTTCGTGAGTACGTATGGCGACGGTAATAAGATAACAGGACATTGCAGTGCAACCTTACCGATGCGCCACGCAGTGAATCGCCACCAGCCACGGGCAACGTTTCCGAAGCAGGGCGACAACTCCGTTCTTCGAGCCAGTCATGACGGATGCACCATCCGTTGAAACCCCGACAAGCTTGTCCATCGACATGTCCTTCGACCACAGGCACTTCACCATCGTGTCGTACAGTGCAGCGGCGTCGCAATGCTCGAGCGACAGGAGAGCAAGAAACTGGGACACCACGGCCTCGCCTCTCTCAAACGTGACATACACGATGAGGTGCTTTCCGCGGGCGCGATCCGTGGATTCATCGAAGGAGAGGCTGTACCAGGCCGACTCTTTGACGTCCACGAGCTGCCTGGCCACCAGATGCTCCGCCATAGCCTCTACGAACTCGCCGAAGGCGTATCTGCAATGAGCACCAAATGTACGTTACTCACAGTATAACACAAGCACAAGTACGAAAATACAGAGGCAACGAAGAGAAGAAACAGCAGGACATTAGGTGCAGAACCAGAGGGTAACAAACACTTACCGCGAGTAATAACGCCCGTAGGATTCGCTGTTCATCATGTCGGGGCATCCTTGCTCCGCCATGAACCGCACCAGCATGGGGTAGAGAGCGATCGGTGCATCGTTCTGCGCAATCCACTGAGCTGCTTGCATGCATTTGACGACCCTCGCCATGACTGGATCGCCGCTGAGCATGTTCACGAGGCTGCGCTGCCTCACCTCCGTGCCAGCAGCGAGTCGTTCTGCTTCCATGGCCGCGAGGTGCACCTTGGACTGGTCATGGTTGCGGCACGCCGACTTCTGAAAGTCCCTTGCACCGACGCCAGCACCGCCAAAGGGAGACTTGGTGTTAGGAGCGAACTTACAGCACACGGAACACTTCATACCATACAGGCGCTCCTCTTTGTTGTACTTCAGTGTCAGCCACGAGTACGTCTGCTTCCACGACGGGCTGAAGCGACGTGCCATACCCTTCTCAGCAGCAGGGATCTCGGTGTCCGGGGGCACTTCTGCATCCTCGGCGATAGCCTTGTCCTGCGCCTCCAGCTCCTCAGCAGTGGGTGGAGGCGGTACGCTTCGTGCGCGCTTTCGCGAATCTGGTGGCGGACTTGCGAAGCTAAGGTGAACCTGACGGTAGCGGGCTGCTGACAGAGGTGTAGTCTGTGACGATGATGCTTGCTGGGCGAGGCGCGGGTCCAACACTGAGATTGCTACGTCTAGCATGTCTTCAGCATCCGAGGGTACGTAAGGCTCGGTCTCGGTCGTAGTATGAGAATGACTAACGTTCGACATGGGCAAAACTGGAGGAGGGGTTTCACCCTCGCTAGGATCCATTGTGGGAGAATGTGGCTGACGAAGCGAACGGGTTAGCTACCCATACTATAAACATCGCGTGCGTGAGCTAGGCGACGCGAGGTTTACTCGGCAGAGTGGTTGGGTGGAGGAGAAGTGCCATAGCATGGCACGTACGAGAGGGGAGGGGAGAGCTGAGGGCTTGGGTGGATGATACCGTGGAGGTGGTGGGACGGTGCGGAAGAGAAAACATGGGTGGGATGTGGTGGTGGATGGATTGCATGGTGGTGGAGAGGAATCGTGGCTCGCACGAACGAAGGTGGTGAGGGAGGGAGCTGCTGCGCTGGAGTGCTTCAGTTCCTTTGACGTGCTGTGGTTTAGTGTCTTAGATGTCTCTGTGGCCAAACAACTTAGCCAGATTTACCCAAGATAATCCCATGTGTCACAGCTGTACACTGCGGCCAGCTCGTATTGGACGCTAAGGGAATGTGCGGGTGTTCCTAGGCTGACTGAGAGACACGCTACACACACGGGATTGGCTACAAAACGCTAAGGGAAAAATCCCCTTGGCGCGCTCTAGTGCAGGCTAAGGAGAAAGAGGGGGGGGAGGGGGGGGGGGGGGGTCCTACGATCTGAAACCAAAACTTAGATAAAGGGGAAGGCCTGGTTTCGTCCCTTAACGCATCCGGGCAAGGGTCGAATGAAGCACTTAGTGGCACGGGTGGGGTGCGAAACAAAAACTTGACGCATTGGAGCTGGAGCGAAACTAGCCCTTAAAGCGACGGGCAACTTTTGGCAGTGTTGGGTTCAGAAGTTTTTTTTTTGAACCAGGCTTGCCAGCGCGAAAGTGCTGGCTGGCGAAAACCAGGATTTCGTGCGGACACTTTCCATCCGCAGTAACAGTTCGCCAGGGTTCTGGGTTTTGGGTGGCAAATGTGCACCGTCGCTTTAATGTTCAGGGCATATGCCCGTCAATCGACAGGCCTGCTGCAGAGTCGTGGTCATCGATGATTTCAATGTGTTTGAATCGGTGGGTGGGTGTTGGAGGGAAAAGGGTAGACCGCGCGCAGATCCCAGTGGCGCAGCCACTTCCCCAAGAGGAGTGACACTCTCGTGGGCAGGGCCACCCTCGAGAATCCATCTCAGAAAAAGCGCATTTGTTCAAATGCACTCTCCTCTGGAAGGGTCTCTCTGTCCGATGCTGTCGACGGCACTTGAGGGCTGCAGTCTCCTAGTTGCGGAGTGGTGACCCAGAGGCGCATGCATCCAATCCAACGCGACACTAGCCCCAGCAAATACATGTAAATTCGTCGACGCGCGTTGAATCCGTAATACCCTCGCTGGGACTTCGCTGTAAAGTACCGTCACGATCACCTTCTGCGTGAGCTCTCCGCCAGTCAGCATCGTCTTCATCCTCGGGCCTTTTGTCTGCCCGAGTTTCCACTGCCAGTCTCGGACACGTCTCCAACGTAATCCAACAACTCAAAGCAACTCAATATGGCGACTATCCATCCGCCTCTCGCGCTGCAGGCGTCTTCCGCGCCCTCAGCTTCCGCCTTCTCCGCTGCTCCTTCCCGTTCCGCCGCTTCTTCCGCCTCGTCACGCCTGCGAGGGCTTTCGTCTAGCCTCGTCGCCCAACCGCTCCCCCGTCGCGCGTCGCCGCGCAGTCTGCGGAGCGCGGATTCGCTACAAGGCAATCGCGGGGGGGCGATAATTGTCCGCAGCGCCCTTGCGCAACCCATGCCGGGGCTTGGCGTAGGAATCGGCGCAGGAGTGGGCGCGGGAAACCAGATTCCCCTTCCTTCCAGCGAAAACTGGTGGGAGCGGCGCGTGCCCGCGAACATGCGACACGTGGCGAACACAGCGGAATTCGTGGAGGCGCTAGGCGCAGCGGGGGATAAGCTCGTGGTGGTTGACTTTTTCGGGACCTGGTGCCGCTCGTGCCGCGCCATGCACCCTAAGGTGAGATTTTTCCTACGTGCCCTATACCTTCTACGTGCACCTTCTGCGTCCCTACGTTGTGGAACAGCTCTCCCGCTTCTTGCGATTTTTGAGGCGCCTCAAAAATACCTTCTACGTGCACCTTCTGCGTCCCTACGTTGTGGAACAGCTCCCCCGCTCCTTCCCCTCATCCTGTCCCACCTTCTCCTCCTCACACTGCTCCCCTCCTCCCCCTCCTCCCTCTCCTCCCCCTCCTCACCCTCCTCCCCCTCCTTCCCTTCACAGCTGTGCATGTTGGCTTTTAAGAACCCTGACGTCATCTTCCTCCAAGTCGAGTTTGGCCCCAACAAGCAACTCTTTCCCGTCCCCCTCTTGTCCGCAACCCACCTGCCCACTTCTCCCTACACGTGCTCCTTTCTCCCCTCCCCCTTTCAGCTCTGTATGCTGGCGTCGAAGCATCCGGACGTCATCTTCCTGCAGGTCGAGTTCGACCCCAACAAGCACCTCTGCCGGTTTCTTACTCTTCCCTCTCCTCTCCCTCCGTTTTACCCCCTCCCCCCACTTCTCACCTCTCAGCTCTGCATGTTAGCGTCGAAGCATCCGGGCGTCATCTTCCTGCAGGTCGAGTTCGACCCCAACAAGCAGCTGTGCCGGTCGCTCGGAATCAAGCGGCTGCCTTTCTTCCACTTCTATCGGGGCGCTGACGGGCTGCTAGAAGCTTTCCCCGCCACCCTTACTTCGGTATGTCATGTCGAGTGCTCCCTTAGATTCCACTCAAGAGCGAGGTGAACACACAAGTCACCTCACTACGACTTGAACGAGCAGCTCTGAAGCTAGCTTGGGTCGGCATCAAGCGGTTACCTTTTTTCCACTTTTACCAGAGCGCTGACGGCCTGCTAGACGCCGGTACGTCGTGCCCTGTCACCCTCACTTCGGTACCTCGTGCTGGGAGCATCCTCTAAGCCCACTACAAACCGAGGTGAACGCATAAGTCACCTCACTCGACTCGAACAACCAGCTCTGCCAGTCGCATACACTATCGAGGTGACTTTTGAGTCATGTCAAAAGTCGCCTCACTCGACTCGAACAACCAGCTCTGCCAGTCGCATACACTATCGTCCACTATACATCATTTACTTCAGATTGCTAAAATCAAGGAAACAGGGGAGTCAACCACACTGTGTTGTTGCCCATCGACATCCTTCCCCTCCCGTCCCCTCTCCCACCCCACCCTTTCCTCCTGCCCGGCTCTGTCCACTATCCACTGTTCACATCAGATTGCGAAAATAAAAGAGGCGCTGGAGACACACGGCACGGAAAGATGCTCCCTAGGGCCTCCAGCCAACCCGCACCAAGTGTTGAATCTCCCTGTCTCTCCCCACCCTATCCACTCTCCACCGTTCACATCAGATTGCTAAAATAAAGGAGGCACTGGAGACACACAGCACGGACCGATGCTCCCTGGGGCCTCCAGCCGGCCCGAACCAAGTGTTGAATCCTCAGGAGATCGACACAGAAACAGCCTGATACTGCTCTCAACCCCTCTGGTCCAAAAAGTGGTGGCTGCTCCATCTGCTGCTGATTAAGCTGAGTGTGGTTGACAAGACAATGCTCCCTGGGGCCTCCTGCAGAGGCCCAACCACTTTTTGCTGCTTCAATAGTGATTGAAGGTCTATTTCAGCAGTCTCCCTGGTATTCCAGGCTGTGTGTTTCTCCCCTGCTGCTCCTGCTGCTGGTAGATTTGGGTGCTGCCACCCCTGAATGGTACTACCCTGTTTCCGCAGCACATTGGTGTGCTTTCTTGTAAATATTCTGCACCAAGGATTAGGCTCGCCTCGGTGGTATAGGCCTGGTTTGTTTTGCGGTTTGGTTTTGTATTTGATGTCTGGAGTTGCTGAATGAGGGCGTTCAGTAGCCTACTTAATTGGATTGGTCTGACGTGTCTGATGTCCGGCTGGTTTCCAAAAATACAGAAGGACTCTGCAGAATGTGAGGTGGGATGCATGGTGCCACTCCTCCAGCAACCTAAAACGAAGTAAAGCTGCATATTTTTTGTTCATACTCCTGCGCTGCTGGTCTTCGCGCTTAGAGCGAGACTGTCAATAAAGATGTGAAGAAAGTTCTCGGGACCAGAACAGATGCAGGCTCTGGACTCTACTCGCCCTGCTACGCCAGTTTCCACGCCTTACGCTGTCGTGTTCTCACACCACCCGTTTCAATACCTGCCTTGCACCTCGAACGAATGGCTGGCGGTCCAAGTCGCGATCCAGCTATCAGGAAGCCTTGGCCGTACCGGTAACGTCTGCGATTGGAGCAGCAGCATAGCCTCTAGGTCGCCTCCCACGCCAACGAGATAGGCTAGAAAGAGTTGGGAGTTCCGATGTAGAAGCGATGAGCTTGATGGCGTGAATCAAAAGCTCCCGAGGTAAGCTGAACAGGTGTCTTCAAGGCAAAAGGGAATTCCCGAGGGGGGCTGGATGCAAAAATGGAGTTCCCGAGGTAAGCGAATTTGGAGTATCGAGGCAGAGGGGGTGGAGGAAGGGGATGGGGTCAAACTCAATACTACCCTACTCTTTCTGGGTTGTCAGCGTTGACAAAATGACAGCTAGATTATTATAACACTCTAAAGTCGCTCGCGACGTGATTGGGGAGAAAAAAAATGGGTATGCGTGATAGTTAGAAAATTACTAACGATACTTGAGATTATACAGGTAAACTGAACAGGGTTGGAGTCTGGGGTAACTGCCAGTTAGAATGTGTCGTCCAGGCGCAGCGACTCCACATCGCGACCATAAATTCAGCGATGCCGCCTATCGTTGACACAATGCGCCTTCACCCTCAGGCTCTCTCCTTCCCTTCGGACGAGTTTGCCGAAAGTAGCAGCGCGAGCACCGTGAGTAGCGGAAGAATAGTGAAAATCACATCATTCTTATCTCAACGGTGAATTGGAACCGACACCATGTGCATCAACTTCCTCCCCTGCTCGGAGCCCGACGTTCCCGGCATCTACTGGCGCGACGACGACCAATGGCGGCCCTACGATCGCGCCACGTCCCGCGCAATCCTCAAGGCGGCCTCGCTGGGCCTTCGGGAAGTGAACCTGGGTGTTTTCACGTCGAAAGTTCACCCTAACGGCCAATCTTACACGCTGAATCTGCAGACTATGGAGCAACGGAACCCCACAGCCGATCAGGGAAGGCCGGTTCTGGTAATTCCGAAGCTGTCGCTCAAGAACCTGAGCGACGCATTGAGAACCCCGGCCGTGGTAAGCGGTTTGTTGGGTTTTTGCGAATGCAAATGAGCACGAACAACGTATTGTCCAGCGCTATCAAGCGCTGCCTCCTTCCTGGCATTTGGATACGTCATATAAATTTTAATTTGCTGCGTACTCATGGCAGGTCTGGGGTTGCATCATCGACGCGTTCACCTCGGAGGCGTACGTTCGGCACGTAGTGGGTCAGCGGTGCAGCTCGGTGGTGGAAGTTCGAAAGAATCCGTACCTTACGCCTGGGTCCGCGCTGCTCAGGCAGTTTCTCGCGATTGCACAGAACCTACCCGCTGATGCTGCACTCGGTAAGTCCACTCTCTTACATGAGACTCTGGCTTTAAGTGGCATTTCCATGTTCGAGATGCTTAGTTGTTCAAGCCCACGGCGGAAATACTTATTCCGTAGACGCTGATTTTCTTGCGAGGCGGAAACAATCTCCATATAAAAATATATTTTTCGTCCTCACTCCCTGAACCTTTCAGTCAAAGGTCTCTCGTACATGGACAGCGCGGAGGAAGGAAGTCTGGACCTCGCGTTTCATGGCACTCGGTCTAGCAGCTTCGACCCTATCCTACGGAATGGAATGTTCGCCAATCGCCGCTCGAGCAGTCCAAGGGGAGATTGGTTCGCACGACAAGTGTCAACTGCCGCGGCATACTCTCGGGACAGAGATGGTAATCGTCACGGGTGTGGCAGGACAAAAATAATAGCGTTTCTGCTGCTTGTGGAGAAGAGGGCGATTGTGCAGGAGTATGGCGATGTGGTTGTAATGAATGACGCACGCTACCAGCTTCCAGTCGCGGAAGTGACAGTGCAGTAAAGCTGAATCGAAACTAACATGTACATAGATAAACAAAGCTTAAAACTAGATCGTGTACAGAATGTGTTTTGTGTGTAGGGAAAGTCGACATGCCTCCGAATTAGGTTGTTGTGTGTATGTGTATAAACGCTTTCTCTGTATGTGTATGTGTATAGGAGTTTTGATCTGTATGTGTATAGGCGTTTTGAATACCGTGTATGTTGAGGTAAGAAAATTCTTGAAGTTCCACACAATCCCATTTTGCTGCCTCGGCCATCATAAGTTTGCTGAATCTTAGAAAAACAAGGGAGAAAATTACGGTAATTAAAATCCTCCAATCAGATTTTGCACCACATAATACCAGTTAATATTCACAGCGCTAATTACAATGGTGAAACTGCACATAAAGACCACACACATACTTGAGTGCAGCTGCTGATGGCAGTGGTGATGCTAATGCTGCTCCTGCTATTTGTGTGCAATGGCCGTGTTGTGTTGGTGATGGTGCTGGATTCTGGTTCTGTTGCCAGTTGCTGAGCTGGGGTGGTGCTGCTGCTGCTGGTTGTACAGCAGACGCCCGAGCTACAACCACCGGAAGTACACCCACCCAGGCTACAGCCCGAGTTACAGCCGGAGGAGCTCTGCATACGTCAAGGGGGATGGGTTTTTCGAGACGTCTCAAATCTCAAGGGAGGCAGGGTTACTCCACGCCCTCCTACAACATCGTCAACAGCTGTCCTGTCATTTTCATTCTAAATGTGATATTACCACCCTTCCTGTCCATCTCCCCCACTCCCTCACCACCACCCTCTCCCCTTGCAACATGTTTAAGAGAGTTCTAAAAGAAAGCATCCACCCTCTCCTGTAACCGCCGCTTGTCTAAATCGTTTAGCAGTGTGCTCAGAGAAGAACCGACTTTGAACTAAAAAATATTCCGCTTCCTGCTTCTCACCCCCCCACCCTTCCTCTCATCTGCTCCCCTATCTTGCAATCTCCGCCCATCCCCATCATCCACCAACATGCTTAGGCCCGGACTGGCAGGAACAGGCTGGTTTTCAGCCGCTTCTGCCTGCTCCTGTCTCCTTTCCTGCGGCTGTCTCCTTCCCAGCAGCTGCTCTACCTTCTGCTGGTGCTGCTGCTTCTGCAGCTCCTCTTGCTGATGCTGCGCCTTCTGGCTCTGCTCCTGTTCCTGCTGCTGTAGCTGTCGTGCCCCCTTTGCAGATTCGTCCTTGACCATCCGTGCATGCTCATGGCCCTGAAGGGATGACGCTTGCTGCCGCTGTGGCGTCTGAGTGCGCTCCTGTTGCTGCTGCTGCTGCGTCTGTTGCTCCGCAGTTGGTGATCTCCATTCCTCTGCGACCAGCAGTGCATGCTGCTGTATCTGTTGGGGCACCTGCTGCCGTGACTGCTGCACCTGCTGTTGCTGCTGCGTGTGTCGTTCCACTCTTGGCACTACCCATTCCCCTGCGACCACCTGTGCATGCTGCTGCCTCTGCTGGGGAAGCTGTTCACCTCCCTGATGTTGCACCAGCTGCTGTTGCAGCACTTGCTCTTCTTCACTCACTTCCTGCCATGCTGCCATTGCGGCTTCTCCACCTTCCCCCACCTGATGCTGTTTCACCTCCTCTCCCTCCCCAATCGCCTCATTCACGGCCTGCTTTGGCTGCTGTTGCGCTGACTCAAACGACCGCTGTCGATGTTGCACCTGCTGAGACGACAGCGGTGGCGGGAGTTGCTGTGGCGGCACCAGCGGTGGCTCTTGTGGTGGCGGTGGTCGTTGCAACAGCAGCTGTGGCAGGTTGGCGGCATGAATGACATTCAGCCAAACGTTGAGCATCCACTGGTCAAATAGGACAAAGTGCACCTGTGGGCAGAGCAGGGAAGTCAGGGACAAGAGCGTAGGAGGAAAAATGGAAGCATGAGGAATGAGCATCCACCACAGCAAGTAGAACAGCACAAAGTGGTGCATCGGTGTGTGCATTTGACTAATCTGTTTTCTGAGAATTCTCAAAAAACAGATTCAGCCGAAAATTGGAAGCATGAGGAATGGGCGTCCACCACAGCAAGTAGAACAGCACAGAGTGGTGCATTGGTGTGAGTGCGTACCTCATGTGAGTGCGTACCTCATGTGAGTGCGTACCTCATGTGAGTGTGTACCTCATGTGAGTGTGTACCTCATGAGAGTGTGTACCTCATGAGAGTGTGTACCTCATGTGAGTGCGTACCTCATGAGAGTGTGTACCTCATGAGAGTGCATGAGGAATGAGCGTCCACCACAGCAAGTAGAACAGCACAGAGTGGTGCATTGGTGTGTGGGTTTAGACATGTGATGGAGGATCAATTAATGGGAGCACGAGAAATGAGCAGCAACTCTTGACAATACCTCATGTGAGTGCAATACCTCTCATGCGAGTGCAATACCTCATGTGAGTGCGTACCTCATGTGAGTGTTTACCTCAT